TTAGGTCATCCATCTTCTCGTGTGATCGGGTTGCTTCCAGATGTTCGTGGTGTTAGTAGTAGTAGTGAGCTTTTATTTAAGAATTGTGATGTTTGCTTCCGTGCTAAACAAACTCGTCAATGTTTTCCGGATAGTTTGAATACAGCTAATGCAGTTTTTGATTTAATCCATTGTGATTTATGGGGTCCTTATCGCACAACAGCTTTTTGTGGATCTCGTTACTTTTTAACTATAGTTGATGATTGCTCACGCGCAGTGTGGATTTATCTTCTACCGGATAAAATTGCAGTTTGACGACATATAAGAGATTTTTTGGCTTTAGTGAATACACAATTCTCTAAGAAAGTCAAAACCATACGGAGCGATAATGGCACCGAGTTTCTTTGTCTTTCCCGATTTTTTCAAGAACAAGGAATGATTCATGAGACCTCGTGTGTTCACACTCCACAGCAGAATGGCCGTGTTGAACGCAAGCATCGCCATATTCTAAATGTTGCAAGGGCCTTACGCTTTCAAGCTCATCTACCAGTTGAGTATTGGGGTGAATGTGTCAAAACGGCAGTGTATCTCATGAATCGGACTCCTTCACAACTTCTTGGTGGTAAAACTCCGTTTGAAAAGCTGTATGGTCGTGCTCCATCCATTAAACATCTGCGTGTCTTTGGGTGTCTCGCATATGCTCATAATTTGAATCATCAGGGTGATAAATTTGCCCCTCGGAGCCGTCGTTGTATGTTTTTAGGTTATCCTGCTGGCAAGAAAGGCTGGATGCTTTATGATCTTGACAAGGAAGTCACATTTTCATCTCGGGATGTGGTTTTTTGTGAGGATCAGTTTCCTTTTGCAACGGTTACTGAGCCGATTCAAGCTGCTGATGCGTTACCTTCGTCTTCTTTACCTGTTGCTTCGGTTGAGGATGATGACGATATGTCTCCAACCATTATTGGTCAGCCGCTTGATGAAATTGCTGCCCCTGAACTTCCTTCCCCAGAGCCTATTCCTGCACACGTAGCTAATGATACTAACACTACAGCTGATATTGAGGACGAGGTTATTGAAGAATTAGGACGTGGTCATCGTGTCAAGCAACGGTCTACTCGTTTACATGACTTTATTACGAACTCCGTCACCATTGACTCTTCTCTCTCTCTCGCTCCTTCACCTTCTCCTCAGCTGTCTTCAGGTTCGCTTTACCCTCTCTCTGACTTTATCTCTTATGACAAATTTTCTTCTAAACATCGCAGCTTTCTTGCATCAATTACGGCTTCTGTCGAACCTCGTTCTTTTCGTGAGGCTATGTTAGAAGATGTTTGGAAAGAAGCGGTTCGTTCTGAGTACAAAGCTCTTGATCGAAACCATACATGGGATCTTGAAGATCTTCCTCCCAATAAGAGGGCTCTTGGCAGTAAATGGGTATTTACGATTAAATATCGTTCTGACGGCACTATTGAACGCCATAAAGCACGTCTAGTGGTTTTGGGAAATAATCAGAAAGAGGGAGAGGATTACACTGAGACATTTTCTCCTGTTGCGAAGATGACGACTGTACGAGTTTTTCTGGATTATGCGGCCAAGAATAATCATGAAGTTCATCAAATGGACGTACATAATGCGTTCTTACATGGTGATTTACAGGATGTGGTTTATATGAAACTTCCGCAAGGTTATGCTTCTCCTGGAGAAACTCGTGTCTGCCGTCTGCGGAAATCTTTGTATGGCTTGAAACAAGCGCCTCGTTGTTGGTTTGCTAAACTGGCAGATGCTCTTCTCAAATATGGGTTCGTACAAACTCGCTCCGACTATTCTTTGTTTGTTTATTCCAAACATGGAGCCTTCCTTCGTATACTTGTCTATGTCGATGACTTGATCATTTCTGGAGATGACCCTGCGGTTATACAGACTTTTAAAGACTATCTCTCGACTTGCTTTTATATGAAGGACCTTGGTTTTCTTAAATACTTCTTGGGCATAGAGGTTGCTCGAAGTCCGACTGGATTTTATTTATGTCAATGCAAGTTTGCGACGGACATCGTAGCCGAAGCTGGTCTTCTTGGATGCAAACCTGTTGGCTCTCCTATCGACCAAAATCATCATCTTGGAAGAGCACACGGACGATTGCTAGCTGATCCGGATCGCTATCGACGTTTTGTGGGTCGTCTTATCTATCTTTTGGCTACCAGACCTGACCTGGCTTATGCAGTTCATATTTTATCTCAATTTATGCACTCTCCTCAAGCAGATCACTGGCTTGCTGCAGTTAAAACGGTTCGATATTTAAAAGGAACTCTTGGTCAAGGAATTCTTCTTCGTGCAGATTCTCCTTTGCATTTGACGGGTTGGTGTGATTCTGATTATGCAGCATGTCCTTTAACAAGACGTTCACTTACAGGTTGGCTGGTTCAACTGGGCTCTTCTCCAATTTCTTGGAAGACAAAGAAACAAGAAACTGTGTCTGTGTCTTCTACTGAAGCAGAATATCGAGCAATGGGGGCGATCACCAAGGAGTTGTTGTGGCTCAAAGCTCTTCTTCGCGAGATGGGTTATGATCACCGTGATCCTATGACTCTTAGGTGTGATAGTCAGCCAGCTATTCATCTGAGCAACAATCCGGTATTTCATGAACGCACTAAACATGTGGAGACCGAATGTCATTTTATCCGTGATGAGATTGTCAAAGGTGTACTCAAACCATTTCATGTTTCTACAAAGGACCAGCTGGCGGATATTCTTACTAAGGCTCTCGGTCGCAAAGAATTTGCTGTTTTTTTGTCCAAGGTGGGCATTCAAAACTTCCATGCTCCACCTTGAGGGGGGGTATTGGGATATATTCTCCATATATCCGATATACTTAAATCTAGTTAGGATATTTTCCTATTCTCTAAGTTTCCCTATTCTATTGGGTTTAGGTTTTCCTCCAAAGTTGTATAAATACCTTCATCGATACATCTAATAACACAAGTTGATATTCAGAAATACATACTTTGTCAGTATATGTTGCCTGGCTAGTTGTGTTGTATGGTCCTTCCTTACAAAAGTCAATTGAACCAAATCCCTCCAATCCAATGTCGGGGCTCAGATGAAAATTCGGTGGGCCAAACTCTCTCTTTCATGCTGGCTCACTTTTAGCATTGGACGGCTTAAGTCGGTTGTGATTGAGAGCTAGCCTTCTAATTATCTCAAGAGTCCTACACCGATTATCCAATACTGTATTATCAAAAAGAATTGAAAATAATTTGTTTCAAACTAAAAAGTAATTTAATTATGCATGAATCAAGGATGTATCATGGAAAAAAGAATGGAATAAGGCTCTCAACCTGCGTTTGGTATGGCTTCTTTTCTCCAACAATGTCTCTCTTTGGGTTTGTTAGAACAGAGAGCATAGACTTAAACGCACCAATTATTGGCTTGCTGAAGAGAGAAGTAATCACTCTTGGATCTGGAAGTTTTTATTAGGCCTCCGACCTCTCGCCAAGCTTCTGATTGGCTGCGAAATTGGCGATGGATGCTCTGTGAGCTACTGGTGTGACAACTGGTTGGCTCTTGGTCCGTTAATTGACTACATTGGCCATGCGGGGCCCCGGAAACTTGGTATTCCTATCGGCGCGCATGTTTCTCATGCGGTCGCTGCTGACGGAACCTGGCGCCTTCCTAATGCGAGATCGAGGAGCTTGGAAATTAGAGACCTGCGAAATACTCTCATTTCCACTGTCCCACCACAGACAAGCAACGGACCTGATGTCTTTTCATGGGGAATTGAAGGTTCCCGTCGCCACCAATTCTCGACTAAGTGCACCTGGGATTTCCTAAGGCCGAGTGCTCCCATGGTTACCTGGTTCAAAACGGTCTGGTTCAAGCATGCTATTCCACGTCATGCCTTCCACTTCTGGACTGCAAACTTGAACAGGCTACCAACCAAGGATCGGATGATACAATGGGGAGTCAACGTCTCTGAGGTTTGTGTCCTCTGCAACCTTTCTCCGGAAGCACGTCACCACATCTTCCTCGCCTGCCCTTTCTCGCTCCAGGTCTGGGACAGAGTTCTACAGCGTTTTGAGGCTACTCCCTCAATATTAACTACTTGGCCAACTCTTCTCCAGTGGATGAGGACGCCAACCAGATCGTTCTCTAGGACCCTGAAATGTCTGGCTGCCCAGGCAACAGTCTATCTCCTTTGGCATGAGCGCAACAACAGGATCCATACACAGGTTTCCTTAACGGTGGAGGCTCTTTTCAGGAAAATCGACCGAACCGTGAGAGACTCTTTTTTTGCCCGCCTCCGGAAACGAGGCTGCGAGAAGCTTCTTTCTCAATGGTTCACCCACGCCTGATCATCTGCATCTTGTAATATTGTTCCTGCCCTAGTTTTTATGGCTTTTATTTTTTTTTTGGGCCTGAAGCTGCTGGTTTTGTCTAAAGCATTGTAATTAAACTTTCTTTTGGTAATATATTCACATTTTATCAAAAAAAAAAAAAAAAAAAAAGGATGTATCATGTATCTAAAATACACTTTTCTGTAGCCCATACTCTGCATAGGCCTTAATACTAATAAATAAGCAGTCTGGGGTTATTACAAATATAATGGGCTATAAGGGGCCCATATTAGAAAAAAAAATTAGTTGCTGAAAAGCCTTTTTGGACGAATCGGAGCTTTACTCTCCGCCGCGGTTTACCAGTGGTTGGATACTCCTTCCGGTATAAGGTGAATCCATTCCGTCACCGATTACCGGTGATCGGAAATGCTTCGAGCTGCCCATCGACTCTGATTTTTGTCTCCACGACCACATGAAACCACAAGCCGTTGTCGGGGAAAAGAAATAAAAGGAATCAAGTGGTTGATATTGTACCAGTGACACGTGTTACTTTTCCATCCATCGATCAAATTTTGAACACTTTTTTTTTTTCCTATAGATTTCAAAACCCCCAGAAAAAAAAAAATCACAGCAGTTGGCGCTAATTTCATTTTCTTCCACAAACCTGAATCGAAACGGTTTCTCTGTATCATGACAATCAAATTCGCTTCACTGTTGATGCTCTTCTTATTCAATGCAGCCATAAATTCCCAGTCCACAGGTTCGTTTTTCTGTATTTCTTTTCTCCATCATTGACTTCACTCAAATGCTTGATTTTTTTTGTACTGTTTCTCTTAATCGTAGATGAATCTGGGCTCCCGAATTTTACTTTCAGTTGGTCAGACGATAAGAACAATTTTACATCTGGGGAAATCGCGGGAATTACGATCAAAGTTCTGGGAAATTTTGAAACCAAAGGGAACGCTTCATTAGAGCAGAGAGCATTTAAGCCTACGCTTACTGTTAACGGGAAAAAAGGCAACAGTTCGTACATTTCTGGGGTTTCTCTGGATCTTGGTGACGATGTTAATACTTGGAAGATTACTTTTACTCCCATCTTGTTTGGGATTTTCAACATCGTTATAGACGACGAGAACTTCAAAGTCCTGGATTCGTCGCTCCATTTCGAAGTAGCTCCAGGTTCGGTGTTTTTGATGTTACTTCTGCTTCATTTTTGGTTTTCTAGTATCAGAAAGATAGTAAAAATTAAGTCTTTTTTTTTTTACTTGGTGTGAAGGGTTAATGTACCCATCCGTGTGTGTTGTTTCTTGGATGGGTCTTGCAAACGTGTTTGAGGCTGGGATGAATGCATCGATTCTGATTCTTCCCAAGGATGCATTTGGAAATAACATTTCGTTTTCCGGGAAGGAGACGGAGCTTCAGGGGTTTTCGTTGTCTCTTCTCTACGAAAATGGTTCAATCGCTGGCGATCTTAATATCACACACACTAGATGGATTGAATCTGGTTATATTTCCATTGAGTTTGTTCTTGTGACCTCTGGAAAATTCTTACTTCTTGTGGAGAGGGAGAGCCAAACCCTGAACGGTGTTCCTCTACCTCTCGAGGTTAATTCAGGTGATTTGGTTTTAACGTCTATCATGTGCAATTTAGTTTAAGCTAAGCATTTTCTTTGCTGATGTTGTTGGTTTTTGAGCAGGGCCTTTAGATGTTTCCAATTGCCTGAGCATATGGAAGTCAGAGCTCAACACATGGCAGATATTTTCCAAAATGGAGATCTTGCTACACCAGAGAGATCGATTTGGAAACCTTGTTTCTGGATTTTACGAATTTGATGCTGATGTGGTGGAGAAAGAGACGGGTTTGTCCATACCGGTAGCAGATTTCCGGTTTAAGTATGTCGAGCCAGGGATCCAGCTGATGTCTTTCAGCCTGTCTGAACCAGGGAATTTCTTGCTCACTCTTTCTGATATGGAGCACAATAAGAGCGTCTCTGGTATGCCTTATGAGTATACAGTATATATAGGTCAGTGTTTTGCCAAAAAACTGCTTCATGATATTGATGCTACTTTTTGCTCTTTGGTGAATTTACTCTTATAGCACTCCTCTCTTCTTGACAGGTTATTGTGATGGATCAAGAAGTATAGTAAATGGCTCAGGGATCAATGCTTCTATTGCTGGGGAGTCTCTTGAATTCTCTATATACTTGAAAGATGCTTATGGTTATCCTTCACCCATCCAAGTGAGTAGACTTCAGGTCCGAATCTTGCAAGAGACCGATTCCTCGTATATTTTGCCAACCATACAACCGAGAGAGACACTCAATGGTACAAAAGTATTTTCCTTTATTTTCTTACTTCCAAAATTGGTTGATGTCTTCGCTTGTGGCTTTATATTATCGAATGGTTTAACAGGGACTGGATCAAGTCACCGAACTAATACACCATTCTATGGGAAACACGGCAGAGGAGTAAGAAGTTTATCTGCATATGTGCTTATGCATACCCAATTACACCTGGAGACTTAAAGGGGTTTCCTTCTTGCAGGATTTTGACAGCCTATTGATTCAAGCAAGTACTTTTGACGTAAGTTATACTCCAAAAAGGAGTGGAAATTATAAAATCTTTGTATCATCTGGAAACATAGTCCTCAATGGAGGTCAACCTTTTATCAAGGAAGTAATTGCAGGTATCATGCTCCACACCGTAATTAGTCTAAACAACTAGATACTTTCATCTATCAATTGGGAAATGTCTGTTATCATTGTTTGTGATCAGCACACTCTTGCTTCTCTCAGGTGAAGTGAATGTGGCAGAGTGTAGTGTGACCCAATTCAATGCAAAAGTGCCAAAGCAAATCAAGAATGATATTGTGGTCTTGCTATTGGACGGGTTCTACAATCCTGTGCCTTCACAGCCATCTCGGTTAAAGTTGGAGATCACTTCGTCTAACACATCAAATTTCACTACATGGAACTTTGTTGATAATAGTGATGGGACATATACGGGTAGCTATCTGGCCATGGAGATTGGCACTTACCGAATGTGTGTATCGTTTGACAATAAACATATTAAACCTTGCCCCTTTGACGTAAATGTGTATAGCAGTAAGTACATTACTTCTTTTTTTTTTCACCATTATTTTCTTTCCTTCTCTTTCGCTGGTTAGGGAAAAAGTTAATTATTCTTAATTTTCATGGTTTTGAGATTCTCTCATGACTTAGGTGGATACTTTCCAAGAGCCTATGATGATGCAGTTAACGTGTGGGAAGATGAGTCAATCTCTTTCAATTCACTGGAAAACGACTATTTTGCTGGCGACAATGCGAGCATTCTTGGTTTTTCACAAGTGAGGAATGAATGTGGCATTTCTTCTATTTTTTTGCAGACAGTTGGAAAAATAATTTTTATTTAAACTGTCGTTTTCTATTGATTTCTGCTTATTAGCCAGGTCATGGTTCTCTACTGAGAGATGGAAACCTACTTAGATACACGCCACTCAAGGATTTTTCGGGAAATGACTCCTTTCTTTATACAATAGTTGATATCAATGGAAACTTAGCTGTAGCTACAGTGTACATCTTTATCCTTACTGCTCCTCCTCAGTTTGTCTCATTCTCCGGCGGATTGCAAGCAACTGAAGATCTAATCAGTCCTAGATCTGGGAAAGTATTCCTCATCTTTTGTTTGCTTAGAATAAGTCTATCTTAACTCTACACTTCAGCAATGTTAATCTTCGTCTTTGAATGTTATACTACTACAGTGGCTTCTCTGAGTTGGAAATAAGTTACTCAGACCTGCTTGAGAACATTTCAGTAACGGTGCAAGCAATTTCGGGATCAGTTATTCTCTCACCAATGCTGATGCAGTTTAGGCCGCCTGGAAGTGGAAGACTCTCAGTTAGCAACGGTGGTGAAGATGGAAGGCTATTAACCTTAGAAGGACAAATTGGAGTTATCAATCCTGCACTTAAGTCGATTCAGTATCTCGGGTATATATATTTGGAATCATAGATATTTTTTTCTTGTATCACAAGTTAGTTTCAAAGTTCTCTCCCATTTCAACTATTCTTTCTTCCTGTCTCAGAAACGAGAATTTTGCTGGTGTTGATTCTCTTCGGCTGTCCACAAGGAACAAGAATGGGATCAATCAACTTGATGTTCCTGTTTTCGTTGAACCTGTCAACGATCCACCGTTTATTAATGTTCCTCACTATATAATGCTCGAGAGTAATGGGGAGGAATCGCTCATATTTCACAGGGAAACAGACAAATTCAACTTCTCAGTTGGAGATCCGGATCTTGCTAACTTTCCTGGTAATGTTAACAACGGAAACTTCACTGTTGATTCACTTAAAAGCTAGCAAAACCCTTTTTTTTTTCATTCTGATAAGAAGCAAAATGTTCAGGTGGTGAATCTCATTTCTTAGTAACGTTTTCCGTCGAAGTTACTGACGGGCTTCTGCTGACAAACTTACCGTCCGAGCTTATAAACTCAACAGAGCTAAAGTTCAAAAACATATTCCAGTGGCAGCCAATTCAGACTTACACTGCCATTTCTAAACACGTGAATGTCAAAGCCAGTGGGATCAGGTTTCGTGGAACAATTAAGCAATGCAACGACCTTATGCAACAGCTGCTCCATCACGTACAGTCAAATCATCTATCTTTTCAATTGAGTGTTTTTTGGTTCTTGATATCATCATCATCACAAAATATTGTGTAGGGAGGAGAGAATGGAGCTATCTTGACCCTGAAACTGAGTGATATGGGGAACTACGGGTGCTTTCTTGATTGCACTGAGAGAATTTCACAGCCTCTACACGCGGAAGCTCGCGTAAACATCATCAGAAAGAGACCCTTGAGTTCCCTTGCAGGTCACGGTACGTGTATATGAAACATTTGGAGTGGCTTCGATTTGGTTTTAGTTTAGTCTAAATCGGTTTAATCTAATTTTTGAACATGATGATTTTAGTAAACGCACATTTTGTTAGATGAACCGTTTGGTTAGAATGTTTCGGTGTTGTTTCTTATGCTGTTTCTCTGGTTCCAGTAATAATAATACCTTTTGTCACTATGGTCGCAGTTCTAGGCTCTGTAATTGTGGTGGAGTCTGTCGTGGTATTCTCTCTCGCTACGTTGCTTCTGTTCTTCACTTGCAAATGCGCAGTTCTTCTCGTACACGAGAGAAGAAACGAACCTTATGCTCACAAGAACTCGCAGAAACCAACGGTAATTAACGAACTCATCTCCCTTGTTCTGTTTTTTTTTGGGTTAAAGTCTCCCTTGTTCTTACAGCCAAGTTGTGTCCAAACATAAAAAAAAAAGGGTACTGTATTTATCTCTTCTGGACTAGGACAATGCCGAATTGTTAGATGACAATGTTGCAACAAGAAGATACCCTTGTTGTCTTCCGAGGAGTATCTGGAATGGCCATGCCACGCAGAGGTATATCTGTGTATATATCTGATATTTTGGGGGAAATGGTTAAATTTGTATAAATAATCTCTTCTTAGGACGCTTATGTATTTTGTGTTTGTTTGGTGGTACAGACAAGTCGGCGAAACTTATGGCAATCAGAACAAGGAGCTACCAGAGATTGACATTTTTCCGCTAGAGCTAGAGAAGGCTAGAAGTTTATGAAGCTGAGCCATCAGGATTACATTACAAACCATCAGACAATCTACTGAAGAATCTCATGAAAGGTTGATGATGTTAAAAAAGTGAAAAAAGTGTTAATGGATGTATTGTCTCATTGTTAAAAAAGTTTAAGAAATTTACAATATAAAACCCTCCATTTACTTTTAATTTTCAACTAAAATCTTTATTTTAAATATTTTATTGATTTCTAGTTTCTTGTCAAGTAAACATTTTAAACAAAATATCAAATTGCCATTCCTTTTAGTGACTGAAATATAACACCTTCATTTATCACATCCAGAGCCGAGCACAGGCTAATGAAGCATATGTTTTAGGACCAGAAAAGTTAAATATTTTTTTAGGGCCAATTTTCCAAAGTTTGAATTAGTCCAAATGGTTTGTGAATAGGTGAAAGCGCGTTTGATTAGAGGTTTACCTGGGTTTGATTCTTTCCAAGCGCATATCTGTCATTTTTTCTTCTTTTTACAAACTATTTATGGGCTAAGCTGCATTAAAAAGAATCACGGCTCTGATCACATCTTAAATAAAATTGTATAACTAAAACCTCAAAAAGTTTAAATTAATTAATATATATCAAATGTTAACAGTTGTCAAAGAGGGAGTACTATTACACAAAAATTAAACAATCCTAACATTAAGTGAGATATATGTTTCAATGTTTGAAATTTTTTATGAAATTTACCATATAAAACCCTCCGTTTTTTTCAAATTTTCAACTAAAATCTTCATTAAATTTATTATTTCTGGTTTATAGTCATATAAAAATTTTAAACCAGATACCAAATTTGCACTTTTGAGTGATGAAAAATATAGCATTGTCTTGTATCACATCTTAAGTAAAATTAAAATGTGAACAAATTTAAAGAAATTAATAATCGAATCTTCCAGTTTTCAAAAAGAGAGAGTAATAATCCACAAAAGTTAAAAAATCCTAACATTTTGTATCACATCTCAAATAAAACTAATACATGAATATGTGTAAATTAATTGGTAATATATCAGAATCTTAGTTGTCAAAAAATTCCCCAAAAGTTAAAAAATCCTAACATTTTGTATCACATTTCAAATAAAACCAATACATGAATATGTGTAAATTAATTAGTAATATATCAGAATCTTAGTTGTCAAAAAATTCCCCAAAAGTTAAAAAATCCTAACATTCATTGTGAGATACATGTATGAAATGTACACAACCTTTTGGCACAGTCCTAATTCCAAAAATGAAAAAGAAATTCAGGCGGGGTTTTTTTTCATTTTTTCATTTTAAAAAAGTTTTAGCGCCGTTTATTGCCGCGCGTCGTTCGCTCGTCTCTCTCCTTCTATACCTTTTAACCCTCTCAATTAAATCCAAGCAAACCCCTACTCACACCTTACTCGTTCTTCTATCTTCTTCAATCGCCTTTTCGAATTTCTCTCTCAGATCTGCTGGGCTTTCGCATTCCTCTATCGATTTCGCTTCTAAACTGTAAGTTTTCCGTCTAATATCGTGTCGATTTCAAAGTACAGTGATTCGCAAAACCCTAGCTGTTCCCCGCTCTAATCGTTCAACAATTTAACCTAGATTCGAAGGATTTAGCTTAAAATTCTGGGATTTAGTTTGTTTCTCGTCGATATAATCGATGTAAAGTAGAAACATTCATTTCGAGGGTTTTGATTATATAGATTCATCCGATAAGATATATTTCAGATTCCGAGGACTCTTTGTTTTTTTTTCATTTAACTATGCCTGTATCTCTTCTGGAAAAATTTTCATTGAGCTTCCGTAAATTTTTGCTTCAATATAGGTTTTTAAAATGGCGCAAAAGAAGAGAGCTCTTCCAGAGAGCAAAGAGTCAGATGTCTCTAGCTCTAGGAGTACTAGACCAAAGCGAGCCGCAGCATGTACAGACTTCAAGGAAAAATCCGTCCGTATCTCTGAAAAATCTGACATTATTGAAGCAAAGCAACTACAGACTGTGGAGGAGGAGATTGTAGCTCTACACTTGACACCTTCTCCGCAGAGCGGCGATGAACCTCGTCAAACCAGGAGGCTAACTGATTTCCTCTTACATGATACAAATGGAGTTCCACAGCCTGTGGAGATGTTGGAGATTGAAGACTGTTTCATCGCAGGTGTTATCTTACCTTCAGATGAATGTCCTGGCAAGGAGAAAGAAGAAGGCGTGAGGTGTCAATCTTTTGGACGGGTGGAGAATTGGAGTATATCTGGATATGAAGATGGTTCACCGGTCGTTTGGATGTCAACCGAGTTGGCAGATTATGTTTGCGTTAAGCCTGCTACTGGCTACAAGAAGATGTATGATTATTTCTTTGAGAAGGCGCTTGCCTCTGTGGCGGTTTATAAGAAATTGTCCAAGTCTGCTGGTGGGAACCCTGACTCGAGTCTTGACGAGTTGCTTGCGGCTGTTGCTAGGTCTATGAGTGGAAGCAAGTGCTTTTCTAGCGGTTTTGCCATCCAAGATTTTGTTATATTCCAAGGGGAATTCATATATAACCAGCTTGCTGGTTTGGACGAGACTGCCAAGAAACATGAAACAAGCTTCGCTGAGACTCCTGCGCTCGTTGCTCTCAGAGATGAGAGTAGTAGACATGACAAGGCTTTTCAGATGGAAGGGAAATCTTCTAATGGGGCTCTGAGGATTGGTGGCATTTCTGAAGTTGCAGAGAGCGAGGCCTTGACATCTGATCAACGGGATGATGGTGTTGACGAGGACAGAAGATATGCTAGAATTTTACAAGACGAAGAGTATAGAAAAGCTCTGCAAAGGCCCAGGAAAAACATCAGCTCAGCTTCTGCTTCAGATAAGGTCTACATAAAAATCAATGAAGATGAGATTGCCAACGACTATCCTCTCCCATCTTTTTATAAGAATACCCAAGAAGAAACAGATGAGCTTTTAGTGTCTGATGGCTATGTGCTTGGCTATGAGGATCTACCTCGCATGATGCTTAAAAACTGGGCTCTTTACAACTCTGATTCAAGGTTGATATCCCTGGAGCTTCTTCCGATGAAGTATTGTGCTGATATTGATGTAAATATTTTTGGATCTGGTTTGGTGGTTGAGGACGATGGAAGCTGGATTTCTCTCGATGATCCTGACGCCTCTACACAGTCAGAGGAGGATCCTAATGGTGTGCCTATATTCCTCAGTCAAATAAAGGAATGGATGATTGAATATGGGTCCTCAATGGTATCGATTTCAATACGAACAGATGTGGCCTGGTAAGCTGTCTATTCTAGCATTTGCAACCACGTTTCTACGTCGTTTTTTTGGTCTGTTGCTGACGCATCAGGTTTATGCAGGTATCGACTTGGGAAACCATCGAAGCAGTACGCCCCTTGGCATGGACCTGTTCTGAAAATAGCAAGGGTCGGGATAAGCATTATTACTTTGCTGGATGAGCAAACTAGGGCTGCTAGGCTATCATTTCAAAATGTCATAAAAAGAGTGTCCGAGTTCGAGAAGAGCCATACAGGTTATATTTCTTCTGATCTCTCGGCTGTTGAGAGATATGTGGTCGTCCATGGACAATTAATCTCGCAGCTATTTTCAGACTTTCCTAACGATGATATCAAAAAGTGTCCATTTATTATTGACCTTGGAAGTAAAATGGAGGAAAGGCACCACACAAAATGGACCATCAAGAAGAAGAAAGTTTTTCAGAGGGAAGTGAATCTGAATCCAAGGGCAGGTATGGCACCTGTGGCATCCAAGAGGAAGGCCATGCAAGCAACAACAACTCGCCTGATCAACAGAATTTGGGGAGAGTACTACTCCAATTACACTCCAGAGGTTTCATCGCAGGAGAATGGTGCAGAAAATGTGGAGAATGGTGCAGAAAATGAGGAGGTAGAGTTTGAAGAGGAGGCCGAAAATGAAGAAGATGATGACCCAGAGGAAACTGTACTAGAACCTGTTGAGGTTCACCAGTCTCATACTCCAAAGAAAATTTTAGGCACAACCGGCAAAAAGGAAATAAGATGGGATGGTGAGATTCTAGGCAAAACTTCTTCTGGTGAGCCTCTCTATCGACAAGCCCTAGTTGGAGGGGAAATGGTGGCTGTAGGTGGGGCTGTTTTCTTGGAAGTTGATGAAGTTCCGGCCATCTACTTTGTGGAGTACATGTTCGAAAGATCAGACCATTGCCAAATGCTACATGGTAGACTCCTACAAAGAGGATCCGAGACTGTTCTCGGTAATGCTGGTAACGAGAGGGAGCTCTTCCTGACTGATGAATGCATGGCTCTACAGCTCAAGGACATACAAGGAACAGCCAGTTTCGAGATTCGTTCAAGACCATGGGGGCATCAGTATAGGAAAGAAAACACCGCCGCGGATAAGCTTGACCGTGCCAGAGCAGAAGAAAGAAAGGCAAAAGACTTGCCAACAGAATACTTTTGCAAAAGCTTGTATTCGCCTGAGAGAGGGGGCTTCTTTACTCTTCCACTAAGTGATATTGGCCGTGGTTCTGGATCCTGCGTTTCATGTAGGATAAAGGAGGATGAAGAGGAAAGGGCAAAGATTAAACTCAATGTTTCAAAGACGGGCTTTTCCTCCAACGGGATTCAATATTCTTCTGGGGATTTTGTCTACGTCAACCCCGAATATATAAGTATAGATGGACTGAAAGAGAGTAATGGAACATTCAAGTCTGGGAGGAACATTGGTTTAAGAGCTTATGCTGTCTGCCAATTGCTGGAGATCATTGTCCCACAGGAATCTAGAAAGGGTTCCTTTGAGGTTAAAGTGAGAAGGTTTTATAGGCCTGAGGATATTTCTGCAGAGAAGGCTTATGCTTCAGACATCCGAGAGGTTAGAACTATTTCTGATGCAATATTATATTGATGTTTTAAATAACGAAGGTTACTTTGTTGGTTTCTTGATAATTTCTCTTACAATATTTTTTCTGTCCCTTTTTCCCTTGCAAATTTTTTCAGTTGTATTACAGCCAAGACACAGATGTTCTCCCTCCAGAGGCTCTAGAGGGAAAATGTGAAGTGAGGAAGAAAATTGATATGCCCTTATGCTCTGAATATCCAATATCAGAGAATATCTTCTTCTGTGAACATTTCTATGACTCGTCCAAAGGTTCCCTCAAGCAGGTATGTACTTCTTCAATCCTTTCGTTTGCGTTTGTATAGTTTTAATAATAATTTGTTTGTTATGATTATTGCTGTTTCCGACACAAAGTTGAACTGTCACTCTTAAATGTCTTGTAACAGTTACCCTTCAACATCAAGCCGAAGTTCTCTACCATTGAGGACGACACGCTTCTAAGAAAGAAAAAGGGCAAGGGAGTAGAGAGTGAAGCTGATGATTCTGGGACTGTCAAGCCTGATGAGGTACCTAAAGAGATGCGTCTGGCTACACTGGACATTTTTGCTGGTTGTGGTGGCCTCTCTAAAGGACTGGAACAAGCAGGTACGTATTATCTCCATTCAACACTTACTCCACAAAAACGTTTGAACAAGTTCTAATTATTTGCATGTTTTATATACAAAGGTATATCTGAGACAAAGTGGGCGATCGAGTATGAAGAGCCAGCTGGGCAGGCCTTCAAGAAAAACCATCCGGAATCAACAGTTTTTGTCAACAACTGCAACGTGATTCTTAGGTAATATATCTTACAAGATAAAACACTTACTCTTCCAGTGTGGCTATTTCTTGTGTTGTGATCAGTTTGTTGTGATTATCTGCAGGGCCATAATGGAGAAAGGTGGAGATCAAGATGAGTGTATCTCTACAAAAGAGGCAGATGAACTCGCAGCTAAACTTGATGAGGATCAGAAGCGTACTCTGCCACTGCCTGGTCAAGTGGATTTCATCAACGGAGGCCCTCCATGCCAGGTATATATGTATTCTTAAGATTGTTGGTATACTTGTATAGAGTTTTTGTTGAATAAGTGAAAAGCTATTAACCTGTGCAATTTGGCAGGGATTTTCTGGTATGAACAGGTTCAACCAAAGCTCTTGGAGTAAAGTTCAGTGTGAAATGATATTAGCATTCCTGTCCTTTGCTGATTATTTCCGGCCAAGGTATTTTCTTCTGGAGAACGTGAGGACCTTTGTGTCATTCAATAAAGGGCAGACATTTCAACTTACACTGGCGTCTCTTCTCGAAATGGGCTACCAGGTAAAATTTGTAGTGCCATGTGAGCAATAGTTTTCAAGATAAAGTCTGAAGTTGAATTCAACAACTGTTCAATATGATGTTGTTTTCCAGGTGAGATTTGGAATCTTGGAGGCAGGTGCATATGGGGTTTCTCAATCTCGCAAAAGAGCTTTTATTTGGGCAGCTGCACCAGGAGAAGTTCTACCAGAATGGCCTGAACCTATGCATGTCTTCAATGTTCCGGAGTTGAAAATCTCACTATCCAAAGGTTCACACTATGCTGCCGTTCGTAGTACTCAATCTGGTGCAGCTTTCAGGCCAATCACAGTGAGAGACACAATTGGAGATCTTCCACCAGTAGAAAACGGAGAATCAAAGACAAACAAAGAGGTATGACAACAACCTTCAGGAGAAAGTATTTATTATAAACACATATATGTTAACACAAGGACATGAACCCACCATTCTTGTGTCTTGCAGTATCAGGCTGACCCAATCTCGTGGTTCCAAAAAGAAATCAGAGGAAACATGATTTCTCTGACTGATCATATCTGCAAAGAGATGTGCGAACTAAACCTCATTCGATGTAAGAGAATCCCAAAGAGACCAGGTGCTGATTGGCGTGACCTCCCAGATGAAAAGGTCAGTCTTATACATCCGTCTATGGGGAATTAAAAGGAATTGCTTTTAGAGCTTGAAAGCTTACTTTTACTATTACAGATCACCTTATCAAATGGGAAAGTGGAACCTTTGATTCCATGGTGTTTGCCAAACACAGCTAAGCGTCACAACCAATGGAAGGGACTCTTTGGGAGATTGGACTGGCAAGGCAACTTTCCAACTTCCATTACTGATCCTCAGCCAATGGGTAAGGTTGGAATGTGCTTCCATCCTGACCAAGACAGAATCCTCACAGTCCGTGAATGCGCCCGATCTCAGGTAAGCAAAAAAATTCTTAATAATGTCAAAGCACTTGTTGGTTTGGAAAGATCGTTCAGATACCTTTTATTGATAGGGCTCTTAAGAATTGGTTGGTATTATGAAAATGAATTTGCAGGGGTTTCCGGATAGCTATGAGTTTGCAGGGAACATAACACACAAGCATAGGCAGATTGGGAATGCAGTGCCTCCACCATTGGCTTTTGCTCTTGGCCGTAAGCTCAAAGAAGCGGTGCGTCTAAAGGCGTCTCTTCAACAGCAACCCTAAATTTTGGATCATCATTTAGATTGGCATTTCCACTTTTATTAGTCATTGTAATCCTCCTCTTGAAACTCGTAGTCATTGGTGTAGGAGAGATTTGTATATTTCCATTTCTCGATTGGGGTTGATGAAACATTATTTAAGAGTAATCAGAAAGATAAAAAAAGTTCAAACTACTTCAACTCATTTTCAGTTTTTTGTTTTTTGGTTTTGCTTTGTTTTTTAAATAAATCATAAACAAAATCTTACACAACGACGTTTATTACGCTTACAGAACAAACTGTAAAATATACATCTAAATTCTAACCAACAAATTACCTATCGTATATCCCTTCACATCCTGTAATTCACGATATCTAGCTTGATGTAAAACAAAAATTGATCATATCAAATCCCAGACTGATTGATAAATGCACTGGACAACAATTAATCATAATATAATTTGATGATTAAATGATAAATTACGTACCTAAAACTAGGATTAAAAACATCACAATTAATAACGGGAGCTGGTTTTAGCACCCAGTAAATCACACATACTCTTTTTTTATAGATGATCAACCCATCTAAAACTCGTAGGGCCAGATGGGCCCAAAAATCAAATCTCTCCCAAATATATATCTGATTAAAAGAAAAAAAAAGGAACTTTCTTTCATTTTCTTCCATCACGATAGGATGATCCTCTCTCTTTCTATATTTTCATACGGATAATAACAATCACGTGACCAAGTAAATAGGACCCGACATGGAAGAGGTACCGATCCTCTGCTGCCGTTCCATGGTAAGCTCCCGTAGACTCAGATACGGAATCGCTGGCGTCAGCGTCAACGACGGTCTAATCGTCCGGTACGGCGTGCTCGAACCGCTCCGGCTCTCCGTCACGTAAACCGGACCCGATATCGAACCCGCGGAGGCGCGAAAATTCCTAGCCCTCGCAATGTGAACGTCGCGATCGTCGAATCCCATGTCACCGTCGTCGCCGGCGTAATGGCTGCCGCGTCGTCCGACGGCGGAGACTGGCCATTTCCGCCAGTTGAAGAAGAGCAAAGCGTTTTTCCACCAGAACCAACGCTTCTTCTTCTTGTTCTTCGCGTGAAGAGTGGTTCTTCGAATCAGGTCGTCCTTCGATATGGGTTTCTGGAGCTTGAACTGAATACTGTCAATGGAGGAGTTTTCTTTCTTGTGCTTCCTCGCTTCTTCCAAAACCTTAGAACAGACTCAAAAAACAGAGATGAAGATAACAAGACTCATTAGGAAATTAAAAAAAAAAACAGAGGAAGCAGCAGGGAAGAAGAAAGAAACCTGAAAGTAGTCGATTTGGGGATCGAAGCCATAATCGCTGAAATGTTGAGATTGGGGAAAGGGGAAAACTGGGGAATTGTTGGACATTCTTCTTTTACAGTTACTGGGGAGAGGAGCGTGAAATGGTTTTTAATGGCGGAAAGGGGTTGGCTTTTAGGGGTTCGAGAGAGAAAGTGAGCTTTTTGCTTGATTCAATGTTCTTTCACTATCTTGTCGTTTTTCACCTTCTTTTTCGGTTATTACATCCCAAATACTTTCAAATTATACATCTAAAAATGGACATTCGTAATTATCTAAACTCAGACTTTGTATTCCTCTAGCGATCACACTGTTAATGATTTTCTTATTATACGGTCATCATGATCATCAGAATCTTATTACAAAGATTTAAATTTTAATATGATTTCTTATACTACACTTTTTTTTTTTTTTTTGGTTTTGAGTATCTCAAGATCCATTGAACATTTAATAGTACCAAGGAATTCTCCTGGGCCCTTCCTATCATTTATTCTCTCGCGTTTACTACTCACAAAAAGCATATGACTTTATCAAAGATTTTACGAAACAAGGAGTCAATTTAATACCAGCTACAGTATTATAGCTTTTCTATTTGTAGGTAACTTATTCGGATTTTGTATTTGGCGTTATAGATGTATAAAGTATATTCGCGTTCACGAAATGGTATCCAACTATCCATAGTCAATTAAGTACTATGTAATAGGTTTTCAGACGAGACGGAGATCAGATGACATACGTAAGAAAAAATCATCTTTGATAACAATTTCGAAAAAATAAAGAACAAATGGAATTTGAAAAACAAAAAAAATACTAAAGAATTGTGGAATCTACTGCATATTAGGCGTATAAGGCACATGAGTTTGTGGAATCCACAAGTTGCCGCGTAAAAATCTAGCAGGAGTGAATTTAAGTGCCTGCCTAGGCGAGATATTCTTAATTCCAGCCCAATTAACACGTTGGGCTTGGTTTGACCCAGGCCCACTATTCTGATACTCGGCGTAATAAAGCGTGTTGAGTGCAAAATCACCATCCCAAGGAAGCCAACCCGCTGGGTCAATAACGTTATCAATGTTCGTCATCATTACAATGGTCCTCGAGAACACTTTCCATGGCCTTCCAAGATATGCTTTGTTTACAGCTTTCACCGGAATATACGCCGGCTCTCCGGTGATACGGCAGTTGTGTAGCACAATCCCCGTGGATTCACGCACGTCGGTGCGTCCTTGAGCTGTGACTATGCAAGATTGGCCTCCCATGGGCTTTCTCACCACGATGTTGCAGTTTTGGAAGAGTGACTTTGCGTCTCCAAAGATGAAATCTACTGTGCCGGAGATTGTGCAGTCACGGTAGAACTGACGGTGGGCATGCACGTAGAGTGTGTCTTGGTAGCCATCCATTTGACAGTTGTGGAAAACCGCATAATCCGCAGAGACTCTTAGTGCCACGGCTTGATGTCCTTCGGGACCAGCTGTGTTCTCAAATCCGATGTTTTTCGCTGTGAAGTTATCACCGTTGATTGCTACACACGCAAACAAACTATTAGGTTACATGCATGTTTGTTTTGGTCAGAATATTTTGGACTATGTTTTAGGGTTTAGAATTGGACTCACCGACAGTGGCAGTTTGGTAGGTCTTGACTTTGCCGATGCGAAAGTTAAGATTACCGGTGATCTTAGTTCTTGTGGGTCCATCTCCGATGAAAGTGACGTGAGTCATCTTTTTGGTAACGTCGACATTCTCCTTGTAGATACCTTGCTTGATGTAGATAACGAATGGCCATCTGTTGTTTTGAGGCACAGCCTTCAAGGCCTCGTCGATACTCTTGTACTGACCACTTCCGTCTTGCGCCACCACCACGTTAGCTTTTACACCTCCTTGCGTCGCTGCCATGAGCCTTCGAGTGTTTGTTCCCACCCAGCTTGGGATACCTTCTTCCGTCGACAAAAGCTTCCTAGCGTAGTTTCCTAGATCTCCGGTTACTTCTGTTACTCAAAAAAACGTTAGTATTATTCATTTATATATGCTACTTGGGAGTGATATATAATCTGAAGTAAAGAAAAGTTACCTGTGATGTTGACCTTTCCAAGAAGGATTGAGAGGTCAGTAATCATGGCAAGACTATTACTAGTGAGTTCTTTGGATGTTTTAAAGATGTTTTTCATGTCTTGTGCAAGGTTTGACTTGACTTCCTCAAAAGTATCCATACATGTTTGCTGATACGCAATGGAGCCACTGAGCCAGACACGAAGATCCTCTACGAAGTCTTCGATTTGAGTTATTGAGAACCCATCAAAGTTATCAAAACACTTCTTCAGATCGTCCGTAGCGTCATTCATAAGATTCTCACACAACTCTAGAGCTCCCTTGGTCTCTTCGTCTTTGGCTGCCTTGGCTTTCAGCTCTGTGGAGGATCTCTTGATGCCATCTTTGATGGATCGAATGGTGACGTCGAAGCTGAGCTTGATGAGATCTAGAGGCTCAGTAGAGTTAGGAGAAGCTTCCATGAGGCTGTTTACACATGTGTCTTTGAAGTCAGTGGGTGAACAGACCGCTTGGACTGCCTTTGTTGTCGTTTTAATTTTGTCTGAAGCCTTGCAATCTTTTGATACTATGACGGCCACAGAGACAACCATGACAACGAGCAAAGCCGAGATAGCCCCGGCGATGATGCCTTTCTTCTTTTTGTTGTCACCACCAAACCCCATTTTTTAATTTTCTAGAATTCACAATTTCAAGAAATCAAGAAAGAGAATTTTAGTTCTTTTTTCTTTCAAGTTGTTATTGTAGATGGGGGAAGAAAAAAACAGAGTAGGAGGGGCCTGAACTGTGGCCTAAGCCCCTTCCGTCTCTGATTTTTTCTTTCTTTCTTTTAGGGTTTGTGTATATGATTGTTTGTTGGATGGAGTTAATATAATGGAGAGACAAAGTGCTATTATTGGGGTTTAAGAAGAAAAATGAGGCTAAGAATTTAAGATAACATTTCAGATTTTCTGTCGTTAGGGGTGTGTTTGTCTTTCAAGGTTGACCATTCTTGTGTCTTCGACTCTAGAAATAGTGTTAACTATTGTTAGATCTTAGATACCAACCAGACAAGCATATTGTCATTGATATCAAGAAAAGCAAGTCCAAAACCAAACCACGCATGGAAACAAAAGCTGACAATAGCTTTATTCAATATAACAGAAACAGAAACGCAGCAGATAGAATCCAACCATGGCTTGTTCAATGCTCATCCGCTGCCAGTGGGATTGAATTGGCCTGCAAACCAGAGAAAAAACATGACCATGTAAGTTAAGTAGACAACGAAACCGAAAGAAGAAGAATGAGTTACACTGACCAAATCACGAAACTTCAGAGAGTAAAACATCTCTAGGTAACGTCGTGTTTCTCTCCTTTCGAGCTTAGACACGTGTTTCCAGAATGCATAGACTCCAGCCAGCGTAAGCAGCCTCTCTGAGTACTTCTTCCAGGTGTACCTATACATTCATAAACCCTTAATAAAGCAATTATATTGGTGAACCGATTAGGTTTCTTTTGTTGAGCCTGTCAAGGAAAAAAAGGGTCAACCTTTCATAGATTCTCTTAAGCCCTCCTTCAGAGATTTTTCCCCAGTGATTTGGATCTGTTTTGCAGGTCTCGAAGAAGCTGACCAGAGTAGTTGCAACCTGGTCTGGATGATATGGGTCAATGTGGAACCCCGAAACTCTATTCTCGATGATCTCTGCGGGTCCACCATGACAGGTAGCAAACGTTGGGAGCCCACAAGTCATTGATTCCACAACTGTGAGCCCAAAAGCTTCATAGAAAGCAGGCTGTGGTAGAAAAAGAGAGAAAGATGAGTCCGTAAACCTTACAACGTCTTTATCAAGGGAGTGTATCTTCATGTTACCTGAACAAAAACACCTTTTGTGTCTGCGATATAACGGTAAAGCTCACCATTCCGAGCACGGTTCATTTGAGCAGCTATCCACCTGAATTCACCGTGTAAATCATACTGCTCGATCAGGCTGTGCATCTTTTGTATCTCAGCCATTTCCTCTCTGTCCCTGGACTGATTCCCGTCCACGTAGCCACCGACAACAACAAGATTCGCTACCTCTCTCAGGTTGCTATTCTTGGCATAACACTCAACTAGCCCAGTCAAGTTTTTCACCCTGTCAAGTCTTGCCATGGAGAAGATGATAGGCTTCGATTGGTCGCTCAGGAAACCACTGTATCGACACAAAAAGATTGAGACATGCAAACCAATCCAAATATTACGTGGTTGTCTAAGTTGTTTTTTGTATGACTAAATCAGAATTCAGAAATTCTGTAAAAAGACTTACACATGCTCATCATTCTGTTCGGCGCTAAAGAGGAGTTCTTCAATTGACTCGTGAAGGGCAGTGAGTCTTTTTTCCTTGTCAGAATATGGAAAATATATGGTCATATCAGCTCCTGGAGAGACTATATTAAACTTGGGATCAAAGACATCGATTCCATGTACAACTCTGTAAAGACCAGGAAGAGTGAAAGCTGTGTGGCTCTCGTATTGCCCAACATTGTTCTTGCTGTGACAAAAGCAAAACAGTGTCTGTTGGCATCAAACCACAATAACAAAGGACAACAGAATGCAGCTGAATATCGGATGATACTTTTACCTTCCCGCGATCTCTTGGTATGTGCTGGTGATGATGAAATCGGCATTATTCATGGCAATTAGATCTGCAGTGAACTGACTTGCAAAATGATACTTATCTTCATGGTTTCTCCAGTAAATGTCAGACTCGGGGTACTTGGTCTTCTCTAAAGCATGAGCAATATTACACTGCATCTCAGATGGTAAAGGAGAGGTCAGAACCAAAGCTTATACGTCTTTTATGAACAAAACTGCATTTGATATTACAGAGAAGTACTAGCATAAAACCCATCAACCTGTATGACGCCTAGCTTACAAGCTAACAAAGAAGCCACGAGATTTCCATCACTGTAGTTGCCAATGATGAGGTTTGGTACACCCTGTAACTCCGCCGAAATTTCGTTTGATGCGTCCTAGTCAGATATATAGAAGTAAAGTGTAAGCCAATATGTAAAAGAAAAGGTGCACGCGTAGATAGCTGAAACAGATTGTCCTACATTATACATACAAATGTATATTCTTTAGTTCACCCTAAGTTTAAGCCAATCCCATCTAAATAGAGAAGCAAGAAGAAATTTCAGAATTGCATAGAAATATGGCTACTAGTCCGTGCTAACCTCTGCAAAAGTCTCCAGGTATGGCCAGACATCAAACCTCGAGATCCACTTGCGAAGGATGCCTTTTTCAGTCCTAAATGGTATTCGTAGAATATGTGCATGTTCTGTACCACTAACTTTTTCTAACCTCTGGTTGCACGTTGTTCCTTTTGCTTCGGGTATCAACCTTGTTACCTATATAAGCCAGCATGGAAACATGAACGTAAATTGAAACTTGAATGCAAAAAATTTCAATGGTGAAGAGCTAAGTAGACAATCAGCAAGCAGATATACAATGAGAATCTTTGGAACAACATCCAGCCCTTGCTTCTGTATCCTAAGGAGCATCTCGTTTTCCAAAGCACGTACTTGATCAAGAATGTAGACAACCTACAAATCCGAACATCAGAATAAAAAGTTGAATCAACAGAGAACGACTAAGTTCCCACAACCGACCAAATCTACCTGTCCACCAGTATCAGGAAGACCCAACACATTTGCTTGGCCAAAGTAACCATGCGGAGACAAAATCACAACATTGAACACCATAGGAATCCTTCCTAGAAACGTCTCCAAGACAGAAGGGTCAGGTGCCTGGAGTATGTCCAGAAGAAGATGCACCATTTCTGAAACCTTCTGTGCTGTGTCACCCCATCCTCTTTCAAATCCCATCCCTTGTAGTCTTCACCAAAGTACAATGTGCAAAGAAGCAAAAGGGCAACATAATTTGGTTGCTAGTAAATACGAAAAAACGGAAATGCAGCAAATGGCGAAAGGTCTTACTCAAATTCGAACTCAGAGTATGGTGTCGCCAGAGGAAGCTTAGAAAGGAACTCCTCTGCCCTTGCCAAAGCTTCCTGAAGTGTGTAGATGGTCTGTATTCGGTCATTCAGCATCATGGCCTGCATTATACATGGAGAGTACAAAGTCAGTATTCTATACTAATTACACATTGTTTATGACGTAAACGACGTTCTCAAGTGTAGAAAAAACTAACACGCCCATCATGTTTGTGAGTGCGAAGAAACTCAAGCAAAGGCTCCATGCTAACGTTGTTACGGAACATAATTGACGAGAGGTGACGATTGAGGAATTGAACCCCATTCCCAATGGATGATGACCGAGTTGGGCGAGGAAATGTTGCGTTGAACGGTTCAAAATCAAGCTCGAGAAGATAATTCCCATTGGCACTGATGAAAAAGGTTGAGACTTTGAGCATCTAAGCAGAGAAGTATGTACTACACACAGGATTTACTTACTGTCCATTAACTAGCTCTTCCTTAAACCGAAGATACTCAGAAACAGTTAAATGATCAACGCTCAGCTCGTACACATTCACACGGACATATTCCCTAACACCAGGTCTGGGACGAATAGCCATCGCAACAAATGGAGGCAAGACAATGGCTTCCTGAATGCGAAAACTTCAGTGTATTACACATCAAGGTATATATACCAAAAGATATAATATGAACAAAACATAGTCATGATTTTCGAATGCTATATTTTCACCTCTGCAGACTGCAGAACTTTCATGAATGGACGATTGTAAAGATCTTCTGTTGCTCCATCTACTTTCACAGTCTTAAGGAACTCGTCAATTAGCTGGTGGGACTGCAATATCCCCTTTCCCTGAGCTACATATCTAATTATAGCAACCAAACTATTACTACTTAGACCAACCACAACAACACACATGCAAGGTGAAAGAACAAACTGGCTCTATTCTCAAATGACTGACTCATACATAGAAGTTTCAAAAGATGAAATATTAGTCAATTGATCAAATAAAAACCAGACCTGCAGAATCATGCATGTTACCAAACTATTTAATACAGATTCAGTGAAGATAGACCTGGAGAAAAGAGAGAGGAGCTCATTGCGTTGAGCAGAGATGGCGTCGTGAACCCATTCACGCATCGTCTCGAACCTACCGGTCGGCATGATTTTGTCTCAGAGGCAAAAACACAAACACTTGCAAGGCAAAACCCAGAAGGTGATGGAATTGTAGTAGGAGAATCCACTCCAGCATATGATATGTATACACGGGACTGAAGAAAGACGCCATTTTTAAGGCCCCTGTAACTTGGTGAGAGGTGGCGAACGAGGACGACACTTGGCGCCAGAGATAATCGTGGGTGATCTTCTCCTGCGCCACCATCTGTAAAGCTTAATCCGCCTTAGAGCGTATCGCCCGCTGTGATGGGCCTCCGGTACGTGAAAGCCACGCACCAATCGGAGATCGCTTGCTCTGATTTCACACTACACGACGAGCCATTGGTTCGTTAACTAGTCCGACCCACATCAAGACCCGCCAAAATCGACCATTTTCTTTGCTGACAATCGCAAAAGAATTATTTTTAAAATTGTTTTTGTGTTTTTTAACCTCCGGGATATTTTTCCGACGATGGTTTTTTTGGGTTATCTTGAATCTTTTATTTACCTTGGTCTTTTTCTTGTATAGAAAGGTACCAGCTTATCGCATTAGCCGGCTCATTTCAATCTCAATTCGATGTTTCAGATGAGTTTGGGCAATTCTGTATTCTATATATTTTTTACTAAATGAGTTAAGAAATCGAGCTGAATCGAGTTGGTAAGTTATACTATATGATTAAGTCGATAATCTTCGTTCGCTCGTGACGAACTTTTCAAGTTTTTGTAATGTACCCTCTATATATGAAAAACTGCAAGAGTACATTCAATTCATGAGAAGTCCGCAATATAACCGTGGACATTAACGGATTATTAGTTTGTTTGGGATTTTGTTTAAATTTTTCTGTAAATGAGATTATTATTAATTGGCAAATTATACCAAAAATGTAGACGAGTACAGAAAAATTTACAGAATTAATCAAATCAATTATTTTCTCAATAATTATTACATCATTCAATTCAATGTTTTATTTAATTTTTTGTACTGCAATTTGATATTTTCTGAAAGTAAAAAATGTCAATCTTACTCAGTTTGGCAAAAAATAAAGTTTCCGACTATTTCACTTCACAAATAATGAATAAAATCCTCAACTTTGGGTTGATTTGATATCCTTACTTAATAATTAGTCAAACTTAACATTAACGTTGAATTTTTTTGGAGCCGAAACTAGTAAGTTGATAATTTGTCTTGACTTTTGTCGTAATAAAATCTAGCCCATGCTCTAATCAAAACGAAAGCTTACACAAATCTAACAAAAAAATTATCACAATAATGACTGAATACACTTTTGTCATTGTCGTTAACTTCTTGGTCCTTGTCCTAGTCTTCATTTCCTCAGAGACAGTAATAGCTTCTTATGATGAATTCGAAGCATATGATGAAGAACAATTAGTTCCATCATCTCGATATGAAACGATCTCACCATCTGAACCTCCTTTGGGAGATTTAGACAATGTAGTTTTTGATGTCTCCGAGTTTGGTGCCATCCCCGATGCCGACACAGACAGTACTTATGTCAGTTTATTTACTTACTTTAATAGTTTTATCTATAGTTAACATTATTTTCATACAACATATCATCAATCGGTTGTTGACAGGTTTCGATCTTTTGTTTTAATTGCACTAAATATAATTAAGTTAGATAGATTCCTTGTTTTGGGAGGATTAATCTATAAGTGGAATCTAATTGAACAGGCGTTTGAGAAGACATGGGAAGCAGCTTGCAAGCACGAAGGAATAACAAAGTTTTACGTCCCAGAAGGTAAATTCTTAGTGGGAGCGATCGAGTTCAAGGGCCCTTGTAGTACTAAATCAACTTTGGAGGTAGAGATTAGAGGAGATCTAATGGCTCCAACGAGCATTAAGCAGTTTCCATTTAATCAATGGATTACATTTACTCAACTAAACGACATCGTCTTGTACGGGCGTGCTAACTTAGAAGGTCGAGGCGAAGTTGAAGCCTGGAAACAAGAAAGTTGCTGGAAAGCCTCCAAATGTGACAAACTCATAACGGTCAGTAAATCAAATATTTGTGTGTATGATTATGGAAATATCTATAATACTTCTTTTGGATGTGTTTTTTGATGTGAAAACGAACAGTCTTTGATATTAGGCAACGTATCAAATGCAATCATCAGAGACATTACGTTATCAAATGCGAAAGGGTTTCATTTGGGATTACACTTTACTCAAAACGTAACGGTCCAAAACGTTAGCATCAGTTCACCACAGGACAGTCCCAACACCGACGGGATCCACGTGCATAGCTCCTCTTACATCAGCATCAACAGCTCAACCATTGGAGTCGGAGACGATTGCGTCTCCATCTCAACTGGGAGCTTTAACGTGCTCGTTTTCAACACACGTTGTGGTCCAGGCCATGGAATCAGGTTTTGAAAATATGATAATATCCTTATCTTCTTTTCTCATTTTTTAATTTATTTGGAGTCAATTGGGTTTTGATTAATAACATAACGTAAAAGTATAAATAAACTATGATTTCTTTAATATTAATATATTAATTTGGTAATTTAATTTGGTGTGCAGTATAGGAAGCTTGGGGAAGAATAAGAACGAGGAGGAAGTGAGAGGGATTAGGGTTCAAAACTGCACCATTAACGGAACTGATAACGGAGTTAGGATCAAGACATGGCCTACATCGCCGCCGAGCCAAGCTAGTGATATGATATTCGAGGACATTATAATGATGAACGTCTCTAACCCCATTATCATTAATCAAGAGTATTGCCCTTCTAATAGCTGCAGCACCACCTTTGTAAGTATATAAATGGTCTGCTTATTTATATATATAGCTTTCTTTTTGTATATAATTCTTGACATAAAATATGGAGAAATGAAAACGCAGGCGTCGATGGTGAAGCTGAGCAACATAGAGTTCAAGAACATAAGGGGAACGTATAACACTGAGTTCGGTGTGACTCTTAGATGCAGCTCTCTCGTGGCATGTGAGAATATAACTCTTATCGACGTCAATCTTAGCTCTATCAATACGACGGAGGAGATGAAGCAAGAGAGGTTTAGTATGAAGGGTAGTCTTCATGGCTTAGCAGTTTTTAACTCCAATTTTAATTAGTTAGACTAAAGTTCACAAACAAATTAAATATCAAGGTTTATATTTTGTTAAATATATACAAGGAGTGAGCAAGAAACTTCATGATAAACTTCTGCAAAGTTTTTCTTCATTCGTTCTGTTCTATTCTATAAACCTTATCAGATTTGTGTTTATTAATCACGATTAGTAACATAAAATTAGAAAATAGAGCTTTATGAACTAGACTGCATTTTATTGATCAAATCTGCATTTTAGTGGATGAGTTTGAGACAACATTGTGTTTTTTTTTTCAAACATTTGCCAGTGAAAAAAGCTGCAAAAAGAATTTAGACGATAGAAATAATTAGCGTCAAAGCCACGGCTTGCTCTCTCGCCGTTGCTATGATATTAATTCTGACCGTGTTTGCTTAACTAGCTGGATATGTTTAACATCGGTAAATTCCTTTTCTTGTAAAACTAATTTGCTTAATTCTGACCGTGCATGATCTATGTTTTAATGTTCATTAAGGCTCATTTCAATGATATGTGAAAAATCCAAAGGTCATTTAAATTTAAAATAAATTCATTTTTTCAGCTTGTTCTCGGACGTGAAATTTACAACTTCAATTTTTTTTTTTGTTAATTTAGTTCTTCTAATATCTCCAGCCTCGACTTTACAAAGGTAAAAGAAAGATAAATTATTGGTTTTGAGGAGGTCTATATTTGTAGATTTGCCACGTGGCATCTTGCATGGGAGCTTCGTATTTCTGAAAAGAAAAGTCATAGCGCCTATACATCTTCTCTTCAAGCCTCCTTTAAAAACACCAAAGACGGAGACGAGAAACAGATTGCAAAAGAAAACCCACACCACTCCCCAGCGACTAAAATCAGACCAGAGCCGTCGCCTCCTCTGCCCATCTCCGCCGCTTCAAGAAATGACTTCCTCCAGACCGGAGAACGCTCCGTTTCTCTTCCCGAGGTTTAATTCCTCTGTTTTACCAGACCCCTCTAGATTTTTCAGCAACCATCTCCTCTCAAAACCTCTCCCTACAAACTCCTTCTTCCAAAACTACACTCTGAAAAACGGCGACCAAGCCGAGTATTTTCACCCTTACCCGGATTTGAGAATTTGAGGGCTAGAAACAATTTAAAAATAAATATTTTTTTTTTGTGATTTGGAGACTGAAAAATTAGCAAATAACCAAAGAAAATTTTTGAGGGTTATAGGCGAACGTTTCATCAGTCCCCAGATCCGGCCTTGCCCTTACCTCATAAAAAACGCTCCTTCGTCTCTCTCTATCTCCTACCCATCTCTGTTTCAAAACTCCGCCTTCTTCTACAACGTTTTCAACGCCGATATCATCATCTCCGGGTCACACGACGGACCCGACCCGAATTCCCGGAAAACTCATCTCATCACTTCGTTCAGCGATCTCGGCGTCACTCTCGATTTCCCTTCCATCAATCTCAGATTTTTTCTCGTCAGAGGAAGCCCATTTATCACCTGCTCTGTTTCCGGCAGCTCGTTCACAGTCTCAACGAGCCACGATGTTTTGTCGTTATCCGGAAACAGCTCTACCAAGTACACAGCCAAGCTCGGCAATAACCAAAGATGGCTGATTTACGCCTCTTCCCCGATTAATCTGACCAAAACCGGCGCTTCCTCAATCAATTGCCGTGGTGGTTTCTCCGGTATTATCCGGTTCGCGTTGGTACCGGGTTTGAATCCGGATCTCGAATCGATTCTCGACCGGTTCAGCTGCTCTTACCCAGTTTCCGGTAACGCCGATTTCAAAAACCCCTTTGCTTTGGAGTATAAATGGGAGAAGCGTGGCTCAGGAGATTTGCTGATGCTAGCTCATCCTCTTCATCTGAAGCTTTTGACAAGCGATGATAATCCAACGGTCACCGTTGTAGATAATTTCAGGTACACGAGCATCGACGGCGATTTGGTAGGTGTCATCGGAGACTCATGGGTTTTGAGACCGGACCTTGTTCCGGTGACGTGACATTCTATCAAAGGAGTCAAAGAAGATTCGCACCGAGAGATCATCTCGGCCTTGGTCAAAGACGTCAACGCGTTGAATTCCTCAGCTCCGGTCACGAGCTCGTCGTATTTCTACGCGAAATTGATTGCGAGAGCCGCGAGGTTAGCTTTAATCGCCGAGGAAGTTCGCTATCTCGACGTGATTCCGGCGATTGTCAAGTACCTCAAGGACATGATTGAGCCGTGGTTAGATGGGAGTTTCAAGCCAAACGGGTTTTTGTATGATCCTAAATGGGGAGGATTAATCACGAAGCAAGGATCGAGAGATTCAGGAGCGGATTTTGGATTTGGAATTTACAACGACCATCACTACCATTTAGGTTACTTCCTCTACGCAATCGCTGTGGTCTCTAAGATCGATCCTTTGTGGGGAGAAAGTTACAGACATCAAGCGTACACTCTACTGTCGGATTTCATGACAGTGGATTCGGATTCGGATTCTAATTTCCCGCGTTTGAGATGTTTTGATGTTTTCAGGCTCCACTCTTGGGCTGGTGGGTTGACGGAGTTTTGGGACGGGAGGAACCAGGAGAGTACGAGCGAGGCGGTGAATGCTTACTACTCCGCCGCTTTATTAGGGTTGGCTTACGGCGACACACATCTGGTGGAGGTGGCTTCGACGATCTTGACGCTTGAGATTGACGCCGCGAAAATGTGGTGGCAGGTAAATTTTACACTCTACCAACTATTTCGAATAAACCCGAACCGAGCCGGAAAAAACTTGATCTAATAAAGTGAAGTGGTTCGGTTTTTTTTTTTTTTTAACGTCTATGCTTATTTATATAGAACTTAAATAGTCAGCGTTTAATACATCTGTTAAATTAGAAGGGACATATGAGATACATATGTCTAACTATTTGGAATAAGAGATTTCCCTAATGTATCTGCAAAACAAAACAAAATCAGTTCGGTTTTTCCTCCATTTAGGTTTGGATTTGACTTTTTATAATTTAACTCGGTATAATTTCAACGAAAATAGTTTTTTAGGGGTTTATTGGTAAAATAATTTTAAAGCGGTAATCAGAGACATTTTAAATGCAGTTTTTATAGCAACAAGAGTTAAAAATCACTATTTGCCTTTTTTTTTCTTCTTTTTAAAATTACTCAGCCCAAATTTTTTGTTTTTTTTTTTGTTTTGTTTATGTAAAGCTAACAATAAGTGGTTGTATTTATGTATCTGAAAAACTAACCCAAATATAAGAACACTAAAGCAAATAATAGTGATAATCAAATTTGATAATTAAATTAATATCAGAACATAAATCATACTAATACGATTGATCATGCTACAAATATAATAATGTTAACTTTGATTTTTTTTTAATTACTGATTTTCTTTCTTGGTGGTGGCAGGTGAAGGAAGGTGACACTCTTTACCCAAAAGACTTCACGAGAGAGAATCGTGTGGTGGGAGTTTTATGGTCGACGAAAAGAGACAGTAGCTTGTGGTTCAGGCCTAAGGAGTGGAAAGAGTGTCGGCTTGGAATCCAGCTATTACCGATACTCCCGGTGTCGGAAATTCTGTTCTCCGATGTAAAATTCGTGAAGCAGCTCGTGAATTGGACTTTGCCAGCGTTGCAGAGACACGGCGTTGGAGAAGGTTGGAAAGGATTCGTTTATGCTTTGCAAAGTGTTTACGACAGAGATGGATCGATCAAGAAGATTAGAGGATTGAATGAGTTTGACGACGGAAACTCGTTGAGTAATCTTTTGTGGTGGATTCACAGTAGAGACGGTGATGATCAAAGTAGGTGCAATAAGTAGTATTAACTATAGAGCATGTTCGATGCAGATGTTTAGGAAGAGTGCTTAGGTAATTTTTTAAAAAAATTAAATCATAAAAATAGAATAATTTAAGCAGTGACTTTTAAATAAGAGTTGTAAGCAGCGATGCTTAACAGATATATGTTATAAAATGAAGATGATTTTAAATTTAATAATTAAATAATATTTAAGCATCTTCTTTCAATATAGTCTTAGCTTTTTGGATGCTAAAGTCAATGTTGAATTATAAGATTAACTTTGTGATCACCTTTTGGTTCTTGATTTTGCTACTGTTATATAATTGATTAGTTTCATTAAACCTGGAAATCTAAATTTTGGTTATCGGTTATTGAACTCAATACAACACACTAATTCAACCGTAGTTTCTTATAGTGAAGAAATCTTTTATTCTCTATAGTTTGTTGACATTGTTAGGAAATAAATACATACTAGTAAGTAGTAATATTCAAAACAAATAATATAATACGTTTGATATAAAAAAAAGTCAGAAAATAAAATGGGGGTTTTTTTTCCCAGCCCTAAAAGCTAAAACGCTTCACGCCGGGGATTTTCCTTAACGTTTCACCGCCGTTGTTTTCGTTGGCTCTCGCCGCGCCGCTCTCTCTCTTTCTCTCTGAAATTCGCAGATCTCAGTCGATTTATTCCTCCCAGGTAAGCTTCTTCTTCATTATTCTGCCATTTCCCTGATTTGTGTCAATCATAAACTGCTACAAAGTCCAGAGATTGATAAACCTTAGCTGTTCCCGTTTCTCAAGATTAGTCAGGATTTGCCGGGATTTTTCAATGAATCTAATTGCTGCAGTGACGTAGAAACACTAATTTCGGATGTGCCGTGTGTAATTTTTTGAATCTGAATCTGTACATTTCGTTTTTCTCCTCCTTGTGTAGAAGCAGATTCAGTTAAAATGGCTTTCTGCAATAAACTAAGTCGCCTCGTGAGGCAGGGCGCTTCTCCGAGCGAGAACGCCTCCATGATTGGCTCTCTCAACTCTTCTCTCACTAAACAAACCGTAAAGTCTTTCTCTTCAGACGCCACTCACCACAGATACCACCAGGAGACGCACAGTTTTCTGGAGCCAGAGAGCTATATCGGTAGCTGGGAAACCCCCAACGATCCCAAAGAAGCTGAGAGAAAGCTCGCACAGCTTAGGAGAGATTACGCAAAGAAGGTTAAGGTGTATCGTAAAGAGTACGTACATGAGGTTGAGATGCTTCGTGTTGAGAAGCAGCGTAAGGATGAGGCCAGATTGCTGGCTGAACGAGCCGCCAATGAGGAGAGGCGGCGATTAAAGGCTGAGGCAGCTAAAGTCAGGGCTGAGGAACGCAAGATCGCCGATGAAGAGTTCAGGCAAACCCTGGTACATTCACTTCCTCTCTTCTCAATTTCTTGTGTTGTTGTATAGATTCCATACAAGCTCTGTGTAGTAGACACCATGATGGATCTTTAATCAAGTAGTTAGTTTAGTGTGTGAGATGATTCTTGAATAAAATGGGGGAAATGGTTTGTCTGGCATTTAAAGAATCAAAATTTCATGAAAATTGTTGATTATGCTTCAGGGGGCACTAATAAACAAAGGTTTATCTATGCTTTGTGATCGGCCAGTCTAAGAGAAAGCTTATATTGTTGCTTAAACTCAAGTTGAGGTTTTGATGAATCCTGTAACCATCATGATATCTCTACATTATTCTGTTGTTCTGGTTAAACCTTTGGTAATGAAATTTATTAGTTAGAGGTTCCATTGGTTTGAGGTGGAGGTAGAGGTAACATTTACACACACTCACACACACAAACACTCTTGCCAAAGGAGTATTCACTGATTCATACATTCATTTCATTTTCTCGTGGCTGCAAAGTAGCTACTCCCTTCCTGATTCTAGATTGAATTCCTTATGTCTCTTGGTCCTAGCATCGGAGCAGTAATGGTCTAGTGCTTGTTTTGTAAGTTGTAAAGCGATTCAAGAAGTGCCTGTATCATAGACTGGTTCCGTGTTTAACATTTGCAGATGAAAGAAAGAGCGGAAAAGCTGGAGTTCTGGAGAACTGTGGGACAAAAAAGGGAAGATAAGAAGAAAGAGAAAAAGAAGCTACTGCATGAGCAAAGTTCATTGTGGATCGAGCCAAAGGAACTGGAGAAGAAGGTTACGGAAGCCCTGGTTGACTCCATTACTCTCTAAACCAAATCCCCCTCTTCTGAATCTTTGTTTGAGACGCAATGATTTTAGTAATTTTGTTGCAGACAAGACTCTTCTTTTATGAGTAGAGAAGAAAGCGAAGGCTTTTTTGGCCTTTTTGGATCAAGCACATAATGAGTATTGGTGGCTAAGTTTAATTTTGGACTTGCGACCAATCTTGTTTGTTGTTTTGGTGACGTAATATCGTTAATAAGAATTTCGTTTTAGTGTTATCACTTATCACATGCTTCTTGTCACGATTGTTCTTGTGTTCAGTGGAAGAGAAGCCTGAGTCTCTAAGAGTGTTGAAACCTTTATTTGCTTCATAACTTGAGTGGTGTATTTTCAATTTTGCATATGGTTTCCAATTACTAGTGATTACCCGTACATTTCTCTTTTATTTGTTGCATCTTATAATGCTTATGCTACTTTAAGTAACAGTAATCTTTTACCATGAGACATTCACATCACTATTACTTAATGTGTGATTTCCCTTTTGATAAAAAGAAACAGACTATATATTGATATTAAGCAAATTAAGAAGAGATATAAAAAACTGAGTCATCTGTGAAACTCTAAACAAGAGATTAATGTGTTTGTCGATTACTAATCAGTGATGATATAACTAATCTCGTTTTTCTCTGTTTTCATGTAAATAAACCGGATTGTTGTTACTGGAACTAAAGTAATTTTGCATTAATTAAGGATTTACAGAAATCTGGTAACAAAGTTTAATTCATAAAAATAAATATACATGAATAACATTCAAATGGTGAGGTTGAACCAAATCCTATTAAATTTTGACTCTGTTTTAGAATATGGGGGTTTTATGTTGAGTTCAAGTTTTCGGTAACAGTGTTTATGAAAAACAAAATTGAACTATCTGACGTCAAAAAGAACAAATAAATACAAAACTGAACTATCATATGAATAACTTTGATAAAAAGAATAAGGAAAAAAAAAACATTGGAGGAAAAACACACAAAATGACAGGCTGGCAAATTAGAAGATTGATAGAAGTGGGACCCATTGACCATTCAGGATCCCCTGTCAGCCACATGGCTTGGAGTCTCTCTCCCCTTCTTCTCCCCAACTCTTTCCTTTTCTTGTATATTCCCTCATTTAGTGCATCTCTTCCTATTTATATTTTAAACTTTTACAAATTTTAATTCTCTTGTTTTTCTTTGTGTTAGGACCGCACACTGTGTTATTTTTTTCTTTGCTGTTAATACCATGATTTAAATATAAAAAGTTGATCGTTTTTTGCAAAAAAAAAAAGAAAATAAGAATAATCTCAAGTGATATATACTTTTTTGTTTGTTTGTTTGTGTATATTTGTTCTTAAACATATACACATACGTACGTAAAAGTCTCCTAGCATATGCATATAGTTCTCCAAACAAGAAATTAAATAATATGGTCATCATATCTTTGTTTTGGAACTGAAAAACTTGTTAGATTCTCTGACAAAAGAGCTTCACGACTTGTTAGTTTGCTGCATAGATAAATGTACGGACTCATATTGGTGAAATTCAATCTATAAAGATTTTTGATCAGGTCAAAAATTGACATACATGTAGAAAAGGCATTACATCACAAAAAAACGTTTAGTTGGTCAAGAAGAAGCTTGAGTAAGCAATAGGAATAAGTTGTACCAAAGATAATCATGATGGCCGCGACTCGACGGTAGATAATAAAACGATGGATGTTCATTTTTTTTTTTGGTCTTTAAGTCCATTAAAAATATCATCAAAGAGAAATACATGTAGACTATATAGTGAAATACGGTTAAGAATATTAAGATACATAAAGCCAATAAGAGTCGAAACTCATCCAAAAATAACATCGAAGAATTAAAAAAAACTCAAGAAATAATAACAAGTTCAAACTGGAGAAACAAGCAAACAGATGAAAATCCTAAACAAAAGCTAACAGAAAATCACAAAATTTTCAATCTTCAACCCACTAACATTTACCCAAGATCGGAAAAAGTTAGGCCATGACATAAAAACCAACAACGCCTAATTAGATCTTCAAATATTTTTACCCTCTTTTGAAACATCGCATAATACAGTTGTTGCCAACTACAATTTCTTATTCTTCTTACTTAAACAGGAATTTTATTATTTTTTTAGATACAATTCAAACCATTAAAATGTTTATAATATACTAACTAGTTGTTATCTCTAAACTAAGATTTTTTTTTTTCCAAATCTTGTGTCGTATATTCATATATATATATATATATATGATATCTAGAGTATTTTACCACCTTGTCAAAAATTCGATAAATAGAAATTAATATATTAATGTGGACCGACGAATTAGTCATCTAAACGGTAACAGTGTACCATTGACGGCGACGAATCAATGAAAAAGGGGGACATAATAAAACAAAAACACTAGAAAAATCAAAGATTTAAAAATCATTTATAATTTAGAAGAAAAATAAAAACCAAACACATGGACTCTCCGAATAAAACACAAAAGATCGACTTCAGACAACCATTTTTGTCTCTTCTTTTTTTTCTTCCCCCCTTCTCCATAACTTTCTTAAAGAGAGGAAAAAAATGTCGTTCTCTCTCTCCTGTGTCAAGAAGATCTGTCGGCGACAATACGTTACGATTACTCTTAAACTGTTTGTCCCTAAACTGGTATTGATTGCAAATTAGTGGAAATCAATGATAAAATTAAATAGCGGTAATTATAAAAATCACTCTTTTTAGTTTTTTTTTTCATTTACCTTTTTTCTACGTATATTCTTTGGGTATTTTCCACCTGGCATGTTTCTATTATTCTCCATTTTTTTCTTCATATGCCCAATAATGATATAGCATAAAAAGCTGTCTTTTTGGCGTTAATCTTTTGCTACCTTATTTGCTTCTTTCTTTCTATTTTTAATGGAATTATTTTCTACTATAAAAAAATTATTCGTCTTTTCTATCATTTACACTGTTTTGCTCAATCAGCAAAAAAAAAAAAAAAAAAATTCTCTTGTCTCTGTGGTCGTAACTCTTCTCCTCCTTCTCTCACTCCTTCTTCTTAGCTCTTCTGCTTCTTTCTCGCTGTCGGGTTGCATTTGGCGCAAAAAGTTCTTCCCTTTTCTTGTTTCTCTTTTCTGTTCGTTTTCTGACAGCTTTCTTTTTGAAACAAATAAAGATGCCAGTAAGTACGTGCTCTTATTTTGAGTAGTTCTTAAGTCTATTGGTCCTTCTTTGCTGTCTTGTCTGAGATTGGTTGCTTTTCGATTGATTGCAATTTTATTCGGAAGCTTGAAACTTTAATCTATCAATCGTTGCTTCCTTGATTTCACACAGTTCGTTATGGTTTCTGGGTCTCAGTCATTTCGCTCGATCCGTTGGGAAAATCTTTTGCTTGCTTGACTTATTATGTATTGATTCGGATCTGAATTAGCCTCTCTCGATTATTGTTTTTTTCTTTCAGGTAGCACTAGCTTTGCTGCTGGCATTGTGCAGTCTGATTCCGATTTACGCGAGAAGTTACGGCGTCGGAAACGTATGCGAGCTTGGTCGGAGACCAAACACGAGACCACACAGTGTCTCAATTCTGGAGTTTGGTGCTGTGGGAGATGGTAAAACGTTGAACACACTTGCCTTTCAGAATGCTGTGTTCTATCTCAAGTCTTTCGCCGATAAAGGCGGTGCTCAGCTCTATGTTCCTCCGGGACGGTGGCTCACCGGAAGTTTCAACCTCACCAGTCATCTCACTCTCTTTCTCGAGAAAGACGCCGTGATACTTGCCTCGCAGGTGTGTGCGCCTCTCTTTCTCTCTAATGTTTTTGATCATTCTAAGGAGTAAGATCAGAGACTATTTCATATAAGATTCCTGATTAGCTGCAGAGATTCCTGTCTTTTACTCATTGTTTGATTCAAACTTCAAAGTCTGTTGCTTTACCATTCATGGTTGGAAAGAATGATTAGGCATTGTGGCTTAGGATGACCTATGGCTCCGTACTTGAATCTTGTTGAAATCTTATTGTGAGTCCAATTAAATCAAAATTTTCTAGCTATGTTCAATGATTTTTGCATTGTTACCAATCAGAACATTTGTGTAGTTGTTTCTCAATTTTTATATTCTTTTCGTCTTACCTTAATCAAAACTGCTTGAAGGATCCATCGCACTGGCAAGTCGTGGATCCGTTACCGTCATATGGACGGGGCATTGATCTACCGGGGAAAAGATACATGAGTTTGATAAACGGCTATATGCTACATGATGTAGTAGTTACAGGTTATACATGATTTGCTCCTTTCATTTCATTTTTTTGGTATTACATAGATACTCACCTGTTATATTCCGTATTCATCGGTTTTAGGTGATAACGGTACTATAGATGGACAAGGCCTGCTTTGGTGGGATCGGTTTAATTCTCAGTCTTTAGAGCACAGTCGACCTCATCTCGTGGAGTTTGTCTCTTCCGAAAATGTCATTGTCTCAAATCTTACGTTCTTGAATGCTCCAGCTTATACTATCCATTCGGTTTATTGTAGGTAAAGAAAGTCTCAAATATCCCCTTCGTTTCATTACAACTCCTTTTGGTTTAGAAAACTTTGGTTAAAAGTCTTGACTCTTGTCTTTAATATTGTGCAGCCATGTATACATTCATAAAGTAACAGCTAATACTTCTCCACAATCTCCTTATACCATCGGCATTGTCCCTGGTTAGTGCTTATGTTCTCTGTTTGAAAAACAAGTGTTGAAGTCCTAGAATCTCAAAGACTGTTTTCTTTTTCTTTTGCAGATTCTTCTGAAAATGTGTGCATCCAAGATTCTATCATCAACATGGGCTATGATGCTATTTCCCTAAAAAGTGGTTGGGACGAATACGGCATATCGTATGCAAGACCAACTGCAAATGTGCAGATAAGAAACGTTTACCTCCGAGCAGCTTCTGGTTCCTCCATTTCCTTTGGAAGTGAAATGTCTGGTGGCATATCTGATGTCGTGGTCCGAGATGCTCACATACACAACTCTTTGTCCGGGATTGCCTTTAGAACAACAACAGGAAGAGGCGGTTACATGAAAGAGATCGATGCTTCCAACATCTATATGGTTAATGTTGGTACTGCGTTTCTAGCCAATGGCAGCTTTGGAACTCACCCGGATTCTGGCTTTGATGCAGATGCTTTCCCGCTAGTGAGTCACATCAGGTTACATGACATTGTTGGAGAAAACATAAGCGCAGCAGGAGATTTCTTTGGAACCAAAGAGTCTCCTTTCACTTCTGTTTTGCTATCGAATATCTCTCTGTCGATGAAGAACTCTGGTTCTGCTGATGATTCTTGGCAATGCTTATTCGTTGACGGTTCTTCGGAATCTGTGGTCCCTGAACCGTGTCCCGAGCTGAAGAGTTTTGACAGTTCTTATGGCGTAGCTGTGGCCTTGTGAAACCAAACTTCATTGAGAGAAAAAAAAGAAAGAAAAGGAAGCTCCTTTTTGGTTCCCCCTCATGATTCTTCATATTTGTTTAAGTTAGCTAAGGTCAGATTCTTTTCTTTTCCCAAAATAAACCACAGTGTGTAGAATTTACCTGTTCCCAATCCCCATTGTTGGTGTTTTCTCCTGTTATTGCAGTTTGTGAGATTCATATATCTGTACAGGTTCATTTCTTCATTCATGTGTAACCGACAAAATTTTGTTCAGTGGAGATTCTTCACATGGCTTAAGAAAAGATCTTTCACCATCAGTTTTTGTTGTTGTTTTTCTCTGCAGATTTCTCTTGTCATGATTTGAACTTCCACTTCGTTTTTAGTTATTTTTAGCGTCCTAACTCTTAACAGTTACCAAACAATCAAATACTTTTTGTCTAATAAAAGATTCAGGTTCAACAAAATGCTTCCATTCTCTTTTATTATAAAGATCATGATTTTAATGAAATCGACCATCACCCTTCTCAACTAAAGTTTTGAGTAAAAAAATACCCTTCAGTAAAGTCTGTTAACAAAATTAGCCTTCCGTCTACAGTTTTTGAAATTTTAAACGGCGTTCTTGTAATGAGACGCAACGTTTTGATTTGTCAACCTCTCTAATAAACAAACTAACAAAGCAAATGATTTTTTTTTATACACAAGAGGAAATTTTGGAGATCATTTTTTTTTAATTCAAACATTATACTGTATTTTTTTTATAAAAAAAAATGTGTTATTTTACTACCAAATCGTAAACACTACTTATTTTTAACAAAAATCGAAACACAGATTCATTTACATGAAAGCTGTTTATAATTTTCACAAAGCTGTAATTGAAAGATTAATATAAGCCGGCCTTTTTACAAAGCCCGGCCCAATAGTAAAGAGCTGCTTCACTGAGAGACGAAACCATTCGCTACCAAACACGCACCCCTTCATTTCCCATCATCTTCCTCTTTTCGCCACATCTGTAATAAATTTTGCGCTGTTTCAACTAATTTTTTTTTATTAATATATAATTACTAATGAGTGTATGCCACTAGAAATTGATATAAATTTCCATGATTTTCTTCTCTATTTTCCTCATCCTTGGTGATAAATAATATAATCAAAATTCCTCATCCTTCATCTTCCCAATCTCTAAAACCCTAGACTCACTTGATAGTTTCGAACTCAAGCACACAGACCCAAGAATCATCTTTACTCTTCTCTTCTTCTATTTTTTCCCGGGGAGAGAAATTTGACTTTTTTTTTGTTCGGTTCTGTTCGATTTTGCATCATCTGGGTTTTTTTTCTTTCCGAGCGATCGATTTTCCGGTTAGCACAATGTCGGGTTCCGGAGGAGTTTCAATCGCCCGCTCAGCGATCCGAGGAGAGAATCGGTTCTACAATCCACCGCCGATGCGGAGGATGCAGCAAGAGGCGCAATTGCAGCAGCAGATGAGAGAGAAGCAGCGACGGGAAGAAGAAGAGGAGATGTTGATGGGTAAGGAGCGTAGGGCGGCTGCGACTGCCGTGATGCCTCCGCCGCGTACCAGGAAAGGGCTCGGCGTTGTTGGTCAGACGGAGAGCAAGAATCGGGTGGTTTCCGGGTCGGAAATGTGTGCCGACTCATCTGAATCTTCCGGGTCGGGTCGGGTTCAGACCGACGGGTCCAACTTGGATCGGTTCTTGGAACACACCACTCCCGTTGTTCCTGCCCGGTTTCTTCCCATGGTAAGACGATTCCAAATCTTTTTAGTAGAAACGTTTCAAATGTCGTTTATGGCTTGCTTGAACTGGAGATTCCTGGTGGTTTACTATAGTGGAAAGTTATTCTCTTTTGTTTGCTTTTAAAGTCCTTTTGTATTGCGAGGACTTTGGTATTTATCATGTGATTCAGTGTAGAACTCAATGCAAGATATGTCTTCTCCGTCACTTGAGCATTGCTTATGGATTCAATTTGTTTTCCAGAGAAGCAGGTTGGAACTTAAAACCCGTGAATCGGAGTGCCATACATATTTTGTGCTCGAGGATCTGTGGGAGTCATTTGCAGAATGGAGTGCATATGGTGCTGGTGTTCCTCTTGAAATGCATGGGAGCGACTCCACCGTGCAGTACTATGTTCCTTACTTATCTGGCATTCAGTTGTATGTAGACCCATCAAAGAAAGCCAGGTTAGTTGTTTGAAATGTTCTGGTTCATTTCACGGAAGATGTCTTCTTCTGCTTTTCCATTTCACAGTTTTGATTATTACCTTTTCAAAACAGAAATCCAGTTGAAGATAATGAAGGAAGCAGTGAAGGAAGCAGCAGCAGTAGGCTTGAGAAGTTACCTAATCATGCCGAGACTCTGCAGAATCCGGTGGACTCGAGTGTCAGTGAACTGAATAGAATTAGTCTGAGAGATAAATCTGTTGCTGGTTCGTTGTCAAGTGGAGAGACTGAGATCAGCAATCCTCAGGGACGATTACTATTTGAGTACTTGGAATATGAACCTCCGTTTGGCCGTGAACCTCTGGCTAACAAAGTAAAATGTCTACCTAAGCAAAGATAGCTCTTTTCGTTGTTTTATTTTCCTTGTTCTAACATAGTTTTCATACACCAGGTCTCGGATCTCGCGTCAAGATTTCCTGAGCTAATGACATACCGGAGCTGCGATCTTTCTCCATCAAGTTGGGTCTCTGTGTCATGGTATGTTTCGTCTTAACCCTCTCTTGAGTCTGGAAGATCGTTACTTTCGGAATTGATGTGGCTGGATCTGCTACTAATTCGTTGGTATGTAGGTATCCAATATACAGAATACCTGTTGGTCCAACACTACAAAATCTCGATGCCTGCTTTCTAACTTTCCACTCTCTCTCGACATCATCTCCTCAAAGTAAGTATCCTCTGCTTTTAATTCTCTGTTTTTCCTAATTGCCACAACTTAGCGGGATCTCTTACACAGTGTTGTGTTTGCATTGGAACAGGTGCTATGGCTTGTAGTGATTTGGAGCCATCTATAAAGCTCCCGTTGCCTACTTTTGGACTCGCATCTTTTAAGCTCAAAGTATCTGTGTGGAATCAAAACAGAGCTCAAGAGTGCCAAAAGATTTCTTCTTTGCTACAATCTGCTGACAAATGGCTTAAGCGTCTGCAAGTCAATCATCCGGACTACAGATTCTTCACCTCCAACAATCCACAGAGGTGAAAATGAAAGTTACTTTCTTGACCATTGATTTGGCTCTGGTCTGATCAAAAGACCCATTATCTGCTGCTCTGCTTCACATATAAAGTCTCTCTTACACCGAAGAACCACCAAATACTGGCTAGACTCTTGCGTGTTTTTCAGGCGATTTAAGAGTCTGCTGTTTCATTTCCGGAAGATGCTTTGTGAATTGTAGCTAATCTTCTACGAAAACTAGTCTTCTGCTTTTCCCTGAATAAAGGATTAGGAGCCCATATAGTGAAATTTGCGAGGAGTGCTTTTGTAATGTTGAGATGGAACACTTTTTGTGATACAATTTTAATGCTGAACTGAAACACAGCTTGGCCTATGTATCAATCTCTTTACAGGTTATGGTAATGAAAAGGTTTTTTTTAAGCTTGGACTAATTTTGAGTCCTGAGCAGAGCAAAAAAGTACTTTCATTTCCTGATTATGTAATTTCCTGATTATGTAAATACATTCGATTACAACATATATATACTCTTAATCTACACGGGTTTGCTACATACATCGAGACTAGTGTAATGATTCCTTGAGTCACCATTACCAGGTCTTTAGTGGGGTATTAGAACTTGTCTTCAAGCATGATTGACCACATCAAGCCCCGCACAAACTCGCTCTTTCTCGTCTTCTCTTGATCTTCATTTGAAAGCGATACTTGTCGTATGTCGCTGTAAAGGAATGATAAACAAGCTCAATGTGAAAACAAATATCAGTGAAATGTATTTGTTTACATCACAGTTTGAAATTATACCTTTTAGGGGTGTCCTTGTGTGAAACTTTTGTTACCGAGTCTCCTTCAGTGATGGAGTTAGCCAAAGGAGAATTAAAAATAAAGGATGAGAGCAAAGGATCAGAATCTAGATTGGATGAGGGAATGTAAGTGGAAGATCCTCCAAGAGACTGTAAGTTTGCTTCTCGAAGCTCCTTTTTAAGCATAAGATAGGCAGAGATATTTCCACCTTTACGCAACCTTCTCCTTCGCTGCACGTAAATTACTCATTCATCAAGGAATACAAAATTTCAAACTCTAGCAATGAAGGGTGGTATAAGAACAAAACTGAACAAAAACATAGAAGAGAGATTCAGATTTGAAAAGGATATCTTGAAAACGTTCCCGTGTTGCGTTGTAATATGGCCAACGATGTCCAATCCAACCCTCTTTGTGCAGACAGGACAGACCTAGTAAAAGTGAAAGCAAAGTGTTTTAGTTTACCATCTAAGCACTCTGTTCTTACATAGCACACCTAAAATTACTAATTATAACCTTCTAATTAGAAACAGAGAAGTCAGAAGCATTCCGAGAGAGATAGAGAGAGATTCAAATGGTACTAACGGACTACAATGCTCACTTGTTTAAGCTAAAGAATGTGTAAAGAAACAACCTTTTTCATTTCAAGCAAGCTTCAAAATCAAACCTAATCAATCTAAGAATCAAATAAAAATGTTAAAGTGTGAACAGCTGAGTGTGAAGATAGATTACCCCGTTCTTGGCCTCCACAGGATGCTCTTCATCAATATGACAACAAAGCCCAACAATATCAAACTCATCTGCGCAAAACGGGCAGATAAACTCTGCTTTCAAGTTCTCTTCTCCGTCGACATCTCCCAGATACAAATCTGCCTCAAAAGTTTTTTTCACCATTAGATTACAGACCCAAAAAAAAAGTAACTTTACACATGTAATCAACGCCATGCCCTTTTTATTTTCCAAAACAAATAAACCTGATCGAGACTGGTAACGCCGCGAAGAAGATGATGATGAAAATACGGAGGGACAATTGATCCACGAATTAGACTCCATTTCCTCTAATTGTTACAGGTTACGAAAAGAAAATGCAATCATCTACAGGAAATATTCTTGAGATTAGGAAGAAATCGAATCTAAATTAAAGAAACCTAACCCTAGAACGATGGGAGAGTGAGTGGAAGCAAGAGCTATGAGAAGAACTCGTTGTTGTTGATGGTCGGAGTTTTGTTTGTATTTACAGTCTTGACCAAACCGAATAAGTGGTTTGTTGTACCGCGTATCTGTTTCACTTTCACACGCGTGACTTTTGTGGCTCGTGTGTTTTTTTGTTCAGTTCTTTTTGCGACTTGTTTTTTTTTTTATCCAAGTTATGTTTTCAATATACGGGGACAAAATAAAAAGTTGTTTCCAAAAATTTTGGCTAAATTTTCTCATGTGCAATTTAAAAAGGTTTAGCTATAAAATGCTACTGACATGCATATTTTGCTTAGAATGAGATCAAATACAAGAAAAGAATAACATTAATCTGTTAATTTGTCTTTCAAAAATTATGTATATTGATTTTGTTAAATTCATTTGAAATCAATATAAATTGCCAGAAAAAGATAATAAATGATATAAGAATATTTACCACAAATTACGGAAAACTTTAAAAAATATTTCTCTTTTTTTTATTATTTTGATAACAAATGAAGATGTTTTAGAGAGAACATCTTCCGACCTAAATTTTGAAGAGAACAACATATCACCTTTTTTCAACTTTGTTTTATTAATTTCTTTATTTTCTAACTTAAAATTAAAAAATTTCCTTTTTTTGTTTGATTGGTCCAAAATGCGGCTATCCAATATATTAATTTTCTAATTTTTTTTTATAGTAATTTATGTATTTTTAAATGTTTACGCCCACACTCATTTTGGTAAAATCTACTAAATTTTTAAGAACATTATATTAATAACTTTTTGACCAAAGAAGAACACAGGTATAATGGGAGTTTTGTTTTCTTTTATTATACAAGTGGATAATAGTGAAATACTAACTGAACTTTTACATTGTTTTCATCGTCATTATTTTAACCAAAGCCTGATTTACAAACTTGGATAGCAATTCATGCTACTAGATTCATTCACTATTCTCATATGGCGTTTATGAGTGTTCTATAATAATCGGTTGCGTTTTATCGTATAAGGTTTAATTAGTTACATAACTAAATTCTTAACGTTTAAATTTTACGACATTTTCTTAAATCTATAAAGGCTTAGTTCTTTTTTTTGTCGACCTGTAAAAGCTTAGTTCAAAAAAAAAAAAACTAATTTACTAACACACATGGTTTAAATCTCTATGATATTGTTTTACGGAGCCTAGCAATCTAAAATTCTGTTACTAAATTGTGTTTTGTGGGTCCACACTTCGAGTTTGTTTTCTAATTAAAAATGTTTAACAATACTATGCGATAATATCAGATTTTGTTTTGTTTAAAAGGGGTAGAGAATCTCAGCGAAAAGGCTTGGACCCATCAAAAAATCACGCAGCCGTCAAAAGGTGAAAAATGACTGAGAAATGGGAACCTGAAATTCACGACGGAGTTGATCCAAGTAGATATCATCCAAACTCCTCCGATATGTTTCCCGGCATGTACAAGTTCCCTGAGGGTTTGCGAGTATTACTCTTTGATGAAGATCCCACTCTTACATTGGAGCAACATCTCCAAGAGTTTCAATACGAAGGTATCTATTTTTGATTGATCTTTTACGAGTTTTAATCTAAAGCTGATCAAGTGATGTTAATTTTTGAAGTCCATATCTAATTGCAGTGTGTATTTCTTTTTTTGGTACTAATCTAGGTATTTTTGAAATTGACTCAAGTGCTGTAAAAGGAATTTCTAAGTGATCGATGTTAATTTATGAAGTCTATATTACATTACTATGTGTATTTTTGTAGTGACCAAATGCAACGAAGAGGAACGAGCTATGTATCTACTCCGCAACCACAGGAATAGGTTTGACATTGCTATCATAGAAGCACAAAATGCGCACGGAGATAGATTCCGATTTATCTCGGAAATCGGATCGGAAATGGATCTTCCAATCATTAGTAAGAATATAAATATATATTTTATCAATATTTTCAATTGTAAGGTTTGTTTACATTGAACATACATTAGAAAAGTTGTAACAAACAAAAATACATTTTTATTCTTGCAGTAATATCTAACGACGATTCAGTAGAATCAGTGATCAATTGGATGAACAATGGTGCTTGCGACTATCTTATAAAACCAATACGATATGAAGATCTACGTTTGATATTCAAATATCAAACACGTGGTGAAGAAGATACAAGTATGGACGAATGTGGCAGTGGCCGGAGAGGCAGAGGAGAAAGCAGAAACCGAGAATTCATCTTCTGTGAAAGATCCCACAGTAAAAAACTCTAACAAGAGAAAAAGAAGCATTTTCCTTGAAGGACAAGAAAATAAGGAGGGTCATGATCATGATCGTGATCCCACCACCAAGAAAAGGCGAGTAGTGTGGGACGAAGAGCTTCACAGCAAGTTTATTGAGGCAGTGCGATACCTCGGCAAGGACCGTGAGTCACTTACATTAGTGGTTCATATATATAGTTACAAGGGTTTACCGTTTCAGATGTATTTATTTGAACAATTTGATTTCATGCAGATGCTGTTCCCAAGAGAATTTTAGAGAGGATGAATGTTGATGGCATCACTCGAGAAAACGTAGCCAGCCATCTCCAGGTAACGTTTTCTTATTATATCACCAGGGCCGTAAATAAACATGATTCTTATACAACCTTTTTAGATCAAAATAGTAAAAGTATACTTATTACTAATCATAAGATTATTTATGACCGTAGACTTTAGGATGTATATATTTTCACCCTAAATATTTGTTTTTCTAATAAAAATTACAAAATCCCTATTTACATTCATATGAAGAAGAAGAAAAAGTGGCTCCCAAAAACATGGTGGACTTGATCGAAAAAAACGCATAGAAGCTAAGTCACTGCATTCGGTAGCTAACTAATGGCCAGTTCTGCTGTCAAATATGGTCAATACCGGCGTAGCTAGCTAGTGGCAGTATTTATATTTTGGGTTACTCTCTTAAGAATTTGGGTGAATTTTGATAACTCGTAAAGAGAACAAAATAATATTTCTAAGTTTTATTTTAGTAGCTGTGTTATTGAATAATCATAACTCTTAATTAAGCAATCCTTCCATAAGTTCCAAAACACAATACTGATACGAATAAGAAAAATGAAAAATGAGAATATTGTATTAATGCCTCGTGACATTCATATATAATCATATGTTCTCTCAAATAATACTCTTTGGTAGTACATACAATTTTTAAATCAATTAGAACTCAATTAATAAATACATAACTATTAAATAGCCATAAACTATATTTGTGTGTAAACAACCATGGAATAGTCATGGTATATGGCCTTGGAACATAAACTGTTTTAATTTCTAAATGTAGAAAAGACATGAGTATATATCGATGTTACTCCAACTGTTAATTTTTTTTGTGACTTTCCTATCTCAGCGAATTCATCTAGAGGATTAATGGAACTAAGCATCTATATAATATAACTACAATAATACTAACAAAACAAATTATATTGAGAAAAAAACATCTTTCTTTTGTTTTACACATGTACAGTATTGATATATTTTTTTCGATGTGTAGAAATTTCGGATGAGTTTGAAGAAGCAAAATGATCAAAACGAAAAAAACTTGCGAAACCAAGTTTTAGTAACTCCACAAGAAGAAGGAATGTATAGTGGAGAAGGAACAATTGGATTCTGTAATGGAAGAGATGTCCAATTCTCAACACATCATATCAACAACATTCCTCAACTTTCTTTGCAACAACAGAGCACAAACCCTAATCTCATGACGCAGCTCATATCACCTCTTGGACATCATCATCATGATGGAGTCTCTGTTGCAATATCTGGTAGAAGCATGTTGATGGCTCACCAACATCAACATCACCAACACCATCAAAACTCTGAGTTCACATGTATCGAAAATGAAGCAGAGAGTTTGGTCTACAAGGAAGATGAGGATGGGATTGCAGACCTGACTAGGTGGCTCACACAAAACTTGCAAGATCCAGTGACAGTCAATGATAACCAGTTGTCTTCTAATCCACAACAGATGATGAACGTTTATGAAATTCCTGAATCATCCATATTACATATACCTTCGTATACTACATCTTTGGAACATACATCTTTCGGACATAGTTCACTTCTTGATCAGGTGAAGAGTCTTAATTTTTGTTTTATGATTTTTGAATAAACGATATGCATAAAAAATCTGTAATGCTTTTATTTATTATTTGTGTCTCATGTACAGCAAGAAACCATAACTATGGTGGATGTAGGAGAATTCAACTACAACAATGGTCACTCCGTGAACAGCAATTTACGTTAATCGTTGAGAATATCTTTCTTGAGGATAGCCAAGATTGGGATCTGCAAGAAGTGATTAGGATGGATCAAAATCTGGGAAAAGCATGAAAGCAGAAGACAAGTAGTTTAATGTTAGTCATTATTTTTTAGGTTTAGGGTTTGATATAAATTCTAGGTGAAGCCTTATCTTTTCTCTCCAGTATGTTTCTTTATCCACCCAGAATAAGAATTTGTAAAAATTGTCACTGGTTCTGTCCAGTATGTTTCTTTATTCACCCAGAATAATAAGAATTTGTAAAGATTTCCACTAGTTCCAATTCTTTATAAATGAATTATGTCTTATATTGTCATCGTAGTAGATCATACCTTTTTAAATGCTCTCACCAAAGTTTTCTCTTGAAATTATTTTTTGCCCATGCCTTGCTTTGTATCTGCCCACATAGTAAATTCAAGAGGAAACATCCATATGCAAACATTCACGTTCGAGACAACTATTAAATTTTCTTCTTACAAACGGATGATTTTTAAAACCACCAAAAATAGTTTCAAACCTAAATTGATTATTGAGCGAATTTCCAAAAGTTTGTTTTAAGAAACAAATTAAAATATCAAAGAATAATATAGAACACCATTTCATAAGGTTCATCAATTGTTTACTGAAAAATAACATGTTTTGAAAAACGTATTTAAAATAACTGTAAAACCAAGAGAAAATTTGGAGTAGAGTGAACAATTCGTAATAAAATAAAAAGTGACTAAAACAAACCAAATAGCCGATTTGTTGGACTGATCTTAAAAGACATACTTCGGGAAAAATCTTTGGAGTAGAGTGAACAACTCGTAATAATATTATAAAAGCCAGAGATAATTCAAGATTTATTTCATTTTCTCTGTAATCCAATAACTAATTAACACACCAATGACTTTATAACTATACTACAAATATAACCATAACAGAAGAGAAGCACACACACACACATATATATATATATACATACATATATATAGTACAGTCTCATACAACGTAACTCTTGAATAATTTGATTCATGCAACGTAAAGAAATTTAGTATGCCACACAAAAGAATCATATATTCTTTTCATGAAAACAATCTGAAATGTGATCGAAATCTGACACAAAGATGTATTGACATATTTTTCGCTGGTTTAGACTATAAGGTCCAAAAGCGTAAATTTTGTAACATCTCCGGATTCGATCTATCATATTAAACATTTCATGTAAAATCCGATCATTAGGTTCTGGCCTGTTGTGTTATCCGTGGTGAGATTACCAAATATTTCTTATAGAAATGCTGACGCCACAACAAACCCACGTACTAATTAATCAAGAAGAAAGAAAAAAGTTGATATGGTTTTCTAAGCCAAGTGAAGAAATGATTAAAAGGATAACAAACGAAACATCTCAAATGTCGCTGATTTTTTTTCAAGTTCTTTATACCCATAATTGAAAAGAGAATATCAAAATGCAAAAATAAAAATGAAAGAGAGTAATATTACTAAGAATTGGGATCTAAAAACACGTTAAACATTCTTAGACATGGAATAAAAACACTTCAAACGTTATTAGTTTTAAAAACGTAAGAAAGAAAAGAAGGTAACTAATCAACCATCCGTGGTGAGATTTCGTAACAATCCGGTCACTGAGTTTCGGTCTGTTGCTTTATCCGTGGAGGTTATTTTTATTGAATGCTTGCTCATCTCCATGATCAATCGAACGCTACAACAGACCCAATTACAATACTACCTACAATAAAATTAATATTGTTTCAAGTTCGTCAGCTTTAGACCCGAAATTGAAAAGAGAACTTACAAACATAAGAACAAAAAAGGTACAAGAACGCAGAATTACCTTAACATATTTAGACATGCCTGATAAATAAATAATTTAAACGTCGTTAACCTAGAAAACACAAGCAAGCAAACTTATTAACGATGGTTATGATCATTATTATGTCGATCATGGCTACCTATCGGTTAATGTTGGACGCATCCTTTTTCCATCATCAATTGCGAAATCTACATGGAGACTATATATACCGCAGATTTATTCTAATTCACATAGGACCATCGGCCGCTTTAAAACAAAACAAAAACCAAAAATAAGCTTTGAAAATATAGGAAAAAAACGAACTGGAACTAAGTGAAAGAAGTGAAAGGGGTTCAAAGAAAATTGTTTAAAGATGGGACATGTCATTGGGTCTTTATATACTACTCTTCAAAGGAAGAATATTACATAGATGCTCGAAGAGTTTGAAATTATTAGAGATTCTAAGAGATTTTTCTAATTTTCTCTAGATTTTTTATTTATCTTATGGGATTACGGCTAGGAAATCTGGCTGCTCAAAAACAAGATTGAATCAGTAAATACTAATGATTATCTAAATATAACCTAGAGGTTGAAAAGCATAAAAGGAGAAGGGATTGGAACGAAAGAATATTCAAGACTGGTTAAAAGCAAAACCTTCTTTACTTATCCAATTATATCTTAGTCCGGTTACAAAGATCCCTATATAGTATGTAATAAGTTAGAAAGAGATATTGTTTTAAAATACACTATCAGAATCTGAGTTTTTAAAACCAAAGCTGCAGAAAATGTTCTCACTACATATTACCATTAAAATATTTCGTAGCTAAATGACTGTTACCAATAATCCGTTGTCATGGATTGCCCATCTGACCACGGATTAGCAACTCGCTATTTTATGGCCAAATGATCATCATTTTTTTTGTCTTGGCCAAAATGTTCGGTTCATTAACCCATTAATTCAATTGAAGGAAAAGTCAGTCGAGCTCCACATGAGCCTGAGTCAATTTTTTGTGAATTGAAATATTGTCACTACCTCGTCACAATGATCATAATTTAACCAATGTTTTTATATAAATAAATATATATATATATATATATATGTATAACGATGAATAAATAGTGGTATCTTATGAAAATATCGTAACCAATTTGCATATGACCGTGGGTTTTGCGGTGAAGGTTGTCAAATGTGTGGCAGCTACGCTATTGTGGCCACGGTTTTTCCCTAATGGATTTTTTTATAGAAAATTATATAATTTACAAATAATAAATTAATAGTAATATTTAAAATGAAAATTAAATATAAGAAAATGAATGGTAAATTTAAAATAAACATTAACGAGCCAATAGTTCCTGAAGTGAGGTATGTAAAATTTGGTGCGATGAATCTTTTAATCGATGAAAAAGACAGTGACAAAAGAGCAAACGAACCAAACTTCGTAGTATTAAAAACCAACAAAAAAAATCTACAATATATGGTATATGGTATTTGAAACAACTGGAAACCGCCTTGAGTAAAGATCAAATTTATTTAACAAAAACGAATTAATCAATCAAGAAAGCATGTAGTATAAACCCCTAGAAAGATTACAACTAAAGTATAAACGCAGCAACAAAAATCGCGATACACGACAAAACCGTGACAAACCCATTTCTTCTTCCACCGCTTGCAATCGGAAGCACATCGGGAAGCATACATTCCTCGCCGTTAAATATAACTTTCGCCGGGAACCCATCGCGTTCCGCCACGTTAATCCCCGGCGTGAGCTTCTTGGTGAACTGTATCACCGATTGCTGTTTACCTGGAACCCTAAGTTTTTTCTTGGGATCCAAGTCATCTCGCTCCGCCACGAGATACTCCAGACCGGGAAGACCTTCCATGAAAATGGTGTTGTTTACACCTCCGTCCACGCTCAGGAGACTCGCGTTGAACGAATACGCTTTCTCGAATCCACGAATCGCCGGTTTCTTCATCTGAACCGCTAAAAACCAATCGGGGAAATCGATTCCTCCCCAGTTAAAAATCGTGATCCTCACTGTCCATCCACCTCTGTAATCCGAAGCCATGTGCCAGTTAATCGAGACGCCGCAATTATCGCCGCACGGCATAGGGTTTGGGACGGTTTTGTGCTTGAGTGCGTTCCACGCAACCGTAAGAGATGTTCTGTTTTCGAAAGGCAAGAGAAGAGCGTCTGGAGGGATGAGAAGCGGTGGAGACTCGGCGCTGCAGGTGCGTCGCGTCTCCGAAACGCAACCGCAAGCGCATGTGTTACAAGGGATGATCGAGTCGTTGAAGAAAGCGGAGAAGGAAACGCAGCATTTCGGGATCTCTGTTTTGGCGTGTGTGATGTTACATACAATCTGCCAGCTGGCAAAAGATGATTTGTTGGTTGGCATACCGCTCGGATCCGGATAAAAAGTCGGGCTGACCCGAACAGGTGGCCCGCATGAGTAATCCGGGTTAAGCGTCCCTTTGATCCTCCAGTTTTGCGGCGGGAAAAGAGCGGACCGGTTAAAATCAGGAGGCATTTTGGAGACTTGCATTGTGAAGACAGAGGCTGATTTCGAAGGGTCCATGATACGTGGCAAGATCGTACCGTTTCTGCAACAAGATGGGATTTTGCCTAAAGCCGGGTCCTCTGCTTTGGTCGGAGGCAAGTCAACGATGATTGGCCGTCTCTCACAGGTGAGAACGTCTGCGAAATCTAGGCCGGTGTAGATTTTGGACTGTGGACCGAAGATGCATTTGGTAGCGTCAACGATCTTTGGATACGCGCCTTGCATTTTCTGTATGAACTCGTCTCGCTTCCAGTCGAAACTTAGCTCCCAATGGTCGAGCCTGCCTAGTGGATTGTGGTTTTCCATTGTTACTTCGACTAGGTAGTTCTGGTCGTAGGCTCGGATCACGTCGTACATTATGGTCAAGTCTCCTGGTTGTCTTGGAAGGAATTTGTCGGTGATTGTTGTGTTGACTTTTATGCTTGGGTCTCTCTCGCAGCACGTCGTTATCTCTCTTTTGCCTGAAGGGCCAATAAAACTCGTTTTGTCAGAAACTTACCGAAGTAGTCAATAGAGATATAAACTTAAGAAAAAAAAATATCAAATAATATAGACTGGATAAAATTCTAAAACATATTTTACGGATATGGGTTATAGCAAAAATAAATAAAACACAATATACACGAAATATCAAAAAAAAAAACATAGGAAAAATGGAATTAAGTTAACAATTACCATATGAAATATATATCTAAAAAAAACAAATGGGATTTGATTGGAGTAATTACTTAGCGGAGTAGCAGGAGTAGGCTCAGGACAGAGCCAACCATCGTTAACAAGCGATATGTTGGATGGCATAGGAATCGCCGGAGGAGTCACCATGAACTGAGTTCCGACGAGTTCGATCCTAGCTCTCATCTGCTTTAAGTCTCCGGCGGTTTGAATGGCTGTTTTGAGGTCGGAAACAGGATAGCCACCGAAGATGGTGCCGTTTCCTACCGGAGCAGGGAGCTCTGTTCCGTTGACGATAAGCGCATCGGTGGCGGAAATAAGGATCTCGCGGTGGCGGAATCCGACGAACACTCTCCACTCTTTGAGCTCTTCACGGCCGTTGTTGAGAACTGTTAGGACTGATTCAAAACGATAAGGCTGATCGGTTGTGTCGTTTGGAGGGATCTTGCGACCGAGTTTGAATCTGTAGGAGAGGAATATTCCGTTGCAGAGTTCTGAAGGTGGAGTCGGTGCCGGCGCCGGAGCCATTATTGTCGGAGGAAGCTGAGACAGGGACGGTGGAGTAGCAGTGAATAAGAGGAACGCTCCGAATATAATCGGAAGGAGAAAGCCCATTGTGACTTCCTCCAAGAAAAAGTTTTGATTATTTTTGGAGGAAAAAGCTAAGTAAAGAAACCTAAATGATGTAGAGAGTTTTTTGTTTTGTTTTCTTTATTTGAAACTAACGCTGAGTCTATAATCTTAGGAAAAGTATGGTATAACGTTGTCGTAGGATACAAGGACGCACGTCGAGATGATGTTTTGAGTTAATTTGGAACTCGTGCCACGCACGTTGCTATGGTGGATTTGGAAGTAGAGAATAATGTAGTCGTGGACGCAAATTAAAAAATTATTAAGTTTCACAACATTAGCATGACTTGATCATTCCAACAATATGCCAACATATTTCAAAGAAATTTTTAAATACTATGGGTTAGGCCTTGTCACTCGGGCCAGCTTTTACATACAATAATAGTTTCCATAGTTTAAACATACAATAATAGTTTTACGTTCGCCCAATGAAACTCAAGACCCAAAGCTTTATAATTAATGAATTTCATTGAGAAGAGTCCAAGAGAACTTATGTACTTTGCTGTCAAACACTCAATCTTGATGATTCCTGAAAAAATAAAATTGGGTCGGATCGAGCCAAGTTGAGTTAGCCTTATTGACATGCAGCGATGGGACTGGCTTTGCGATTTTGGTTCCATCAAAACCAAAAAAATTAACTTGTAAAAACATTTTAGCAAGTGGTGGAGAAAAATTTGGGCTCAAAGGAAATGCTTTTACAAGCTATTGATTGTTTTTTACAACTTGTTTTCTAAACATGTAAATGTTTTTTAACAAGCTTCTAGGAAATACAGCAGGTATCTCTTTACCAACTACTCAGTTTATGTTTCAAAACATGATCTCCAAGAACTTAGATATATTATGAAGTGAGAAACCCAAAATTCCCTTGTAAATTTTCACTTGAACTCAGAAAGAATACAAGATAAATTGCTCATCATCTTAACAAAAAATAAATATACATGAAGGTCTGGTTAATACTAAAACCAAACTAAACCACCTTGTCTAACGGTCTAACAAATTTGAAGTACCTTAACCAATTAAAATTATACCTCTGAATTAGTTGATACGTCACATCCTCCCGGTTGGTTCCTCTAACCGAATCAGAGTGGCTGCACCACTTCTCATCCCCAAAGGCCCCAAAGTCAGACCAACATTTAACAATACTAAACAATGAAACCAATTATTGTTGAGACATACCATTGATCTTTGTCTCACTAACAATTGTTTTCTAATTTATGGCCACTAAGCAGTTACTTTCTTTCTTTTGGGTATTCATATGTTTAATGGTTCATACTTTAACGGCTTATCTACGGTCAAGAATAAAGGTCATTGATTTATTAATAGATAAATTTCCACGGTCTCATCGAAACAAAGGGGAATACTTTTAAAAAAAAATTGGATCGCTACATACTTTAGCATGTTGGGGAAACAGAAAGATATGCGTTGGAGCAAAGCTGGCCATAAATTTTTCTTGCATGTGTATTTCGAATTTCCAACGGTGAGTTTTGTAATAATACATTTTTCTGATTTAACGACAATCACATGTGATTATGAACTGATACAATGATTAAAGAGATACCAGTAGCCGTGAATTTAGCTGACTAATAGATATGGTGTATTAGTTTACTACCGTATGGTTTGACTATTAGCATCAAAAACGACAGGATTAGTTCATTAACGAGTAATGAGATTAGATATTGTAATTTCAGCGCAAATAAAGCTCAACCGACAAAATAGTGCTAAATGAACTAGTTGAGTGTAAACCAGTAAAAGAGCATTTCACAAATCAAGCATACATTTAAAAAACAATAAGTGCATAGAAAGTAACAATGCTTTATTTATGAATAACGAGTAATTAAAATGTTAATTAATAAGAAAATTACATACAAATTGTCAAAAAAAAAAAAAAAGAGGATCAAAGAAAGTGAAAGATAATAATTTGATCCAAACACCTGGTTTTCCATGATCAAAGATATCTAAAACCTTCAGAGAGACTATTGTAGATCTACCGATCTGCCACATTATTTCCAATTTTCTGTAATTTTCCGGTGAATTCCGACGATTTTCCGTCACACTAAACAGAGGAAGACAGCGAAAAAAGCAAAAATAATAGAACTAGAACCCATAAACCGATCTGATCCAGAACCTGGTGGTGGCGTATGATAGTAAAACGGGAAATAAGGGACGATGGGATTCGGCGGAGGCGGCGTAGGATAGTTTCCTGAATACGGCGGAGGATAGTAGTAACCTTGACCGCCGTCACCGTACGGAGGAGGGTATTTGCTGCCACCGGACTGAGATGGAGGAGGATAATAATAAGAGCCACCGCCACCACCGCCGGAGCTCGGAGGAGAAGGAGGCGGAGGACATGCGGTGGTGGTTGATGGTGACGGTGGTGGAGGAGAAGGCGTAGGAGGAGGAGGAGGAGGAGAAGATTGGACGGGACTACAAGGATTGTCACATGAAGAACACATTGTACAAGAAACAACCTCGTCCTTGGATGTCACTATCGGAGTCACTGACAGTAGCAGCATAACAACAACAAGTGTTGACAAACCGTATAATTGGGCTGCTTCCATTGTCAGAAATTGGATTCAGAATTTTTTGATATTTAGTGTAGAAATCTACAGAGGTAAAGAAGATGAGAGAGAGGCAGAGTGAGAAAGAAGTAAAGAAAGAAGAAGCACATTAAGAGAGGAGTGTTCCTCTTTTTATCGAGGATTTTTTAAATAATTTTTTGTTTTTTTCAGCAGGAAAAAAAAGTGTTTTTAAATAAAGAAGAAATGAATAGTAAAAGGTGACGCCGACACGTTAAACTTTTAACCGAAGGTCTTGTAATAAAGCACCGGAAATACGCGGATGTCGGGGGCTAATGCGTCATTTACAACTCCTTGATTGTCTGAAACTACGATGGTACCCCTGGTTCTAGCTGCTGTGACTGTGAGCGATGGCGTGGCGGCTGCGTGGAGGAGCAAGTAGGGTTGGGTAAATTTGAGAGGATCTTTTCAAAAAAGAAAATAGTGGGGCTTGACAATTTTGCAAGCTTTCCCACGTGGGTGTATTTCATTGGATTTTCGGTTTATGACGTGGTAGTTATCGAAGGAGTAAACGTGAAGATGACGGAACTCTTAACTGAGTGTGAGTGAGCGTATTTTCTTCTTCAATAAATTATTTTGAAAATTCGTTGAGTTGGTTGAAATTCAAAAGTGTTAACGATTTGAAGCCTTTTTTGGTGATTGTGTGGGTGTTAATAAAACCTAAGAGCTTTGACAAATGTAAAAAAACATAAAATTGAATGTCCTCCATGTCTAATACCAAAAAATAAAATAAAAAATAATTACCCCATACATGATAATAGATAATTTGACGATTTTTTTTTATACAAATTATCAGTTTTCTTGAAGATCTAAACTTCAGTGACTCATCAAGCACTTGTTAATGCTGCACTTCTCTGTTGTGTTTTTGTTTTAAAAAAAAACGGAGAATTCATACCAGATCCTAACTCATTTTCAAAGTTTACAACGGCTAAAGAGAAGATGCACATGGTGAGAGTTCAACTTTGACATAAATCAACTTAACAGTTTACTACTCGATCGAATACTACTATCACTTGGTTTAACAAAAATACTTTATACAAATATCTCTACGGTTCAAGTGAAAATTAAACAAGTTAGGCATTATGGCATTCTGTGTTTTTGGCATTATGCTTTCATCTCTCTATCAAAAATTTTCAATCAAGATTGGAACGAATTCAAACATCATGTTTTACTGTCATCATGGATATTTTTGTATTATTGGTCCAATGAGTTGTTGAGAAGTAAGCATCGAAGATATTGGTATCCTCATATCACACATTTAAACTTGGAAATTTATGTTTTTCCTTTAAATTTCTTGGATTTTCGGATTCTACAAATCTTAAATGTTATTAAAGGGTTAGTGATGATTCGATCATGAATGCAAAGTAGATATAAACGCATAGATACGACGATTTCTTTGTATGTTGACATTTTGAAATGCATTGCATAACACCGGCTTTAAGATTGGATAATACTAAAAAAGGGTATAAATCAAGAAAGCTATTTTTTACTAAAATAAACAATACAATAGTATTATACTATTATAATGTATAGAAAGAAGGAACCCTATAACTACTCTTTACCACACCTTGTTACTGTGCATTGACTGCATCACAACACCAAAAAAAAAATTCTGTCTGAGATTATTTAGAAACTCAACAAAATACAAGATTTGATAGAAAGACCAATAAGTTGACAAAAAAAAAAGACCGAAACATTTGTGCCTAAAACCAAAATTAAAGGAGAAGAAAAATTAAAAATAAAGCCAATGAGGAATGAAAAAAAAGACGAAGATATTCATACTGAACCATGATTCACATGTGCCCAACAAATCACAAATTCTCCATCGTGTTTTTGGTGAACCGCCAAGAGTATACGATTTACCTGCTGGAAAAAGTCACGAGTTACTCATTGGCCATACCAATCAAATCTTCTAAACTTTTATTATTGTATATAATTTAAAGTAAAAAAAAAGAGTTTTTAATGCGAAAAGAATAGAGGAAATATTAGCTGTAATGCACGTGTCTTTAATAGCGTGCTACGGGCCCACCAACTCATCCCACATTCCCCGCACCTACACAAACCCATACAGTATTTCGGTATAATAAATCCGGTACACTTGCTCACCGGTTGCTCAAACTTAGATCCGTAGAAGATCAAATCGGTACGAAGGATTTGCTGATATTCAGTTCAAACACAGAAGAGCGATATAAAAACAACAAAATTATGAAAAACAATTAAAAGTTAAGAATCAAACCGCGCTACTCGCATGTACTCGTTTGAATTAATATAGAAAGACTATTAGAAAAAGAAAAAAAAAAGTGCAAAAAAACTAATTCCACTGATCATTATACATGTAACGAATGGTTAGTTGATGAAGTTGATCTCCCATGGCCTAATATTTATCCACATGTAAACAGGGATAGATGGACGTTACTGAAACCAAGGCACGTGCCCTATACTGCATTAGATGTTTCAAAGGCGATCGATGTTTGTTTTTTGTTTTTTCCGGTGGATAACGATCCTACTAGTGTCAAGTCCTAGTTTTGGTGATGGACCCAAATTACCGAGAGGGTTCAAGGTTGGCCTGCAGGTTGGAAAAGAAAATTTCTAAATCTACCACTTTGGGCTAGGCCCTCTACACTTTATATTTGTGTGTATACATAATTTTACAATGAACCCATTTAAAACTTTCGATTGTATTTCAAGTCTCGAATTTAAACTTTTTCTCAGCCCAGATTTTGGTCTCAATTTCTTGCAAGAAATCGTCAAAAGTTCAATACACGTGCAAAAGATATTGTAGTTTGTTTTTTCTTTTGTAAATGAATTTGCTAGCACGTGTTATGTCATTCAAGTCTCCTAGCAAGTGATATGTAAATTCTAAAACATCTACAACTTAATGGCTTTTAGTACCATGATGTAGTGGCGACTGGACTTGATTTATTAGGACTGGGCATAAATACTTGTTACTCGTCTCGTACTCGCTACTTGTCCCGTACTCGTCTTGATAAAACAAGTATTTGTTATTGTCAAGTCGAGTAATAAGTCAACAAATTTCATTACTTGCAAGTACGGGTCAAGTATCAAGTATCGTTTTTATTTTTAATACTTGTCTTGTTACTTGTCTCATTACTTATACTTGTTACTTGTCTCATTACTTATACTTGTTACTTATTTAGTCTCTTTTAATAACAAAATCTATAACAAATATTAAAGCCCAAAGATTAAGCCCAAAAAAACTATCCAAATTTCATATAAGCCCTATATAATTGTCCATACTATTTATTTCTAACTTTTAAGAGATCTAGGGCTTCTCACCATATCTTTTCACTCTCAGTTTTAAAATAGAAAGAAAGCACTAAGCAGAAAGCGGCTGATTTTTTCTCCATCGATCTAATCAGGTTTGTTTTCATAGTATCTGAATGAATGTCTTTGTTTTTTTTATTAGGGTTCAATCTTTATGTCTTCCATCTTTGTTTAAACATTTTGAGTTGTGAACTTTTCTGTATAGATGGAATCTGAGCAACATAGTATTAGTGGAGGTAAAAAAACTGATGCAGAGGAAATGGAGAGCGGACATGGTGGTGAATCAGCTCCAACTATGGAATCTGTTGAATCTAAGGTAGTCCCTAGACAAAGATCTCCTGCTTGGGTTAACTTTAAGAAATTAGAGAATGGAGACAAAGCTAAGTGTAATCATTGTGGCCAAGTAGTTACCATTAGATCACCATCTGGTGTCAATACTAGTGTTATGCTGAAACACATGGCTAGATGTAAGAAGCTACATCCAGAACTTGAGGTTGAGACTGTCGCTGGTAAAAGACTTAAGCAAGCAACCCTGCACCATCGATCTAAAAAAGAGAATGATGAAGCTGTTCCATCATACTTAGAATATAACAAAGAAGATTGCAGAAAAGGTTTGGTCAGAATGATTATAAAGGATGAGTTGCCTTTTAGGATTGTGGAAAGGGAAGGTTTTCGAGAATTCATATACGTTCTCCAACCTCGGTTTGAAATCCCTTCCCGTAGAACTGTTACTAGAGAATGTATGAGTTTGTTTCTTGAAGAAAAGAAAAAGATGAAGCTGTTCTTTCAGAAACACAAAAGGAGTGTTTCTCTAACGACAGATACTTGGACGTCGGTTCAGAACATCAACTATATGTGTTTGACTGCACATTTTATTGATGAGAACTGGAATTTGCAAAAAAAAATCATAAATTTTTGCCAAATTCTGAGTCACAAAGGTGAGCTGATAGGGAAAATGGTTGAAAGATGTTTGGTGTCTTGGGGAATCAGCAAGGTTTTCACAATCACCGTAGACAACGCAAGTGCAAACGATGTAGCACTGAGATTCTTAAAAAGAAGAGTTAAGTCATGGGGTAATAGTCTACTTGATGGTGAATATCTTCACATGAGATGTGGTGCACATATCCTAAATCTGGTTGTCAAAGATGGATTGGAAGAAAATAAAGCCTCCATTAGTCGAATACGTTCTGCTGTTCTGTACGTAAGATCCTCTCCGGCAAGATTAGACAAATTCAAAGAGTGTCTTCTTCACCTAAAGCTTTCATCTACTGCTGGTGTATCTCTTGATGTTGAGACCAGATGGAACTCTACATATCTGATGTTGGAGTCAGCTTTGAAATTGAAGAGAGGTTTTGATATGCTTGAGTTAGAGGATGAGAAATACATGGTAGAACTTGGGAAGTTGGGCGGTGTGCTTACTGAATCAGACTGGGACTATGCAAAAGCATACTTACCTATTCTCAAGTTCTTTTATGATGCAACTCTGAAAGTTTCAGCAATTCGTTACGTTACCGGGAATTCATATCTGAAAGAGATTTTTGGAGTTGGTATAATGATACGAAAGATGGGATTGAACAAAACTGATCCTAATCAGAAAGCAATGGCTATTAAGATGAAGGCTAAGTTTGATAAATATTGGGGAGATATGGAGAACATGAATTTGATGATTTTTGCTGCGTGTGTTTTTGATCCACGATATAAACTGAAGTATGTGAGTTGGTTGATACGTGAGAGCTACAGTGTTGGTGGTAATAGCATAGCTGAAGCTTTGATTGTGAAAGTAACACTGGTTATAGAGAAGATGTTTCAGTACTATGAAGAGAAAGTCTCTAGTTCTTCAACGCAAGCTAGCAGAGGTGAAGGAGTAAATATTTCTTCAGAAGTAGCAGAAGAGGCTGCAGAAAGTTATGACCTTGATTCTATGATTGATATACATGAAGAAAGTGAAGAAAATTGTGCTTATCAGTCAGAATTGGAGAGCTATTTGGCTGATAGATGTGCTCCTAGATCAGATCCAAAGTTTGATGTATTATTTTGGTGGAAAAAGACGGGATCGAGGTATAAGACTCTCTCTGTAATGGCGAAAGATCTACTTGCTATGCCGGTTTCATCCGTTGCTTCTGAGTCAGCTTTTAGCACAGGTGGTCGTGTCATTGATCCTTTTCGTAGTTCTCTCACTCCAAGAATGGTTGAAGCTCTAATATGCACTCAAGATTGGATTCGCAATGATTATGAATAAAGTAGTTTGGAAGACCAAATTGAAGAGCTTGAAGTTCTAGAAAATGGTATACACTTACTTTTTCTTATTTATGAATCTTTTCTTTTATTTGTGAACTTACAAGTTTTATGTTGTTTTACAAGAATTTACGACTTCAACTGCTTATGGAAACTTGGCACAAGGAGTTAGTTTAACTTTGGAGGAAGAATGAATGGTAAGAAACTAAGAATACTTCACGTTTCATATCTTGCAAGTTATCTTAATTATTCATATCTATATCTAATATCTCTATTTTTGTTTTCTTTCTATCTGAATCTTTTTTACTTATCCACCCAATTTGTTTTTTGAATATAAAATTAGAATCAGTTACGTGTTCTTAGTTCCCACTATTGTCAAATACTTTGCACATTAGTCACCAACTGGTGGCTTTTATTTTTGATTGTCAAACATGCAAAATTATCATTTTCTTCTATATACTTATGTTTATTGTATAATTTTGTAGGAACAAAAAAGGAACCAAAGTAGACAAGAAATCTTTGGAGCATTGAAACAAAACCAGAAGAACAATGTTTTCAATATTTCAAATGCTTATCTTTTGTTTGTTTGTCTACTATTTTAAGTTTTTATGTGGTTTTAGAATGTTCATTTGGATATGCGTTTGAAGAGATTTAATTATGAAGGGATTTATTTATCTTATTTTAAGTACTATTTTAAGTTCAAATTTTTAAATATTTCAGATTCAAGTATCAAGTAATGATTTGTATCAAGTAACAAGTAACAAGTAAATTATGAGTCAAGTAACTTGCAAGTAGTCAATTTTTAAACGAGTACTTGAAATAACGAGTACTTGTTATGAGCGGGTCAAGTACAAGTAATAAATTCAATTACTTGAACGAGTCAAGTCAAGTAACAAGTATATGAAATTTAACAAGTACTTGTCCCGTGCCCAGCCCTATGATTTATAATTAAAGAAGCGCATTTAGTTGGATTGACTACTACACTACTAGTAGTACACGTGAATAAAGAAAAACATTTTTCATGCGGCCAGACCAAGATCTGTGTTAGTTAGTTATGGGACATGTTTTAATGATATGGTTTTTACGTTGATAGTTCCATCATAGTAACATGATTATCATCATCTATTGTGTACAAAAGTGATAATTTTGAACTATTAATACTTCTATAATGGTTTGGTGCACACGGTTTTGATCAGAAAAGAACTTTAATGTTAAATTATTCTTCTTACTAAAATCAGTAAATCTAAATACTATTGATGGAAGTCAAAAGAAGTAAAAAATTGACGAGCGAAAAAATAAATAAAAAGTGGCTTCACAATGAAAGTAGCGGGCAAACTCAAAACATTGTAATTTCAAATTATTATCTTTGGTCACAATTTTATATTATTTCTTTGACTTGACAAGATTGTGCTTAACAGATAGGCAAGTCCCATTCCTGTCCTAATAAAGACAAATTTTCAACAGAACAATAATTTAAATTTAAATTAAATAGTAATACTCCATTTTTCTTTTTTTGGGTCGAAAAATACTCCATTAAACTAATAAACTACCACCGAAAATCTTTTATTCATTAATCTTTCAAAATTTGTGATGTCCAAATCGCAGCATCGAGAGTTCGAGATACTCAAAAAAATTAAAAGAAAATAAAAGGAAAAGAAGTTGATTGAAGATCACAAGCCAAACAAATTTCCGACAAAAAAAGAGAAGAAATTTCACAATCATTTTGTTAGTCATCATCATTGCTCTCTTCGACTTCAAGAAAACCCTAATTTTTTTGTTTGTTTACTTAATCACCACCGTCTTCAATGGTGGGGGAATCTAGAAACCACTAAGCGTACACTGATCCATACGATAGAGCCATGAGAAGCACGGCGGCTTGCTCTTCCTCGCCGAGCTTCCGTCGCTGCTTCTCCACCGTCGATTTCTTCGCCATCCCCAAATCTATCATCCTCTGTTTCAACGATTCACCAAATTTAGGGTTTCTTCTGAGATCGCCGCCACCAGAATTTGATTTCTTCGGCTTCTTGTCATCTACTCCTCGTCTTTTCTTCCTGTTTCTGATCCCACACGCGTTACAAAGCGACTACGTAACAAAAACCAAACAAATCAGATCGGATCACACCAAATGATCAAACTTTGGTTTTCCCAAATCGGAAAAAATTAGGGTTTTAAAGGTCCGACCTTGGGACCGGCGGGACCACCACGCCAAAGAGGTGTCTTGCTGGTACCACAATCAGCGCAAGTCTTCTTGTCGTTACTACTAGTCTTGTTCTGTTCGATCATATCTCCAGCTCTTCTTTCCATGGCTTCAGAATCCACCAAGACCTGAAATCAAAGAAGATCAACACAGAGTGATCAGCTTAAAACTGATCAGTACCAGAATCAGGGAAGCTATGGAAGAAACAGAGATCGGAAGATCAGATCACTCACTTTCTCGCTGTGATTTAGCATTTCTTCACTTCCGAATTCGAAATGAGTTGAGGGGTTTAATCGAAGTTGGCGCCGCGATCGGGAATCTAGGGGTTTGAAAACAGAGATCAAGGAAAGGAAAGAAGAATCTGGGTTTTAGGGTTTGAGAAGATCACGTCTCTCTTCAGGAAACAGAAGATCCGAGAGAGATATTTGAATCCGGAAATGGAACCGACATGCAGAGGATTTAGAAAGCAACAGGAGAGTGAAGAAGAGTGTCAGAGAGACAAGAGAAAGAAAGAAAGAGAGAGAGATAGTTTTTTAAAGAACCGAACCGACAGACACCGCACGGTGCTGGATCAAAACCAACGCGATTATAAATTGGTTCGAATTAAACCCTAGCATTTTGCGTTTATATGACGAAAATGCCCTTGAACTCTTCCTCAATTATCTGAGGGAGCCACCCGCCAAAATGGCGTAACATGGAGTTTTTGAGGAAAAGGTTTTCGCATATGTGATTTGGTGAAAAGAAAATGGCGCCACTTTGACCCGTGTGAGAACGGTTTCTTCGAATGGTCAATGAATCACGAGAATTAGATCATAGCCGTCGATTAAGATCTCTACGAATTTTACATTTTAGTGTATGTGGGGATTTAAGGAAGTTGACTTGAGTGCACACCAACTCACTCAAACCTCACATATCAATCTTCGATTCTTATCATTCATATTTCTTTTTGTTGGGAACAAATTGGCATCTACAAATTGGTGGGGTTGCAAACTAAGCAAAAGGAAAACAAACAAAAATCCCCAAAATTTGAAGTTAAATGTATGTAAATATCAATTTCTTGTTTATAGTATCACATACAAATTGACATCTGGTATAAATGTACTTTGATTCGGTCGCTATAACCTTTTTAGAGATTGAAAACCTTGTCAATCTATGAATCTTTTTTTTTAACTTCTATATATATTAATGTGAAGAACATACATAGTCACAGTGTAATACAATAGTTATTACATAAGGGATTAACGAATGATAAACATAAGAATTATTTCCTTTATTGTCAATCTATGAATCTTTTATTGAAGTAAAAAATCGGCAAGTTTTTATAAATTGGATGCATTTGGTTATATCCCTAAGTAAATGATCCACTTGCAAAACAAAAATATAGTGCAAACTTGAGATACTAATGATGGATTATTTATATAGAGAAATAAACGAACAAAGAGATAGCACGAGTGGCAAAGAGTATAGCCAGGTAGATAGGGATTCAGACCATATATTATTATTCTGCATGGTTCCAAATAAGATAGTGCTTTGTGTGTAATGTTGAATTATTTCCTGGTCAAAGTGACAATACTAGAAATAGTTTTAATATTGAAGGCATTTCCTAAAATGTAAAAAAGAAGATAGTCATCTTGCGGTTTAGAATTTGACAGAGAAGGAAAGAAAGGGACTGATTGTCTTATTCCTGTCCCTGGACCACCTCTCTCTCTTTCTTAATGGTAGGCCTACTTAATGGTGTACGAGTAAAAAAAAAAAACTATGTATGCTTATTAGAATTAAGCAGGAAGTTAATGTAAGTTGAGCTGAGCATAGTAACGTCACCTAATGACTTAAATAAAAACTCTTGTTGCTCTGCTTTGGTGAATTTCAAGAAGTTGAGTGACTTTGTACAGAAACCTTTTCTACTACTGACACCAGATTCTGCAACAAACAAGCACAGAAAACAACTCTAATAACCCCAAAACTTCACAAACAAAAAACAAAACAAAATTCAAAGTACACTTGTGACCTTTAATATCGACTATGTACTTACAGTTGACGACCAAGTAAGCCGTGAGAAAACAATGATAAATAGACCGAAATGTCACCAAAAAATTGACTCTAGACTCACTCTTTGATACCCTCCATCAAAGGTGCAAGCTTTTAGTTCCATGTCAGGTTTTTTTTTTTGCCTAATCAAACTAATATCAGACTGTGAGATCTCATCCTATAGAAGAAGACTATTAACAGTTTAAAAGGTTTGTTTTTTAACAGAAGTAGAATTCAGGAAAAACTTGAACTTGGTCCCTTCTGAAGCGAAAACCCAGATGAAAACCATCTTCCTCTTCAACCCAGTATGTCTCCAGAATCTTCACAGCCTTCTCGTAGATCTCATTGTTGTCATTGCTCTGCAGCTTCTCAATCTTTTCTAGCCCTTCCGCATCTTCAACCAGTTGGATAAAGTTCATGTGTCCTCTGATCTTCTCTGCCTCTCCGACCTTCAGAATTTTTCCCAATACGTCCAGACAAAAAGAGATGATTTCTAGATCTGGACATACCAGAATATCACATAAAGGTTTTATGCAACTCTGCTCCACCAAGTATCTGAATCACACCAAGAGGAGAGATTGTGAATTGATTTGATCAATAAGCAAGACAAAAGTGAAAAAAGAAAAAAGAGAGAAGAAAGGGGGTGTACCTGATTTGATCATGAGAACCACCTGCAATGGCATTTGATATTGCCCATATAGCTTCTTTCTTTATGTCAAATTCAGCATTTTGAGCCAGGTTGATCAATACTGGAATCAAATTTGCATCAATAACTGACTGTATCATCAGGGGAAAGAAACGGGAAGTTGGTCATATACAGAAGAGTAAGTTTGTTTATGTTCTGCAACATTATTAATAATCAGAAACTCATGCATGTAATGAAGCAACGAAAACTACTCACCTGAATTTGTTCTTCAGTGCCTGCAGTGATGTTTGAAATCGTCCAGCAAGCGTCCCTCTTTATGCATCTCGTAAAGAATTGAGTAGTCAGGTTGGCAAGAATGGGTAAAGCACCATTATTGATCACACACTGAAGAATAAGATCAAAAGAGGTTTATTCAGATGAAGATGTAGTGAAGTAAACGACGTTTAACAAAAAAAAGTTTCTGATAGTCCTATTCAAGACGATTGACATAAATGGAATATGAATTGCATACCTGGGTCTGCAGAGTATTTCCAGTAACTATATTACCAATGGTACGAAGTGCAGGAGTAAGCACAAATGGAGAAGGATGCCTGCAAAAAGAAAAATAGTATCAGAGTTCATTATCAAAACATGTAACAAAGGGGTTAAACATACATATATTTATTAGAGAAGTACTAACAGGAGAAGTTCAACTAGTCTTGGGACAACACCAGCCTCGATCACACGTTGAATTTCTTCTTCTTGACCATCAGACAGATACGAAAGTCCCCAGCAAGTATCCGCCAAGACTTGTTCATCACTCGAATGAACAAGTCGTTCAAATGCAGAAAGAGCAGGTTTCACCTGTTAATCATGTTTCAAAAACGTTAAACAAACTGAGGAAACAAAGCCTGGAGCGAGAAAGAAAGAGCTAGAGACCTGGTCAAACGGTGGCTGAGGCTTGCCACGGCAGAAGTTTGACAAAGTCCAAGAAGAAACTCTGAGCAAAGACAGCTTAGAATGCTCGTTAAGCAGACTCAACAGTGGCATCAAAGCCCCACACTTGAGAACAATGTCACGGCAGTGTGTTGAATCACCAGCAACATTACCCAATGCCCATATAAACTGAAAGTTACAAGCTTTTCTTGAATATTAGATATGATAAGCATTCATATCATATTCACATAACCATAATACAATACCTTCTCACGGAGAGCCTCATCACGGGAAGAAAGAAGATAGATTAAAACTGGAACAGCGCCGTGATCAATGACCACCTTGGTGTGCTCCCATGTCCCAGTAGCTATGTTTGATAGAGCCCGAGCCGCCTGAAGCTGTAAAAACATCAATGGAATATCTGAATCAGAGATTACAATGATCATCGTAAATGTGAATCGATGTGGGTACTACTTTTCTTCTGACCTGAAGCTTGGGGAAATCGTCCTTCTTAAGAAACTCAACCAGACGAGGCACAACTCCATATTGTATCAAGTTCTCGATAGAAGGCATCTCTGGACAAATACATAAGAGCAAGAAATTAAAGAAAAGTAAAAATCGATCAAGAAAATGAGAAAAAAAAGTAAGAAGATGAAACTTACGGATCGATAGAATAATCCTAATCTGAGTAGTGGACTCGAGCTGCGACGAAGGGTCATCCGACCAAAACCCGGCGATCATTGATAAATCCTCCAACTACGAGTATTGAAACCCATCGCTTATCATCATCTCGGAGAATTAGCAATGAAAAAACTCATCTTTTTCGAAACCCAAAACTTAAAAAACTCATCTTTTAAAAATTTCCGGCTTACCTTGTTCTCGGCGGAATCAGAATCAGGGATTAAATCTTGAAGATCTTGCATAGAGTCGCGCCGTTTCTTCATCAAGCTCTCTTCGCGTTTGTTTTTGCGGATTTCGACCAAATTTTCCTCTCTTCTTCTGCGTCCTTCCTCCGCATCCACGGCCACCTTGTATCGGTTTCGACGGACCTCTGTCTTCTCGTGCGGTCTCAGCGACATAGCTTTTTTCCCTCTTCTTCGACCTTTCCAAAGAAATTGAATCAAATCGAAGTGAAATTCACTCAGAAAACTGAAGAGAAACTTAGAAAGAGGGATAGGGATCGCAATTGAGTAGAATGCAAAACAGAGCCAAGGAGCGAAAACAGTTCAATTCAAAGAAGCGGGTTTTTCTTATTATATCCTCTCTTTTTTTCAATTTAACCATTAATAAAAGGGATGGTAAATCACTAAATCCTAACCAAGAGAAAAGAAAACAAATTGAAAAATGAAAAAAAAGACTTTACACTGACATCAAAATAGACTTTTATATATGTGTTTTTGTATTCATCTATCATATATCATATTTCTCCATTCATCTTCTGAATTTCATATTTCCAATTATCATCCAAGCATAATAAAGACGTAGTCTAAAGTCTAAACATCATGCGGTTATGATCATAACAAAGGTTTTCGTTTTATTTACACGAGAGGAAATTGGTATAATGTATAGAATGTTATAAAATTTTAGGCACATTTCGACTTGATGTATTAATCGAATGTGTGAGAATTAATATCTTTGCTCTTTTTCTCTTCTGATTTACCAACGTTAATTAGTAAATCTTATGTACTATACATTATACACTATATAAACTATACTATATTTGCAAGTTTTTTTTGCTCTGAAGAATCAATATATCTCAAAGACGTCGATGCATCTCTAACCGTAGCAGGACCTTCTCGAGCTACGGGAGCCATCCGATTCGTCGGCGATCTTGGAGGAGATGCATAGAGAACTGATGCCTCGAGGATTTCTCTATGTGTATTTTCAAGATCTTTTGAGATTCTATGTGCTTGAAGAGCCGTTAGGTAAAGTCCCGTGGCTAGGAAGACAGTTAGAAGCGATAACACTCCTGCGGCAGAGAACAAGCCTTGTCGGATTACTAGACAACTAGGTTTTGGCTTTGACCAGTTCTTTAGATGTCCTGATTCCACACTCAGTCCCACCAACAGTAGAACCTCCCCAACACCAAAGCAAATCCTTATAGGTAGGAACAAGAAAAACATATAATTACCAAAAATATTATTAACTTAGGTCTAACAAGTAACATTGTACTACAATCACGGTAAAATATAACAAAATGGAATGTCATTCCACAGTTTTTCCCCGGCTTACCAATTAGAATTGTAGTAAGGAGCTTTAATGTTATTTTCAACATGAAGTTACTTGTTGCGTTAGAATTAGTCTACTTACCACGTTGAGACAAAGAAGAAGGCTGCTTGAAAAGTGAGCGTCTTCGCAGGAATTGAGTCAGGATCCCACGTAACCAGAACCAGCGGTGGCGATGTGGTGACTGCGATTAGTAAGTACATGTGCAAGCCCACCATCGCCACTGCGAGTCCTACGAACGCAATCGCACCGCACAATAACGGCGTTTTCCCGTTGCCGTTGTACACGCACGTGCTGCTTCCCCATGTAGCCTATATGAAAATGCGAGTCATGAACATATTTAGGACCGACCATAAGAAGACTGTAATGGCAATGATATACTATATACTAGCCATAATTATTGAAATTTGAACCATATCACAATTTTTTTTAAAAAAAAATCTTAATTTGATCAGTTGATATGTTTTCTTTATCAATGATGTCTTTGGCTCGCCAAAAAAACTAACTAGTATGGTCTAAACATCTCTTAGGACCGAATAGTAGAACGGGCTTTTAAAAAATATGTTTCATGTATGAGACACAGTATTCATGTTCAAATCCCATCAAATTAAAACTTTAAAAGACTCCCTCTTCGACTAATTGAACTAACCGCGCTTGAGTTGTGAGTTACAATGTTTCTATTGTTATTTTACGTTGTTTCTATTTGAATCTATTTATTTTGATAATATGATCAAAATAAAAGAGAAATTTAATAGACACATCCATAAAAATGTACCTGTGATCTCGTGGCTTCGGCATAGAGACAGAGAACAAAGCAGGAGAGGCCAAAGATTATGGTCAAAACCACGACGAAAATACCGGTTTTGCTGCTGAGATCGGTGGTTTTAGGGTTTGGAACCAGATCTTGATGGGTCACAGCTCGTACTCGTGTTCTCGACATGCCTCTTGTCAATGTCTCATAGATAAAAATCGATGTTTCATGTTTTGAAAGTTAGTTTACTTTGAATTGTTTTACATCTATATATATGAGAGGCATTGAAAGTGGGAGGAAAAGAAAAAGGTGGGCATATTTGATAAACAAAAAATTAAAAAGGAGAGGAGAATAGGAGAATTGCTTCGGCCAAAGGTTACTTAAAGGCCAAAGATTCGAAGGTTCCTTTCCGGATTTCTTTTTAAAAATACTGTAAATTGTTTTGGTATACTGTCCATTGAAAGATGATGTGTAAAATATATAATGTGACGAGACTTCGTTAATGGACCTAGTTGGATGATTCTTTTCATATCATACGAGTACATATTAGAACATTTTTCTTCTAATTTTTATTTTATTTATCTTGTCATCTTGTGTAGTTGTGTTCATACATGAACATCGTACGGGTTGAACATGTAATCTATTTTTATTTCATTTATCTTGTGTAAGTTTATCAGGTCTGCTGTTAATAATTTATTTATTAATAGATTAAATTGAAAACCCATTAGTATACGCAAATCCTAAATTAGTATCCTTTAAAATTTGATACCGAAATATTCAAACACTATAGCAATAGTAAACGAATCACTAAAAAAAACGAAGAAGCATAACGTGCTTCAAACTGATCTAAACTAGAGGCTACATTTTATCCCTATTAACTTTTAAAACACTCCAACAAGCTACTACATAACCTCAAGATCCACTATAAACCAAACAAAACACTAGGCTTTACAATCAAAAGATAGATGCATGTTTAATCGGGTTAATACGCGTTTTCATATACGATCCACTTGCTTGTAATATCATTCGATTGTGATCTCTCCAATATCCGATAGATCCCAGAGATCATCACTTTGACAATTCACACTACCTTGAAACTCCCAATCAAGCAACTCCTCACCAGTCCCAAACCCAACTTCCGTAGAATCAGAGAGACCAACCCACCAATCTGTATCACCATTTTCATTTGAATTCGAACTCAAAACACTTTCCTCTCTTTCTTTTTCCACACTCATGTCATGATCAACCTCTCTGTTACCAAGCTTTCCTTGTTCTTCCTCAAACATATCCACACAACAGCTACTACTATTGTCTCCACTCTCACACACCTTTTTCTGATCTGGCTCACCATCATTTACTTCAATCACAGCGTCTCCACTAGAACATTCCCAGACGAAACTACTCATGAGCCGCTCTATCTCCCCATCCAACCACTCATAGGGACCCAATAAAGACTCTCCTTCGAAATGACCATTTTGCCCTTCTTCACTGGTCTCACTCTCTAACACTTTCTGTTGTGGGAAACATGGCGAGGCTGTCACCATTTGCTTGTGTTTCTTCATGGATGACCTGCTAGTTCTTCCCTTCTTCTTCTTCTTGGTCGTTTTGTTCTTGTTCTTGGCTCCCGAGGAAGAAGAAGATTTATTCAGGACTAAATCCTCAATATTTAGATTGTGTTCGTCTCCGGAAACGGCAGTGAAGGCGTAGATTTTGCGGCTGAGATGTGAGTTCCAATAGTTTTTAATTTCGTTGTCTGTTCTTCCTGGTAGATGTGTTGCAATGAGCGACCATCTACATGAAAAATAATAGAGGCACAGAGCACACAGTGAGAAAATATTATAAATTTTGAAAAATCAGCTATATAAACTTGGCTTTTGATTTTAGCAAAAAAGAAAGAATTGGCTTTTAATTCTTCGTATTTTCCCCTTTTAATGAGATTCAATACCATGGGATGGTTTAGTTATGTGTGTACGAATTTTTGTATTTAAAAAGGTTGGACCGTTCCAACAACGAACAATCACTCATCGTTAATTACAGTGGTCAGAGAGGCAGTAACAATCAGGGCCGTACACAACGCAGATGCGACACAGAAATCAATTCAGTTAGGTCTTTAGCAGCATAGTGCCAATGCTAATTATTGACAAAAATCTATATATTTTTTTTTATTTGATGAATTTAATTAGATTTTTTTTTTTGAAAAAAGGTTGGACCTTTCCAAGAGCATACAACCGCTACATTGTTATGATGGTCACATGATCCCTTTGTTTTTTTTTTTTTTTTAATTTGAACGGTTGGATCGGAGTCTGACCAATTTTTTATTTTCTAAGTTGACAAGTCACAGGACATGCAAATAATTGCACTGTACCGACCCCGCCCGCTTTACAGTCACTATAGTCAGAGACTGTGGCAAAAATTGTATATATAACACGAAATTCTGATTCACATATAATTTGTGTAATATGTTTATATATATATAACACGAAATTCTGATTCACATATAATTTGTGTAATATGTAAATATGCGAAGGACGTGACGTGGATTAAATCAGATTATTAATTACCTGTTGCCGAGAAGGGAATGCAACTTGACGATGATGTCTTCTTCCTCGGCCGTAATATTTCCTCTTTTCAAGTCCCTTCTCAAATAGTTTATCCACCTTAGTCTACAGCTCTTTCCACATCTCAACAATCCTTCACATTTTTGTAATTATTATTAGAACATGAATAACATTGTGTTCATCTATTAAATTAGATTTTAAAGTCAAATTTAACATCACAATTAAGTTTTCGATTGGCATTTCAATTTGCACAGTTGCATGTTTCAATTCATCAATAACTTTCACTTCTGCTATTGTTACCACAACATGGTTACTTGTATATAACAACTTGAAGAATTTAGTCTCGTTCTCTCTAATGTTAAAACCAATTTTCAGCAAAAAAATGGTAAAACCAATTTTCAACAAAAAAATGTTGAAACCAAACAATGTTATATAAATCTGGAAATTAAAGATCTAAATATATACCGGCTTTCTTAGGCAAAGACCGCCAAGAACCTTCACCATTGGTTTGAATATAGTTAGTGAGGATCTCATCTTCCTCGGCGGTCCATCTCCCTCTCTTCAACCCTACTTTCTCACAACACGGAGCCCTTCCCATCGCTTCTCGATCTCTTCTTTCAAAAAGAAAAAAGAGAAAAGAGAAAGAACAAAAAAAGAGAAACCACTTTTTGGACCCAATTGAGTGAGAGAGGGTGAGTGAGTGAAAAGGAGAAATCGTCCAGGTGATTAATATAGAGAGGACAAAAGGGAAAGAGAGAGTTAAGGTTTGAAAACGACGTCGAATAGGTGAAGAAATGAACCACGTTGCGGTGGAATTAAAAACTATTATGTATTGTGTCCATCCTCCTCTAAACCATCGCACAAAAGACAGACACTCCACGTACCTCTCCTTCTAACCTTTGGTCCATCTGTCTACCCTTTTCCGTGCTTACAAGATATTTATTACTATGTATACTTTTATACCTAAATACGTACTTGCATGCATATATACATCTACATGTCAAGTAGCTATATGCATATACCTACTTGTATACGCATTTAATGAATGTGTCTTCAACATTCTTTTGTTAACTTATTTCCCTCCTCGACAGGTTTAATTCATTTGTTTAAGTTAAATGGTGCACACGAGTATAATTAATAAATCAAAATTAGTGTGTTTACAATTTCTAAGATATTTGATTGAATCGCTCAAGTACAAATATAAGACAGTAGTTATGTATCCGGATTCGAATCAGAAATTGCTAGGACAAACGACATTAATGCAAACACCGTATAAAATTCATGAGAACAAGAGTCAATGAAACGAACACGTCTAATGAAATTAATTAGAGTCCCACAATGGTTATGTTAATGATATAAATTAAAGTCGTTTATGTGGAAGATCTTGGACCATATTCATAAGTGGGCATGTATTGATTTGTGCTAGGCCATAGTCATTTTGTTGGTTTAATTGTTGAATAGTGGTTACATGGATCGGTTAATTCCGGTACCATCCAGAAGGTAGGTGGAATCCAACGACTTTCTTGAGCTCTTGGTCCATATAATGTACTACTTTTCAATTTCCATGGTGTTAATCGTACGTGTACCTATATCTGTCCGATCTTTTTTTCCAATAGTTCTTTCTATAGCAGTTCAGCTTCGCCAATCATTATACATATCGTACCGACTCGGAAACAAACGGTTAAAATATTAGATTCTTCCCTGACAAGAAAAACAAAATAGATGTCAGTGTGAAAGAATGTATAACAGACCATGAGCTGAATAGAATGTATATATATATATTAGTGTAAAATGATTGAAAAATATTAAAATAGAATGAGCGTAAAATAAAATTAAAGATTATTATAGGTTCATACTCACAATTTTATTAAAGAGATGGACGCTGAGACCAGCCACTTATCTAACAAAATGAAAATACATGAAGAAGTGTATATATAAAAAAGTTTATTAATGGTCCAAGGAAAATTAGGCAGAGTTTGAGAGAAGGAAAGAATGGAAAAGATAGCGGAAACTGCCTTTTTCTCCTAATACATGTTTTTTTTTTAGTTATTACATGTCTTTTATATAATAAGATTACAAGGATGTAATAACATAACAAAATAATTTTATTCGTGATACAACGATAAAAAGTCGACACGCCAAGTCGCCAACTATAGTTTTTTTTTTTTTTTGAAACAAAACGCCAACTATAGTTTTGTCTTTTTGTTGTTGCAGTAGATCGTACTAGAAAAATCCTGAAAACACTATTCATGTTTGACACCTTTCTGAGAAGCGAAGAAAAATCATACTCCACTAATATTTAAGAAATTGCTTTGATATAAGTTTAAAACAAAACAAAAAAATTGTTTTGATATCGATGGTAGAAACTGTAATATTTCTTCTGATTTGTTACTGCCAATACTGTCAATATAATATTTTGTTTTAAGTATTTGGTTCGATTTTTTAGTTAATTGTTTAAGTAGAATAGATTTTCGGATCTTGGATTTTAATCGTTTTGCTGATGCTTGTTAAAGTTAAAAAAAAAAGAGGGAACTTTGAACCTATCCCACTATTTTATTCTATCTTTTCCTGAGATCAAGATTGGATCAGAGGAAAAAAAAACAAATTTCCAAGAAAATTAAAATTTTAATGAAACAGTGCTAAACTGAGAGAAACTTCTCATCAATGGGTAGTTTAGAGAAGGACTTAAAAAAGAAAGAAGGATTTTGGATATAATATTGGTTAAGCATATATATAAATATAACTGGTGTAAGAAAAAAATTAACTAAGCAGAAACGAATGTATAAAATTGGTAAAACATGGGCTTTCGGCCTACCTATTTTATCCAAATTAGTAGGTCACGGTTTATAGACTAATCTAGATTAGTGGCATTATAATTTGACTCAATGCATGACTCTCTTTAAAGAATAGTATAGTTTGACATCTATCTTTGCTGTAGTATTGCTTTTTTAATAATTTCAATTTCTTGATTTGACTTGTTATTTTTTTTTATTTAACCCAAACACGATTACTATATTTATTTTCAGCTAGCTTCTTCATTACATTTTTATATACAACTAAGCTTCTTTTTGCCCTCCGTCCTAATCTAAATTGTAATTCAGGACAGCATATAAACTTTCAAAATCCTCGTTAACGTTTAGATCGCTTTGGTGTCAGAGGAAACTCGGGATCAAATCAATTATATGTTGAGCATGAACTTTCTTTTTATAAAGTGCATCCACTGATCCACATACACTTTCTATATCATGTCGTATTTGCATAGCTTAATCGAGTAGTAGATTATCTAAATTATGCTCTCAATGCAGTCACATTTTACACATCCCATTTACAATTTTTTTGTCAACTCATAATAGTAATATATAACCATGAAAAACAAAATGTTGTGCTGAGCCTGTCCATTCGCATCATAAAGAAAAATAAAATCAAATATGACCGTAATATATATACATAGAATATATATATATATGTCTATTATGGTATATGTATATGTAAGTTAAGTATAAAAATAAATAGTGAATGTAGAAAGAGTGAATATATGGGAAATGGATGATGACATTACATATGAGCCAGTCACGTAGACATCACGAGTCTCTTTAGTAACAACGAGAAAAAGCCTTGCCATTTAAGGCACTGCTCTAAATTCTTTTTGTCTTTCACTTCACCTGTGGTCTCTCTCTCTCTCTCTCTCTCTCTCTCTCTCTCTCTCTCTCTCTCTCTCTCTCTCTCTCTCTCTCTCTCTCTCTCTCTCTCTCTCTCTCTCTCTCTCTCTCTCTCCCTCTCTCTCTCTCTCTCTCTATCTCTCACCTCTATACATTGTAAAATTCATAGAACAATCCAATCTACATTGAATGTTCACCGATTCTTAGCTCATTAAAATATATTTTTGTTGAAAAAAACATTATGTTTATTATTTTGCAGGATTATATGCATGTGCTATACTTTCTCTTGATTAGTTCACTAAGTTGAAAATCTTAATTACGTCTCAAATTTTTCGCAGATGACTTGAAAAGCTATCCATCTGAGTATTGATTGCGTTTGAACAGGCGATGACGTAGTTCAGTTGAATTAGTAGTCTAGTTTTGATAATTATCGTGGGGAAAAAAAAACATCTGTCTAGGATTTTGTCTAAGCTTTCTGAACGGTGGTGTAATTTATTTCTTTTGCAACCATGTTTTGGGATCTCCCCTTATTGTTTATCGAGAGTTTTATTAATACAAATTCTAAAGACGCATTTTTGTGAATTCGATTTTTACACCAAGTAAGACCTAAAACGAAGCTTTAACGAAAATGACGCCTACTAACATCTCATCCTGATCTAGATCGCGGGTAGAGTACTGTCACACGAACTTCCGATGTTACCTATGTGCTAGAATTTTGCACCAATTAAAATCGTAATCACTAGCTAATCACTGTGCTTTTATTCGGCTTGTACATTTTTCTCTTTTGTGAATATGTGAAATTGAGAGTCGAGATCAAGAGAGTTGAGCTCCTATTTGAATATCTAACTGAACATCTATATTAGGTGAATCTAACATACAAAAGTTGATTGACACAAGGCATCGTGGAAGATTATATATAGGCCAAAGGTTAGGAATTTCTAATGTTTATAAAAAATAACAATCGAATTATAGATTTTTTGTTTTCACTCATTTGTGATACTAAATATTTTATATTACATAATGTTCATGTACCAGAAATTCTAGAAAAATTTGACCAAAAGAAAAGATATATTAGAAAAAAAGTTGTAGACCACAAGAATATCATGGTATTAGTATACGCAGATTTCTAAATCTTAGTGAAATTATTATATATAAAATTTGATGAAAATGTTTTTATTTGGGTCCACGCGTGAGGGTCCGTTGGTATAAATAAAATGTATAAAGAGGGGAGGTTATAATGGCCATGCAGGTCCATAAGGATCCTGCGATCCTCTCACCAACTTACATAAATCTGACCTTTGATATAAATACGCTTTGTTTTGCATATGAGCACTTGAGCAATCAATAACCCTACCTATTTCATCGACATGTCCTGCATGTAACCATATACCTATACACTTGTACTCCATAGCTTTAGAAAGCAACACTATTTTGTCCTATAAATGATTTTTTCTTTTTTGAAATCTTAATTAAAATGATTTTTTATTTATAATAATACCAAAAAAGATAATCAAATGTTCATGCTTTGTGGAACTCTAATCTATATGTTCTCTTTTAAGTTATAGTATATAGCAAATTATGCTTTAGGATGAATTATGCATACAGCAAATTTTTAAAATGAATTAAGGTAAATAACAATGATAAATCGTATATTAAGAATAATAGTATCTATATAACAATTGAATCTTCCCTTTATAGCAGAAGGAATCGCCATGCTTGAAGGTCTCTTAGGCATTCAGTGCAAAGGCCAAGGCAATCGAGCGGTTCACATAAAATCTAATTAATATACAAAACTTCAGTATACTCTCTTATCACTCATCGATCAGTTCAGAAATGAATATCGTCACTTATAGATTATAACTTATAGCGTCTTCGAAGACATGTATACATTTCAAATTAAAGATTAACTTGGCCTTTTAATTTCATTAACTGCAAATGTGGCATCTATGCGGAGGGTTTTTGGGCAGCTAAGAAAATTCAAATTTATTTTTCTCATTAAAAATCATGAATTTTGGATTCATATTATTTCCAAACTATTTCAAAACGAAAATTAGTAAAAAAGGTAATTACACAGAGAAAGAATCACAAACAAAACCAGTGAAATTGTGATAAGCCCCCAAAAGCGAATAAAAAAAAAAAATTGAAAGAAAAAATATTCAAAAACATGTTTCTTTATGATTATCAGATTCTAGTCAAGGCTCGTACACCTTCCCAGACTTGAGAACAAAGCATGTTAAAAAGGAAAAATAATTTATTCATCAACACTTTGATTCTTCGATATTTTATACCCAATTTTTTTTTGTGTGTGGATTGTAACAATGTAACATTATATAGTATGATATAAATACGATTGTGCTTATATTAATTAAGAAGAGAATGAAAAAATAGGATATTGTCTAAAAAAAATGTTAACACCATATTACCGTTCACACAATTTACCACCCCCCCCCCCCTCAAACAAATGAGAAATTCCGGTATAATCAGCATGGGTGTGAAGAACATCACGATCATATGGAAATTGAAAGGCGGACACAAGTTGGATCTTTTAACCCATTGCCATTAAATTTTGCTTTAAATACGATACTGTATTTGATCAAATTTAATACAAGCGAATATGCGTTTGAAATCTAATTGAATACTGAGAAAACGGTATATTCTCTCTCTCACACACACACAAAAATCTAGAACTCTTTCTTTCACTAAGTAGTTTAATTTTTTTTTTAATCATCCTAATTTAACTGATTGAGTTAAAAAGGAAGAACTAAGAACTACAAGATATTAGCAAAAAGGATCTGATCATTTTTAATTTTAGCATAGTTTGGCCATAAGTTTTATCCATAGTTACCACTACAAGAAAACATCACATATTCCTACCATATATTTCATCAGAAAATTGTAGGAAACCGGTTTTTCCTATCAATTTCCTACCAAATATTTTTGTAGGTTTTATGCTGTCGGAAAATTTAAAAGGTAGAAAAATCGTAGGAAATTTCCTACGAAAATTTTCGCGATAGGATATTCGTAGGAAAGTACCTACCAAATTACTTCCATCGTCCTTTAGTTTCATTCTTTCCAATTTCAAATATTCCTACAATTTTTCTACCATTTGCCAGATTTTGTAAAAAAAAATTGTATTTTTAAAATTAAAAATTAAATTAAATTTAAACTAAAAGATAAATTAATTATTAATTCAATTATTACTATATATAGAGATACTATATATAGAGATATTATATATAGAAAAAAAAACAAATTAATTAAAAGGAAGATGAATGTCTTATTTATAGAACATTTCCTCATGTAAATTATCTCAGATCATCGATGTGGGACAAATCAAAAGTTGAAATTTTCCTACCAAATTCTTACGATTTTCTTACACATAATTTTTCGTCAAAAATTGGTAGAAAATTTTCTACGAAATACTTACCAGCCATTGGCCCTACCACTTTCCTTTCAAATTTTGACCGCGTGATAGGTTATTGGTAGGAAATATCCTATGAAATTTTGACAAAATTTCATAGGATTTCCTATCAATTTCCCATCACTTTTATTTTTTTCAAAATTGCATAAAAAATTGGTCATAAAAATTTACTACCAAATATTTCGTCAAATAGAAATACATTTAAGCAAAAACCACTTCTTCTTTTTTTTCTTTTTTTTTTGTTAAAAGAAGCAGAAAATCACTCCATGTCAGAAAAAAAAGTTGAATAATAGAACCAACTATGAACTATTGAAACTGAATCACAAATCACTGAGGTACGATCAATACGAGTTATATTGTTTCGATTGATTATGATTGACAAAACTAACTCAAAGTAATAAGTACTGTTTTATATACGAATATATATATCTGAAATGAAATCGAATACTCCATAATTCGAATTATCTTACAAATAGCCCTCAGTTTTATAATTTATATATAATGACCATGGTACGTAAACGTGAAATCTCGAAATAATTTCAGAAAATTAGTTTTTAAATAATAAAGGAAAAAAGAAAATAGAGAGTCGAAATTAGCTTGAACTTCAGCAAATAGTGGAACCGTATGGTTCTCTTTGTATAAAATGGCAAAAAAAACAAAATTAAATACGAGAAGCTCCTAACCGAGCGTGGAGAGGGTTCTAGAGTTGTACAGCTTCTATATCACTGGGACTTATTCTTTTCTCAATGTTTCAAAAGAGCAAAGAAAACTAAAGCTTGAAAAGATCAACAAACGAGTAGCTAATAAAAGAGAAAGAAAGTAAAACACTACTATATCTTACAAGAGAGTTCCAAGTGACTTGTAAGGCAAGGAACCATGTGAAACTAGCAGAGTAGCATAGAGAAGCTGGTTCCATGAGTCAGGAACTCCAGGTAGGCACCAATGGCTACAATCTTGGAACATTCCGGTCGTAGGAGAACTTCCTCGGACCTCCACAGGCTGTCTGTATACCGAAGGGTGACCATCGGTTCGATACCAAGTCATCTTCGTGATGTTCATGTAAAACACAGGCGTTTTCATATCCGAGATCACTGATTCCACCACTTTCATCATCCATGGATACCCTCCTGTGTACGCCTCGTTCTGTATCGGCCTTGTTTCTCCATCGCATTGCCCTCCCATGTTCCAAGCCCCTTTTCTGCAGTTAAGTAAACCCAATGTTAAAAGAGAAATTGCTTGAGGTAAAAGAAAGTTCTTCCACTCCCTAAACCCTAAAACATTAACAGAGACTTCTTGGGATGAAAGAATGCTGTTCTTAGTTACCTGAAATGTGAAGATGAGTAGCCGACGAAGAATACTCTGGTTTTGGTGCTGTTGATATTTGAATCAACCCAATCAGCCCATGTGTGAAGAGCTTTAGTGTAAGCTTCTTTCACTTGTAGTTTTTCGTAAACTCGATTTCCCTCCTGGAAATAATCTTTCCTGCAAATATCGAAATCCAATAAGAGATATGGATACAGACATCATCTTAATAAAAGAAGAAGGTTTTATATATAAAATGTTGATACCCTTCGTAGGTTTTCTGGTGAGTCCACCAGTGACCAGTGTTGAATATGACAATGTCTGCGTTTTTGGATATCTTCGTGATCGATCGTTGGATCATATCAAGCCTAAGTGTCTCTCTCCTTTTCCCGTATCCATCTAAAACTTCGGATTCTTGAACGAGGAACGGTGATTTTATGAAGTCTATAGAGCATTCGAAGTCCTGAGGAAAACATTAAAACTCATCATTCGATTAAAACGATCCAAAGCAATAATAAGAGATCTGAGATACTTACTTTGAATCTGAAACCGTAAAAGCCTTCGTTATGGAGATCACTCTGTTTTCCAGAAACTTTAGAAACTCTGTTCTTGTCTTCTAATGTTGACCTAAGTGAACAAACCAGAGACTCCCACATGTTTCGATTCAATGAATCACCAACGAAGACTAGTCTTTTCCCTCTCAGAATCTTCAGCATCTTCTTCCCATCGAATCTACAGATCAAGAGAAGAAGATAAAAAAATCCACGGAAACATCTTACGAAAACAGAGTCACAAGGGAATGGTAGAGTCGTAATTAACGAATAACAAGAACTGACCTTGGAATGGAGCATCCGTGAGGTTGCCATCGATGATGGAGAAAACCCGAATCGGGTCTGCCATTTTTGTAGCAATTGAATTTATCTTCAACGAAAGGACAGTAACCAGGAGGATAAATCGGCTCAGAATCGTCCAAGACCCAACTTCCATCAAATATGTCGCAAGAACTAAGTTCTTTGCGCGCGAAATCCATCTTCTTCGACGACTCGTTATTGACGTGGGTTCTTCTCGGAGAAACCAAATAGAGCGTGTTTTTGTCTGAAGCAGTCGACGAAGAAGAAGAAGGAGAAGAGAAGAAATTCGCTGCCGTGAGGAGACGAGAGGTGAAGCTCGAGACGATCAGTGATGGAGAGAAATCTGAGAGAGAGGAAGAGGATAGGAGGAAGAGAGAGAGAAAGAACAGAGAGGTTAGAAAAATCTGCGTCGTTGATGGGTGTTTCGTGATGAGGAAGAGATTCTTCAGATCCGCCATTGAAACGTCTCCGATCTTGTTCTCTCCTCTCTGTTTCTTTCTTCTTCTCTGTTTTCTGGGAAAAGGGAATGATCTGATTCCTTTTGGAGGGAAAGGGGTGATCCAACGGTTGGACATTAAACAGCTTTTAAATGTGTTTTTCAGTATTTTATACGGCTGTACCACTCTCTTGTAATCAGATTCTTAAAAATGTTATATTCCGAAATATAAAATTGTCCAAGTGTGTAGCTAACTTTTTTTTTGTCCAACCACATAGTTATGAAGTGTATACGTGTATTTTAAATTCTGAAATACTAAATTAATAAATATTTTAGTTACAGAATTACTCTAGTTTTTTAATAAAAATATACGTTATCATAAGATCTTCATTAAGTGGAAAAAGTCTTTGATTGGTTATTTTTATTTTTTGTTAAAGTCGAGTAGTAGATTAATGAAAGAGTCGTCTAATGATCCAATAGTAAAAACATTATAACTGAATAAAGTTTTTATAGAACACTAAAAACGCTAAAAAGGATTTTAGTAGATTAAAAGCATTTCATTTTTTTAATTATATTCTTAACACATATAAAACTTTATAATATATAAACGGTGAAAATATAAATTTACAAAAAAAGAGTACTTCTCAAATTCTAGTGTTATCTATCAATACAAAGAGATCGGTTTCTATTGTAATTATCAATAAAGCAACATATATAACATATATAAGGTAGTGGCTAAGATTAATAACTAAGAAAGATCTTAAAGAAGCAAGGCAATGGCGAACAACACAATCCCAAGCAGCGGTCCAGATCTTGACTTCATCCTCTCTTTTCCATTTTCTTCTCCATCTTCGATGTGTTCAACAACGTTGAAGTCACCTGCATATATACAAAATCAACCCAACATTAAACTAGAAACGAAGTAACCGGTCTAAACCAAACCAAGAACCGGTCGTCAAAATGAAAACCTCGTTCAGGTCCATAGCTGCACCCGGACTTGAGGGTTTGACGGATGTCGTGAATGGTGGCTCTGTTAAAGAATCTGAAGTGGTGAAGAATTTCGTTAATGCAATTCAAAGCCAAATGTGTTTCGGAGAAGCATGGTCCTTCGCAGAACTCTTCCGTCCTCGCCACCGGAATATTCAGTTCTCCGTTTAACGTTAGCCTCCATGCATCTTCACACTCTCTGTAAATCTGCATTGCATTTAGGAGTTTTGAGTTTAAAAAATCTGTAATCAACTAGATTAGCTGAGGCTGAGATATGTAAATACATAATATTCTATAATTAGAGTGGTTATTTGATTTTGTCAATCAAGCCAAGCTGAATCTACTAGCTTGGAAAAACTAGTTCCAAATCGAAATATGCTTTGATATGGTTTTTTAGATATCCAAATTTTTCAAATGAAATCTGATCTGAAAAAAGAAATATGAAACCAAAGTTTTTTTTTTTCTTTTTGAAGATCAGAAGGATCTTTCCATTAAAAAACGAACTCAAACCTAAACCAAAAGTGTATCAAAACTAAATCAGGGTCGGTGTTTCTTGCCATGCAAGAAAGATGATATGAATTAAGTGATTCAGTAGGAAAATTGAATTATCCGGACCAAAATCCGGAATTAACATTCTAAACCAAGGTTCGCAGTTTATTGTGGTGCAAGTATACGATATTTAGTTACGTGTTTCTCATTTAAGCACTCCAAAGCTTTCTCAAATATCTCCGGTGGATAGTCTCCACCTAAACCGCCGCCACCTAATCCTCCTCCTCCTCCGCTGCCACTGCCACCCAATCCTCCTCCGCCGCCACCAATGCCACCCAATCCTCCTCCACCAAAACCAGTTCCTCCGCCGCCAAATCCTGACCCGCCACCACCTACCCCTCCGCCTCCAACACCTGTGCCACCACTGCCAAATCCTGGCCCGCCACCGCCTCCTAGACCTGTCCCACCACCGCCAAATCCTGGCCCACCACCTCCAGCTCCACCTGCCGCCTCTGAGTCGTCTTCTTCACCGAATGTGATCCCTACAAAATACACATTTGTAAAGAAATTAATGTCTGCCAGCGTTTGGGACAACCTGAGTAACATATGTATGCATGTGTGTAAAATGAAGGACAAACCTGGAAAGGAAACTAAGAGCACAAAGAAACCAACAAGGGTGATCGATACCCGGAGGTCTCTGATGAGTAACAACGCCATTGTTAGAGTTCGAATGAACATAATAAGTATATCATTTTATAGAATACTATGTAGGTGTTTCTGGAAAGTTTGAAGAAGACTTGTGGTGCAAGTAAGCCGATTTTAGTTTTTTTTTTGTAGAGAGTCAAAAATACAGAGGAGAATTTTGTGGCAGCTGGGTACAAGTCACCAACTGCTCATTTTTTTCCGTTTTTACTTTGGCTATTGTAAAACCATTTATTGACTGCCATGAAATTATACCATATTGAGAAGGAAACTTAAAAATCAAACCTAAAAGTGATATCAAGACGACACACGAAAGAAGTTGTTTTGCATAACTCAGGAATGATCTGGAAAGCTTTTACAAAACTAATTTCTGTACACATTCAAACCAAACCTAAAAGTGATCTCAGATACGAATGAATGTACTTTTTACATAAAATCCTGTCCACCACACCAACATGTTCACAGGCTGTTTGTTTTCGCAAGACATTCCTTCAGACTTACATATGATATATATTAGTTCATTTCTCCTAACACAGAGTGTTCTGTTCTGCGTTTTAAATCAACAAGTGAGATTTGTCATCGATGTTTTACCCGGAAATAGCAGTAAACAAACAAGTGATATCCCATCGACACGAAAATTGTTATATATCGCCAACGGAGAGAAATCAAGTATATACATAGATAAGGTATCAAAAGCAACTATATAGACTATAGTAAAAACATTCCATAACTCCACATATACAACAACCAGAGAGAGATTGAGAGAAAGAGAAATACGATATATATCAAATTTATAATTTCATTTTCTTTTAGTTTCAACATTTTACAAGGGCTCCTTTTATATTTTGGGAGCCACAAGTTACAATATCTTTGGCAATTGACACGAAAATAAAATCTAAAGAAAACACATCCAAGAAGCGACCCTTTGGTGCTTCTTTACCGATTGAAACCTTTCTCGACTAGTTTCACAAGAAAAAAAAAGACCTATTTCTCTATATTATAATATAAGAGGAAACACTTGGTTAAGAGGTTTTCCTTATTTGTTGTTCCCTTCTTTTTTAATATATGCCTCCGTTAAAGTTGCGGTTGGACCAAGATAGTATGTTTAAGGTCACCAATGTGTAACTTATGTTCACCCATAGGGATTCTCCTTTTTCCATGCTCATCCACTACACCAAGATGCTTGCAAGCATCAACATCGACCCGGATGGTCCGTTTTGCACCTGCCGTGACATGAACCTTCTCAAACGCTATCAATTGTTTGTTCATACCCAATCCTTTTATTCTGTTTTTCGGCGGCTCGGCAAAGACGAACACCGTGTGGGTTCCGTCGAATTCTCCGGTGTTTGACACTTCGACATGGAGTGGCATTTTTGGAAACATTTCGCAGTTGGCATGAGACACTTTGATGGAGTTAGATGAGGAGTTGAAAATGGCAGAGTTGAGATTGTAAGGTGAAACCGATAATTGGGCCAGTGGGCTTTGTGCTAAACTGTGAGCGAAGGTAGTGTAACTTAAACCGAACCCAAATGGAAACACCACTGGACCTTTGTAGAATCTGTACGTCCTTCCTGGGTAATTTCCAGATGCTCTCATGGCCATTACCGTCATTGGCACTTTTGCCAAGTAATCTTGTGGATACCATGTCATTGGTAGTTTTCCTCCTATCATAAGAGACATAATTTATTCACTATTAGTTGATAAATTACGATTTCTTATACAGTATTAATCAAAACCAAATAAAATTAGTTTTACGTTGGTTTAAAGGAAAATAAAATCATAATTACTCATACCAGGATTAGCAGCACCAAAGATGATATTGGCGATAGCAGCTCCACCCGCTTGACCCGGATACCCGGCCCAGATGATGGCAGCAACACGTGGATCGTTCTTAGCAAAGGTTACATCAATGGGGCCACCACTCATAAGGACCAGAATAACTGGACCTCTAGAGACTCTAGCCACACGGGTCACAAGGTCTTGTTGGTAACCTGGTAATAGCAGCCCGGTTCGATCTCGTGTCTCAGCCTCTATTGACTGGTCCAATCCCATCACAAGAACCGTCGCATCTGCTTCACGTGCCGCCGCCTCGGCTGCACCAAATCCTTGGTTCCCTGCGCAAGCCACGCCGGCACAACCAACTTGATGAAGTGTCCTAGCGTATCTTGATATTCCTTGTAACGGCGTCGTATAGGTGCATGCTTTTCCTGTCGAAATTATATATCAATATTCTGTATTTACTAATAATAATTATAATATATATATAGAGATATTTTAATGAAATATCGTATTTACCTGCATAGTTTCCGATCATGGTCTCAGTGACATCGGAGTTGGGTCCAATCACGGCGACTGTGCGGTGGCGTCTAGGGGAGAGTGGAAGAGAGCGACCAGAGTTTTTGAGAAGAACAATCCCTTGATGGGCCGCTTCAAGGGCTAGATGCCTATGAGCAAGAGTACAAACATCTCTAGGCCCAAGGTTAGCGTAGGGCCCAAGATTGCCATCAAACATACCAAGTCTCATCTGGACCGTTATGGTATTAGCAAGTGCCAAATTGACGTCGTTCTCTGTCAACAACCCTTTCTTCACAGCGCCTTCAGTGAAGATCGCCAAAAACGGCCCGCAGTCCAAATCCAAACCTGCAAAACGACACGATGTTTTCATAATCATGGAAGTGATCAATATATAGTCCTTTGTGGATAAAAACATCAACGGTGAAAAACAACTCACCGGCTTTAATGGAGGCGGCGGCGGCTTCCTCTGGAGTTGTGGTGTAGTGTTGTTGGTTGAAGAAAACATCAACGGAATCACAATCTGATACAATGTACCTGTATGCATTGATATTAAACTGATGTGTGAGGAAGGGAGCCAAATGAATCTGAACCGTTGATTATGATGATATTTTAAATCTTACCCGTTGAGATGCCATTGACCACGAATAGTGTTCTTTAAGAGATTTTCATCTGCACATGTTGGTATTCCGTTTACTTGGTTGTACGAACACATAACACTCGCGACCTTTCCCTCGTAAACACAGGATCTGAATGGCACATTGTATGTGTCCTCTAAATCTTGTTTGGTGACCTAAATCCATCATAAACTTACTAAATAAGTTAACATATTAGCTATTTAGAAGCATATATATATATATATATATTATACACATCATTTCATGAGTTTTTCGTTAGATTATTACGTTTTGAATTATATGTCCAAGTGAAACGAATCTTTTTTTTTGTTATGATATAATTTAGAAGCCTATATATTTGGGAGAACAGGATAAAAGGCAAGGAGGTTGGTTCTAGTTGGTCCACATGACCAATAAGGATAAGATTCTCCCACCACTATAAGTCTATAATAACATAAGACTACGATATGCCACATCACTTAAGCCACACTGCCTATTGGCTTAGCTGGTATTGTTTGTAGTCTGACTGTGACATGCCTACAAATATATTCATATTTGCCCACTTGAGAATAAATTTCATGAAAAGTCTATTTTGCAAGATTACGAAGTGACGCGTATCCTACGGAACTATAAATAACTAACTGCTAACGATTGCGATATATCTATATATGAGCTATTTTCTGAATTTAAAGAATCTAATCACGAAACGAGATAAAACTTAAAAGACGATAAGCCTTGCAAGAAACGTATCCATTCCAGTCACATCCAATTCGTTACGTGGAGCTATAAATAAATTCTTGAAAACGATATAAAGTAGAGCGCTTTCTAATTTTAGAAAGTAAATTTGTATCTTTCAGCAGAAATTCATATTTTGTTTTCAGTTTTTTTTTTATTTATTTTCTTAATCGTTACTTCTATTAATTTCTAACATGAGGACTTTTTTATAGGGTGATATTAAATTACAAACCTTTAAATTTTAAGAAAAATAGGCTCACGGGTTCTCTTATTTCCACACAAGTTTTTGCTAAAGACAACTATATTTCCACACAATTATAAATTTATAATGTCTAGTATCTAAGTTTAAGAAGAAGAGATTAAGCATTTATATATACATATGTATATATAGGCTCATTAACGACTTTTCACATTTATGAGTTTTGAAAATATAAAATTGAAATTTAAACATGCAGTCAAAACTTCAAAACACACATATATGATACATATATAATTAGATATAAATACATATAATTATAATTAAATATGCGTATAAGGAAATTTACCTTGGCGTTAAAATGGAAACGGTCCACGCCATTCCAGTTATCAAGATCATAAGCAGTGTAATGTTTGCAACATGCGGCGACTTTGAGGCGGTTGCCGGCGCCGTTGCCCTGAAGTCCCCGGACGTAGCTGGCGGCGTATTTTCCGGCGACGACAGGATCTTCTCCGGGAGTTTCCTGGCCTCGCCCCCACCGTGGGTCCCTCAGTATATTCACATTTGGGCTCCAATACGTCAAACCGGCCACGCCTCCATTGTACATAGCTCTTGCCTCATCAGACACCACCTTTTATTTATTTTAAATCATGTTAATTCTAATTAATATATCCTCCATACAACTTTGTTTTTGTTGAAAGAAATAGATGTCATCCATTCCATATATATATACACCACATAATAAAAAGTGTTGCCTTTTATTTACTGGTTATAAGCTTATAGCAAGCTTCCCCATCATCGTATTAATTCTTTAATATCGCAGATAAAACGAGATAAACGTAACAAAATCAAATTTCCCCATATATATTGGTTTTGGATTTTCTTATAACCTACCTGTCTGACTTATTCGATAGACTGATCATGTCATAGTCAGATTAAAAAAACATGTGAATTATAAATTTCCAAGATATATATATATATATATATATAATTATATAAATATAGGTTTCTCAAAAAAATTATATAAATATAGAGCGTCCCACTAATCAAACTCTAGTGTATTGACCGCTACGATGTCGATTTCGATGTCGTTTTTTCACGTAGGAAATCACAAAATTTAGTATTATTCTCATTTTCTAAAATGTATTTTCTATCTTAAAATTTCTAATTTATTCTCACCCGTCCGATCTCTTCCCAGAGTGACTGGTTGAAAGAAGCTGCGGTGGTGATGACCTGAGGGAAGCTGGTGGCACCGGGAAAAGCACCACCGAACTTAGCGCCGGGACCGACGTCAGAAACGCCGTGTAGAGCCTCCGACCACCACTCATAGCCTCCAATACCAAGGCGTGGCACGGCGGCAGCATTGTTAACGAGGAGGCGGATCTTCTCCTGCAACGTGAGCCGTCCAATCAAATCTTGAACCCTCACGTGGACCGGTACATTGACCCGACAGAACCGGAGCGTCCGGGTTAACCCGTTTGCGGGGTTGCATGCAAACAGTGGGCGAAGTGACTCGGACGGGTGAACCAAACATAAGAGGAATAATAGAAGTGTAACTACGAGTCTGTTGCCAGTTAACAATGCTTTAATATTAAAAGACATCTTATATATACTGTATCTGTATTTTGTGTTTGTGTGTGTTTGTAAATATATGTATATCTATATGTGATGTTTGTGTTGTTTAGTTTTCCTGGGAAAGAAAGTGAATGGGGTATTTATAGGGAAGTTTTTCAGCGAAATTGATGACAAAGGATAAGAGGCTCTTGTTATTATCAAAGAATAAAGATAAAGATAAAACAATCAAGTTGTACAGGTTACCGAAAAGAGATATCTCAAAAAAAATTAAAAACCTTTGAAAATAATTTAATAGATTTTTTAATACTTTTTTTCTAAGCGTCCGTCTGTTTTTCCTTCCTTCAACATAAATTCTACGTTTTTTTTTTGAACCTTTAAATTCCACTTTTCTCCGTGACCACGTACTACAATGTCAATGATGATAATAAGCTATGATATGACTCTTTGAACTTCACAATGTCTCGTTATAATTTCATCTTAACTTACAAATGTGACATTCCACTTCAAAAGTTGTGCAATAAAATCACATATTTTTAAGTCGAAAAGAAATCACATATTTTAAATAAATTTTATTATGAAAAATTTGGTAGTCAGATATGTTCGAGTGCATATTAAAATCCATGGATAAAATGGAGATGTATATGCGAACAATTCATAATTACTATCATATATTTAAATATAATATAACAAAATATGAAGTAGTTTTTGACAATATACCATGAAAATTTTAATTATTTTTTTTTTAAAAAAATTTCCTCAACTTTAATCTTTTATATATATATATATATATATGTTTCTATATATGGATGTAGCCTCCAGTTGGACTCGTTTGCCACCGCCGACCTTCAAGCTATTCGCTACTGCTACAGCCACTAAATTAGCATAATCGCTAACGCAATAAGCAATAAGCAATCGCTAACTCAATTATAATCGCTAACGCAACGCAATAATATGTTGTTTGAAAAACTCAATTTGGTAGGAGAAAATGTTCTCGGTTACTCTCAAAAGTTAGCGCAATGGTAAAAGAATGCTATGAATGCTAGTATAGTTAGTATTGCCTAACTAGTGCTATTTTATTTTATCCGCGTCGATTCTTAACTTATGTAAAGAAAATTTGAATATTTATGTAATCGAGTATAAAAGTAGCTAGTGGTGCAAATTACTGTGTCATTACTTTTGTATTAACCTCTATAGTTAGTAAGTTTCCTCTCTATATGCGATTTTTGATATATACTCTTTTTCATGACTGCATACCATCTTGGTTATACTCCCTTATTTTCACAAAAAGTGTCATTTTAAAATTTTTCACAATTATTAAGAAAACTATTAAAAATACTACTTTACCCTTTATTAATGCATTAAATAACTTTTTTCTTTAATTAATACATTAAATTAATAGGGTCAAAACTGGAATATTGTTTAAAATTCTGCATTAAAAATATAAAACGACACTCTTTGTAAAACAAAAATAAAACCTTAAAACGACACTTTTGTGAAACCTTGGGAGTATAACTTATATATGCAATCTAGATTTGATGAATGAAAGCAATTGCAATGCAAAATGTATTTCATAATACAAGCAATATTTATTGATATATTTGGTGCAATAGGAACAGAAATTTGTTACACATTGATTTATATTTATGTCTAATTCATGATTTTCTTAAAACTAATGTAAAGTGTAAATGAACGATCGATTTATCGTTAACTCTCGTATTATCGTTATTCAATCAAAGAATGATTGATATGTCTTTTTCAACGAATTAATAAATGAGATGTTGTTAGAAGGAACTTAAATCTTTATATATTATGTAAAGTTTTGTATCCAATAAATCTCTTAAGATTAAGTCTCCAATTAACCTAAACCAGATAATGACGTTTTTTAATTTAATAATGTAATAGTTTGTTATATACTGTACTGTTTATCACAACAGCAGTTTTTGGTTATATTAGATAACAATTGTAATATAATCCAAGACACAAAAACAAGACAAGTTTAAGTTGAAGGGTCAATTATTTAATTATTGACGAATGTCTAATAATGTTCAAGGGAAGTTAAGTAAAGAGACCAACAATCAAGAACATTTCGGAAAAAAGTGTGGGCAACATGACTAGCTGCTGAAGGACTATTATTTGGTGAAGAGTCGAAACCCGTGACAACCTTCTCTCCTTGTCTCTCAGCTTTTTTAGGTCTTACGTTTCATTAAAAACTTTTCGTTTATACATAGCTAAATGTGTATACGTTTCTTTATACCCTATATATATATTAATATATGTTATGTTCATTACTTTATGTATAACAAACATAAATCTTGTTTTTTACTACCTGACTAATCTTTCAGGTTCATCGAAATTATATTTCAACTAATCAAATAAAAGTAATTAGATAATTCATCATTTGCGAAAATTGATCCCTGATCTACAACTCTTTAAGAAGTAAGTACCTATATGTTATGTTGTTTCTCTTTCTATTTATTTATTGGGTTCTATTGCCATCTTCTCGTCTCACCATGATCTTGTTCGCGTGGCTTTTGTTCCCATGCCTATGCATCTAATCATATATGTATATAATATTCCATGCCACCAAACTTTTTTGTTTTTAATTCCACCGGCTAACAATTCTAATCATAGATTTAATACTCTTTTTTTTCATTATTAATACAAAGCATGATAGTATACCCCAATTTTTTTTTTTTTGGTGCCAAATGAGATTCAAATAAGATTATACTACTGTTATCTGTGAAATTAAAATGGCTAATAATCTATGTGCGAGCTAAGAAAATTTTAAGTCATTTGTCAGTTGTATAATGGCATGCCAATATACAATCCTTGGAATTAATTGTTAAAAAACAAGAAGAAGTAATTCACAATAAGTGTGAATGTGTTTAGACTACAAGGCTAAGACAATTTTCTTTTCTTGATATTTGAATATTACTAACCAAAAATTAAAAGAAAAATAATGTCCTTATTTGTCCACTAGCCGTAATATCACTTAACTTGTAGCAATCGATATTGATAGTGTATTTTACATGTCCAATAACGATGAAAAACAAACTATTGTTAGTATTTTGGTAGTAAGTGAACTTGGCAGGTATAAATATACTTCAAGTTTGTTAAATTAAGTTTTGTAAAAAAATATTATTTGTAGCATATACTTGTAACAAGTCTCTTAAAGATAATTTGATCAAGTAAAGCCACAGCAATTTAGTTTATAACCAGTTCCGTGTAGATATGGTTATATGTTGTATGTGAGTATGTCTATAGACAACCACCCAGATATTTAAAAAGATATTTGGACTTCACGACGACTAATCATTGTTGTGACGAGCATAAGATAATTTTAAGAAAATATCACATCAATTTTCTTGAATATTTTACCTTGTTCTTGTTGTTTATGACATGCATGACTGATTTGCTACCTGTATATAGACCAACTCGAATAAATTAATTCCCGCCACAACGATAATTATTTTCCATGAATATGTATTAAATAGGGATTTCTAGTATTTTAAAGTTCAAAATTACAGAAGAGAAAATAAGGAAAAACATGCCAGATAGAAAGGCCACGTAGACACAAGGGACTCTAATTGCTAATGGGCATGTTTGTTTTTTTTTTTTGTCTTTTTTTTTTTTGCTTATAAACGATTTACTCCCAAAATATTCGTTTTACCTAACTAAGACAAAAGAACAAATTGCACAAGGTTGGTAAGGTTGAACCAAACAAAAGCCAAAAACGAAGAAATTAATAAAAAAGCTACGGGGAGAGAAATTAGTTGACTTCTGTTTAAACAACTTTCAGAAAAGTATATAATGAAAAATAGGAATCTGAAAAGGAATTGGTGGAATGGTTTTAACTCTACGGTTCACAAGTGGTCTGAGCAACCAATAAGTTTCACAGACACGTGATGCCCAACGAAAAATACTCTCTCGTGAGACTTTATTTTACTTTGGTTATATATTTTCTCTCAGAAAGTAGCAGTTAATATACTTTGTCTAATGTCTACTACATATAAATCATGATATGAATATTTATATTGTTTTCTTCTTAAAAATAAATATGCAATTACACTAACTCGAAACTGACTCTCCAAAACCAATAACATTCCGGATTATAAATTCCAACGAAAGTATAGTTGAACTATATAGTTAACATAAACCCTTTCTCAAAAAAAAAAAAAAACTATATAGTTAACAAAACCCATAAACATATGTAATGATGGAGAATAAATAAAATATACGTGCCAGTAATCTAAAAGAGAATGCGCCGGTAAATAACTCATGGAAGGAGATATTTCAATTTTCAAATAATATCTCACGATAACAAATGATTAAGCTCCCTAACAAAACAAAAAAGTAATATAAATGATCAAGCAATTAGTACATATGTTGATTAAAATAACAAATATACATACTCAAATCAGTGCTCTAAAAAGTGGTTTACACTGTCTGTTAAATATGGTCTAATGATTTATGTTGAGTCTAATATGAACAAAATTCTGATAGGATTTATATATAGTTGATTGTATTTTGATAAATAATTTCATTTATTTCGAAGTTCAACATTCTTGATTTTCCGTATGAATGTTTAAGTACTTTTTTAATGTTTTAGTTAACATGTATTATATTTCTTTTGATTTTTTTTTAATGTAAACTCCTAAATTATTTAAAATTTTGAAGTTTTTCAATATTAGTTTAAATGCTCATGCATTATCTTTTTTCCTTCTGCAAATAGTAATTCTATTAAATAAACTTTGAGGTTACATAGTCACAATACAATGCTTATGTTAACCAATAAGGTGGATACAAACGTCCAGAATACAAAATCTGATTTGGAAGTCCAGTTTTTTAATGCTCATTATCTTATACTATATATTTAGTATATATTTATTTTATTTATTATGCTCATTATATTATACTATATTATATATATTGGTTTATTTTTATTTAATATATAGTTTGTTGTAATAAACTTTTAGACCACTTAAAATCCTCTAGATCCTGTAATATCTTTTAAGCGTTAAGTGTAGGTTACGCATTTTTAACGCAGCGTCACCATGCTTTTAGCATCTAGTGCTTCATGAATACTGATCAAAATTTCAAAGTCTGAAAGTCAAACCTGGTTCAAACTATATATTGGGTATTTTACATGGCAGTCTCACATCACTATGGAGGTTTGTCTTTCTTGTAGTAAATCTACTACCAATTATCAAAACATATTTTCATGTTATATGAACTCGTACAAAGTAATAAGATTTTTTTTTTTTGGGTTTTATACAAAGTAGTAAGTTGAAGAAGTATTTTGGGTTTAAGACGTAGAAGAACGTTGGAACAAGACCGAATGCAAGCCATAAAATCTAGCTAGACTATACATCTAGCAATTTGCCTTTTATAAAACCAAAAAAAAAAAGAAGAAATCTCTTCTCAATCTTACGAACAGCATGTCGTTAAAGTAAACGGACATTTCTAAATAATTATTCTGTTATTTCTAGCAGATGATATGTATGCGTACATTTCAACCAATAAAACAATATGGTAATAACCATATATGTGTGTGTATGATAAATGTTGGTTACTGGGTGATGCGAGGGGCCGTATTTATATACTTTTCTCAATTATAAATGTATTTAGAAGAAACAAAAAAAACTATGAAGGTTAAGTATGCGGATAAAACTCTAAAAATTAGTTTTTTTTTTAAAAAAAAGAGAGAATTCATATGATTCGATGTGTCCGTTTCCGTTAACTTCCTTCTCTGGAGTTGATTATGACATTTCTTTGCCACGCCAGCATTCGCAATCCAGGTCAATTCGTGTTAATCCACCGAACACAAATCATTTTCTTTTGAAAAATAGTACTGGAGACGTATTCGTATCTCTACATCATTTTGGATGATAAATGAATCATTATATCTTTAAAATTTAGTCTGAATAGAATTTTAGACCAAGAAAAAGCTTTGGAAAATTACACTAACAAGTCAAAATATGTTACGTGTATAGATCTGACCAACCAATTACCAATATATATGTGGCTTTCATAAAATATGTTTGAAGAGGGCATCTAATCTTTCTCAAAGCCGATCATAATTCAGATCGGGTATTTACTGATAAAAAAAATCTCAATACGAATTATTGATGCATGTTAGATGATATATATGTAACGAGTGATATAGATGTGGTGGATATACAACTCATTTTTTTTATTAATAAACAAACAATCGCATTAATGATGAATGGGTAACATTTGTAGACAAACTTATACAAGTTGGAAGAAATTTTAAGATGATATGTATGGGAATCTCAAAATAACAGAAAAAAAGAAAAAGGGGATAATTTTAGGATAAAAAGTTTTGTGGCTTGCTTGGAGGCATTGCCAACTAACAATATCTGTCTCTATGTATTCACATACTCGTATGCATGCACATTTATATTATTAATAATTATAGTTTTATACGTCCTTTGTCATAGATATTATTAATAATTATAGACAATTCAATGTGTTGATTAAATTGGCAACGTAACGTGACTTTGGTGCAAGAATGCGTCTTCTTGTTTCCAACCTCCCAATGATATTAGACAGCTCTATCTCTATCTTAACTACTCATTCCCTTTTCCGGATTGTCTTACACTCTATCCACACATCTCATCTCATCTAATCATATTCATATTCGATATATGTATAAAAATTTAGCAAAAAGTTGAACTATAAGGGATCATCTACAGACTTAGTTTATGTAGCGAATATACTTGGTGTAGACTTTGGCGTCTAGAAGGTAGTATCTTTGTCCCATCTTAATTTCGATATGAGACGCTGGAAACTATTAAGTTTTTGTAGAAAAAAAACAAAAGAGATAAGGCCGAGACTGGGCCCGAGACAAGCCTAATTTGATAACAAATCTAAGTTTGATCCAATCCATAAAACGTCAAAAGGTTTCGCAGTCTAGGTCACATCGGTTGCAGGGTCATGCTATCACACAAATCCGGTCCGAAACATTTGAATTTGATGGGTGTCTTCTTTTACACGATACGTCATAATTTTAAAATTATTGCTCCATATGATATTTTTAGGTTATCAAGAACGATTCAAAAGCAATCACAAATTAAGAAAAAACTAAAGTAATTTGATGTAATTTTCAAAAAGGAGTATAAAATTATCTAACGACTTATTCGATCAAATGATTTAATGTCAATTTCATATGTTAGTATTCGTTAAAGGTTATTCATATGTCTATAGATAATATAATATACCATACTATATAAGATATTCATGAATCGTGATAATTTATGGAAGAGTTATAAAAGATATAGGGTGTAACTTTTATGTATCTAAAGGGATATTTTGAATAATATGAAACAATGAATAATTTTGAAAGGAACAACAAAGAAATATATAGAATGATCAATAAAATGGGATAAAATGATCAATTGTCAATGGAATAATGATTCCACATATTCCTCTACGTTTTAGAGGTGGGATAAATTTTCAAAGGATTTTGGTTTTTTGTCCATTCAAAAAATGGAATAAAAGGGAATAAAATGGAATTGTTTTTCACTTTTATTCATTACAACTGGTTAATTTAGAAAGGATTCTGTATTCATGATAAATTTATCCCGTTATAAAGATATCCAGTCATAGCCATTAAGTTCATGAAAAGTCCAATACTTTTTTTGTTGTCGTCTCGAATGTTGCTTAGAAGCAGCAATTTGAATGAATGTTCTATTATAAGTAATGATATCAATCAAAACGAACAAATTCAACACAATTTTTCTACAGCCACAACAAATAGTTTTACTCACATTCACAAAAATTATGATAAACAATTCTATATACACCATATCCATATTCAAGATAATCAGTTACTTCAATATACGAAACCACGGTGAAGGATTCCACCTACATACTGTAATGTAATACACTCACTAATACTATAGATATTTAGTAAGGGTATCTCCAGTAATCTACAGAATTTTAAATTTGATGAGAATCAAAACCCAACTTAGTGTGGACATATTAATAGGGTTTTCACAAATACAAATAGATTAAACAATATATTAACACAGTAAACGAATGACAATACTTAAATTATTTCCAAAACGAATGATAGTTTCTAATTTTGTATCTCATCTATCTATGTATATAGGGATGGTATGATTTCATAGAGTGGACTATTGAGTCAATTCAATTGACGGTTCTCGCTTAGTTTGATGAAGAACATACTGGGCTTTTTATGAAATGTGATCCACCTAAAAGCCTATTTATCCCAATAATTAGAAAGGCTTATTATGTAATGGGTTTAGACTTTAGAGATTCTTATTTTCTTTTCTTTTTTTGGTCAAAGAGATTCTTATTTTCTTAAGACTATGGTTTGGTCTAAAGAAATAATTTAAATGACTATATATTGACCATATTATATTTTAGTTTGTTGACAAATAACTTCAAAATATTCTTATTGAACTTGTAAAAACTTTGATAGCAGACTTCATCAAGTGACTAAAAACAAAAGTACAGGTAAGCATCTCCTTTCTTTGTTTTTAAACCATTTCTGAATCAGTTAATCTAGGCTTGCTTAGCCAAACTAATGTACTTATTTACCATGATACGTTTTGTTTGTATTGCTAAAAAATGATAAGTTTTTTATTTTATTCCTTAATTGTGCAGATAATTACACGAAGCCAAAAGATAGTTGATATAAATTGGACGGATTTAAAATAGATACATATAAGCCCTTTTTTTTCTCCGCGTGAGTGTGTGTAATTTTTCTGCTTAATTTTGATTTCTTTTTTCCTTCTTTTTTCTTCGCTGGTCTTCTGCGTTACGAAGGTCGTAGAAGAAAAAGCTTTGTGCGCAGGAAAAAAAAAATAATAGAGAAAGAAAAGAAAACACACATATACAAAGTAAGCAGAGAGATACAAAGAGCGAAGAAATATCAATGTTTCTTGGTTCAACGTTAATGGCAGTTAGGAGATTCTGTTGATTTTTCGTCACCTCTAGAACTTACTCTCCCGCGTCTTTCTACTCCGTCTGGTTCTGTATCTCTTCTCTTTTGCTCCAAGAACCCTAATTTTGCTTCGGTCTCGACCCTTGGACCACCGGTACTGTCTTTGGCGGCTCGATTCGGGATCTACGGTGGGGAAAGCTAGCCATGGCCGCCCCGGAAAACGCGCAATCTAACACGAATTCGACGCAGGTGTGTCTCTAGCTCTCTCTTTGGTTAGTTGGTTATCTGCTTTCTTTTTGATCGTTAGCCTGCGCGGGAGAGATTACTGAGAATTGGGTCCTCTTGAATCGTGACTAGCATGTATTGGCTCTTCTTGCGTCTTTGATTCTTCTTCGAATCAGATTTACTATTGAAGTGGCTTTTTTTTTTAGTATCTTTGAAGATGGGATTCAATGGATTCGCGCTCTGTTGGCTAGTGTAGCAGAATCTAATACTGTAGTCGGATAATGTAATATAAGTATCTCCTTTCATTTTTCAGAGAGTGAAGGTTTATTGTTTGAATGAAGATGGTAAATGGGATGATCGAGGAACTGGACTCGTCAGCATGGACTATTTGGAGGTTTGTTCTTTATGGATCTCTCCTGCTGCTAGAAGCGCATTTTGGAAATAAACTTGTAGCTAAATGGAAACGTATACAATGCAGCGATCGGAAGAACTTGGCCTATTTGTAATTGATGAAGATGACAATGAGACATTGCTTGTACACCGCATCAGCACTGAGGACATCTACAGGAAGCAAGAAGGTAGCCGTTGTGTATTGTGGTTGCATTAACTATTTTATAACTTTGGGTTTCTGTTTGTTTGGATAAGTGGTATCTATATCAATGTACAGAGACAATTATCTCATGGAGAGACCCAGAGCGCTCAACAGAATTGGCTTTGAGCTTTCAAGAGACTGCGGGATGCACTCATGTATGGTGAGTGCCATAAAAAATTCTCTTGTATATGGATGAGCTTGCATTATACAGATCATTCTGCTGACTGCAAAAATGGTTCTTCTTCCTATACAGGAATCAAATATACAATATGCAACAAAATCTACATTTCAATTCTGTGAACAGTAAGAGATCTTTTCTGACCGTATATATAGTTTAACTTTTCTACTAGTCTCATTTTCTGCTTATTTCATAACTCATGCCTTTCCTTATATATTATACATAAATTCTGTTAAATGAATCATAGGACTGAGTTTAAAGTTTGCATTTTGATTTTTCTGTTCAAAATGTTTACCTTGATGGTGTCATCAGAGTTGTGTAGTTAGACATTTATCAGAGTTGTGTGGAAAATTGCTCATTTATCTGTGAACGTTTAGACTATAATATAGAAAATTATTTTGTTTTTTGCACTTCCACGATAATGAAACTTTTGATCATTTTCTAAGCTTTTTTTTCCTCTTAGATTGGTCATGAATTCAAACCTGAATAAAATCATACGATGACTGCAACTTTTTTGTTTCCGCACTTTTTGATGATCGTTTTGCTCAAGAGTTTGCATTTTGATTTTTCTGTAATAGTAGTTCAAGGGGGTTGCCTTACATAAAGTTATCAGATTTGTGTGGAAATTTCTCATTTACCATCTGTCAACGATGATGAAACTTCCGATCGTTTTCTAAGGTTTATTTTGTTCTTGTATCGGTCACAAATTTTTATTTGGCAATATTGTCACCTTTGCTTGAGCAGGCGAACCATTTTACAACGGGGAGAGTGAGTTGAAGGAGCTTCCTGATGTTGAGATTTCTAATCTCCCCCAAATACTCAAGGTTCTAAGATAATATTGATATTGTGCTTTCTGTGCATTGTGGGTATTTAAGATGCTTTACCCTTCTTGACATGTATCATTTGTGTTGATAATTGCAATTTTACAGCCTTAATTGTAATAGTTATTGTAGGGGTGGAAACTTAAATTGTTTCTCCCAGAACTACAACTGTTTCAAAATTTCTTTTGATAGTTTGTTTCTCCCAGAACTACAACTGTTTGTTCTCATCTTTGGTTATAATGTCAGTGTGAGAGTATGTGATCTTTATCTGTGGAAGTTTCTTTGTGTTAAAAACCGCCCATTAATGTCCTGAATTTGTATGCTAGGTCGAGTTTTTGAAGTATTTGTTTCCATCTTCCCTGCAGATTGTTACTGAAAGTGGCATTACAGATCAGATGCGGTTAGCCGAGCTTATGTTGAAGGATGTAAGTATTAAGTTCCTTCCAAAGTTCTACTGTTTCTTTTTGTACGAAAGAAATGGGTACTTATTCTTGTCCCTTTCATTTCATTTAGTGTAATAGCTTTCTCTCTGTACATACTTTTTCTAAGCACAGGTTTTTGCTAACTGAGATTTGTCGTCTTACATCATTTAGCCCGAGTTGTAGTTTTGTAATGCTTTCGAACAAACACTTTTTCTTTTGGTACTGATGAAGTTGTTATTCTTGATAATTTTGTTAAGGAATTGCCACCGAAAACCTTTAACCCACTTTCTCTCCTGATACATGATGCAGCCTGATTTCTTTGGGAATTTGATGAACGTATTTGAAATCTGTGAGGGTTCGAAAGATATTGATGGCCTTCGCATGATGTTCAGTATTGTCAAAGGCATCAGTGAGTATTCACATACATCTCAACATCACTTCTTTCTTACTTGAGCTCCTAAATTTTATGTAGTAAGCAGCATTTCTTGTTTCTATTCTTACGCAGTTTCGCTCAACAATTCTCAGATCCTGGAGAAAATCTTAGGGGATAATCTGATCATGAAAATTATCGGGTGCCTTGAGTGTAAGCTTAATGCCTCTTAATTTTCGGTGACGAAGAAGGGCTGACCAGTAGACTGTAGCTGTTGAGTATCTATGGCATAGACCGTTTTAGAAACATATTAGATGCTAATACTATATTGTAGCGTTTAATTCGACAGTGAAGAATTTACGTGCTGTTGGCTTTGTATCCTTAGATGATTAAATGGAGGGTCCTTGCTGTTTGCTTTAATAAACATGTTACCTAGGGTGTGCATTTGGGACCGCAAAGGTTATAGGCCAATGTATGCATTTGTTTCTTGCCCAATTCCTATCTTTTGATAATAAAGAACGCTGCGTGTTTTGTTTTCTCCTCACAGATGATCCCGATGTTCCTCAGTCTCAACCTCACCGGAAGGATCTGAGAGAGCATGTTGTTTTTAAGGAGGTATACAATGTGCTCGTGTGTTCATGATTTTATGTGGTTCTGGACCAGTTAGCATAGACTGAGCTTAGGGAACACATTATCTCGATAAGAAATATCGGCGACACAATATGTAGGAGTTTTTTGGTAAAAGTTCGAGACTTGATAACATCGTAATTAAGTCCCATTATTGTTTTCAGGCTATACCAATTAAAGATCCCCTGATCCTGTCGAAGATACACCAAACATACAGAATTGGTTATCTGAAGGTTCAATCCCATGAACTCTTCTGAAATTTTTTATATTTCAGAAACCGGTCTCACTTTATTCTCATTTCTTGCAGGATGTTGTTTTGGATAGAGTACTAGATGATGCTACAGCTGCAAACCTAAAATCAGTAATCAATGCAAACCAAGCTAGTGTAAGTCATCCAAATAAACATTATAGAATTTAACGACACTGACTGCAATATGCATGCACCCATATTTTGCTTTACTAATGACTATCTTCTGCAGGTTGTTACACTGCTGAAGAATGACATCACCTTTTTCCAAGAGTTATTTGCAATGTTACGGTCACCTTCTACATCTGTGGAATCCAGGAGTAATTTGGTATTTCCTGGCATCATGAGGCACTCGTCGTTTTCTTAAGTTTATAATTTTTGTAATTCAGTTATTGCCAGTGAGATTGTCTGATTGTGGGCAAGGTTGCTGTCAGTAAGATTCTTAGATAATACGAGTTCCACACCTTTGTGTCTGTACGCCTATTCAGATATTCATTGAAGGAAATTCAGCTTAACTAAAAGCTTTTTTGGGAAAGCAGTGATATCTCTGCCGTTCTTGTCTAGCTTTGTGTCTCCATTAATAGTATCTTCCCCAAATCCATGTCGTTTCCTGGGTGAGTTAGACTGACGTATTTTTTTTTCCCAAAAAATAGGTACATTTCTTGCACGAATTTTGTAGTCTAAGCAAGAGCCTCCAGATGGCATCGCAGTTATGGCTCTATAGGTATGTACTTTCCAGATATTAAATCTGAAATGGATCATGGGTGTAGCAGCTATTGCATTATCATTTCTGGATTATAACTCCAGTGCTTTTGAGAATGTCGTCAGTTTTCTGTATCTTACATGATTATTTAATTATCTTGTAGGGAACTTATGAATGCAGGAATTTTTGATATCATAACCGAAGTCTTGCAAAGTCCAGATAAGAAACTCGTATTAACCGGGTATATTATAACTTTTAGCTAATTTTACATGATAGATTCTTTAGTTATCATTGACATATGCCGTCGATCTCATATGATGGTTTTTTTGAGAAAGAATAAGTACATAATTTCCAATGATATACTTAAGATAATTATTGGATAATGGATGCAGGACAGATATCCTCCTTATTCTCTTGACTCCAGATCCCAACCTCTTACGCTCTTACGTTGTTCAACCGGACAGTCGCCTACTTGGTCTCTTGGTAGTTTTTCTTTAATTCTTGTTTTCTTTTGGATTGTTATTCTTTTCAGCTGCGAGGCTGTTCCCTGTTTCTTTTCATCTTAGACTTATACTATGTGTAATAGGTGAAGCGAATGATGGAAGATTTTGGTGATGAGCACTGCCAGTTTTTAGAGATTTTTCGTATTTTACTGGATTCAAATGCATTATCTACTGGAGCTCAGGTGCGTTTATGTTCCCTTTCATTATCCTGTTTCTCTGATAAGCAGAATGAGATTGTATTCTCCTCTTTTAATATGCACCGTTGTATGAAGAAGTCATAGACAAGAAAGTACATCAAGACAATGTTGCTATCTTTCTTATGACTTCAGCATTTCTGCTCTGATTGGTTAAAGTTTCATGTAAAACTGTTTTCCTGAAGTCCATACGAAGTTAGTTTTTATTGCCTTGTATTGATTATTCTCCAATACATAACCGCTAGAATGTTGGGTACATGATCCTTTTATCTTCAAGACATCTAGCTGTGTATTAAACAGAATTCTTCGATAAATGTTTCATTTTTGCAGCGAGCGAATATTATGGATATTTTCTGTGAGAAGCATCTACCTGAGTTAGCTAATTTCATAACTGCCTCATGTCCTGGCGATGCATCTGAATGTGCATCCAGAAGAGTTGGCAGCCACTCTGGGACAAAGCCCAAAGTCCTATTGGACATTTGTGAATTGCTGTGCATTTGCGTTCAGCAGGATTCATCAAGGACAATGTAACCTTTATGATGATTACCACATTATTTTTTTGTTTTATCTACACTGTAGTAGCCACCTAATACTCTTGTGAATCTTCTTCTCTTGTCTGCAAACGCACAGTCTTCTCCTAGAAAGTGTGACAAAAAACGTTTTGTTTCTCACACGGAGAAAGGAAAAGCCCGTAGTGGCTGCGGCTATACGTTTTTTCCGCACTCTCCTCTCTGTCCATGTAAGTAGTCCTCGGTCAGCATTTTTTCTAATATTCATATGCGCATTCTCCTCTTGAGAATGAATCTGAAAAGATAAAAATTGGTTATCTGGAGTAGTTGGAAACTGAGGGTCAGAGGTTTTTAGTATTATTTTTCCAAGATTCTTGTTAACATGTACTCGAACCCATTACATTAATTTCCTTAAGTAAGTTGTAGTTCAGTGTCACATGTCAATAATTGCGCTAACATGAACATAGATTCTCTAATGGGTACAAAAGCTTCTCGGATAACAATAACTCATTAGGGATGCTGTGCAATTCTAAAAAAAATAATTGTTCTACTTCAGGATGATAATGTCCAGAGTTACGTTGTTAAGAACAACATGCTGAAACCAATTATAGACGTTCTTGTTGCCGGTGGTAATCAGGACAATCTGCTGATTTCTGCTATTTTGGAGCTTCTTGAGCACATACGCAAGGTTCGTATTTTTCATCCGTTTCTCCATTTGTTTCTTATGGGTGTTCCTCTGTACATATTACCATTCTGTGTGCAGGCAAATGCAAGTGTGTTGCTCAAATACGTAGTTGATACATTTTGGGACCAGTTGGCTCCATTTGAGCAGCTGACTTCCATCCAGGCTCTAAAAAAGAAATATGATCAGGTATCGAGCTTCGATCTAAACTTTTACTTTGGAAAGTTTTCCTACAGTATTCTTTGCTTAAAAATTTTGTCTTCAGTGCTTAAAAAGCTGGGGACCAAAGAGCACCATTGATGATATGAGAGGGAATGAACGTGCTTTGAACAAAGAGGAGGATAATTACGTCAGAGGAAACAGGTGGATCCCTTAGGGTGTCAAAATCATCAGTGGGTTTATCTTCATTTTTCTTTTTCTCTCTTTACCTTTTCTCATCACGTTGTATACTGACAGCAATGAAGAAAAGGTGGCTGCTGCTTCTAGTACACAGAAAGAAGAAGCTAAGCCCCATAAATCCAATGTAGCAGCTGCAAGTCCTGCTTCTCCGAGGTATTTCTTTCTAGCCTCTCTCTATAGAAAACCATGACAGGTGTATCATAAGCAACAACGAGAGTAAACGGATTTGCTTGCTGCTTTCTATATAGGCTGAGGTCTGGAGGTTTGGTTGATTATGAGGATGACGCAGATGATGAAGACTGTAAATCTCCTCCTGAGAATTCTCGGCCAGAAGCCTCAGAGGAGGGAAGGGAGGAGCTCTTTAGGCTGGAAAACAAAACCCATTGCAGAGAAAACGAGGAAGGGCACTGTAATAAAAAACGGAGGCTGTGTTCAACAGTTAATGGAAACAAGAGCTCCCCAGAGGAAGGTGGCGAAGCTAGAAGCAGTGACGACAATGGCAATAGTTTAGATGAAGCAAAGGACAGCAGACTTGGGACAGCAGACAATGGAAAGCTAGGAGGAGGTGATGAAATTGCGTTGACACCTCCAGAATCCACCACATCAACAGAAATGGATGTAAATGGTTACTGAGATTAACATTCTCAGACATTAGGATTTTGGTATATCTTATGTGTTTTTTGTAGCTGTGGACACTTATGTAAAGCAGTCCAAACTAATCAGAAAGTAGGCGAGGAAGAAGATATAGTATCTGGGAAACGGAAGAAAGTCAAAAAGAAAATGTATAGCCACTAAAAGAAATGTTTTGAAGACAATTCGATGCTCTGTGTTAATGAGTAATCTGCAATTGCATTTTGTAAAAACGCAATCTATCTTTTTTTTACTTGTATCTAGGTGATGGGCTTTTTTGCTAGCTATAGTTACTTGATTGAGGTTCTTTATACAGCAAAATCTAAAGAAGCTGAGGATTTGGTTGATAAGATGATCGATTCAGGGATATGATCTCTAGAGCCCAAAATTATTTGGTTCGAAAAAGTTAGTAGTCTGTTTTAAAAAATAGATAAAGAGGAAAAGATGAGAAAGAAAAAAAAAAAGAAAAATTAGAGGGTTTTTTTTTCAAGAAGAAGAAGGTGTGATGGACTTGTGAATAAAATAGAAAAAAATCAGTATTCTGTTTCTTCTTCTTCCTCGCTTTGCGCCGCCTTCTCACAAGACCTCTCAAATTTCACTCATATTTTCCATTAATTCCTCCCAAGCAAGCTGCTTCGATCTTCCTCTTGCTGATCTCGTTTCTAATTGTAAGTTTTCTTTTATTCCTATGCCAAGCTTTGTGTAGATCTTGGAATTGAGTAAATAGATCGATAAACCTAGTTGCTTCTGTTCTATTCTAGAATTCCTCGGTTTATAATCGTAAAGTCTTAGAATTTAGGAATCGAAGTTCATTGTGATGTTTATTTAAGTTAAACCCTGATGAATTGCATCGAGTAGAGAAACCCTAATATTCGGAGCCCAGATTTCTATTTGTTGAAGATACATATTTTCTTTTCCAACTGTGTGAATAGACTATGAACCTGTCTTAATACATTTTGGTGTTTTGTTGAATGCAGAGGATAAAGAATCTCTGATATTGGCTACAAGAGACATGTCTGATTCAAAAGAAGAGAAAGCACAGGTCGCAGCTGACAGGATCAAAGCTGCTGCACTCACTGCTGCTAAAGGTCTGAGCCGTACACAAGCTGAGCGAGCAGCTGCTGCAGCTGCGAGAAACGTCAACGCTTACGGGCAAAAGGAAGAAGGTCCAAGCAGATGGCAGGAGAAGAGGGAAGCCAAGAGGCAGATGTATTTGATGAGTACAGAGAAAGCTGTCAGGCTTGGAGAAAGGAAAGACAAGTCAATGTCTGCATCAGTCGTGGGAGGCAGCTCAGCTGCTTCACAGTGCCAGAAATGTTTCCAAACTGGACACTGGACTTACGAGTGCAAGAACGAAAGGGTTTACATCTCGAGGCCTTCGAGAACCCAGCAGCTTAAGAACCCTAAACTGAGAATGAAGCCTTCTGCTGATGATCTTGATGATGATGATGATGGTGATGATGAGAAGCCAGTTGCAGCAAATGGGAAAGAAGAAGGTGAGAGACGGTCCAAGAAGAGCAAGAGAAAGCACAGGTCGAAAGATGATTCTGGTAGTGACAGTGAAGCATCTGTGTTTGAAACAGAGAGTAGCGGCTCTGAATCATCTGGAGAGAGTAGTTCAGAGTACAGTTCATCGTCAGAGTCGGAGGAGGAAAGGAGGAGGAGGAGAAGGAATAAGAAGAAGAGCAAGAAGAAGCAAAAGCAGAGGAAAGAAAGGCGAAGAAGATACAGCTCTTCTTCATCTGAGTCATCCGAGTCAGAATCAGCTTCAGACTCGGATTCTGATGAAGACAGAAGCAGTAGAAAGAGGAAGAGCAAGAGGCACAGCAACAACAAACGTCGTTGAATTGGTTTTGAAGTGGATGAAAAATTTTATGCCTCTTTTAGAGTGAATGAATCATCTTGAGATACATGAAGAAACTCACACTGCTTATTTCTTATTTTCTTCTGAAGCTCAACTTTTCTTTTTGTCAGCCATTTATGGCTTTGTGTTGTACTGATATATTTGAGAATCACCCTTAGTTACAATAATAGCTCTTGGAGAAAGTTGTAAACCCAAAAGAAAATTTCCCATGTTTACAAGACTATCCATATCTGGCAGATATGTGCAAATATGAGTGAAGTCAAGGGCTTACTTTGTAAAACATCCTTTACTTATGCATCTTACATGTATGGTTAACATTGTGTTTGTAGCCAATTCGCGATCGATTACTTACAAAGTCCAAGCCCTCTCCAGTCTCCTTCCTCACAGACTTAACTCTCTCTCTCTCTCTCTCTCTCTCTCTCTCTCTCTCTCTCTCACTCTCTCTCTCTGGGAAAACGAATCTTACATTCACGACTTCTTTGTACCTTTTTGTACCACTTCTTCTGTTGATTCTGAAT